ATTTATTACATTATTAATACTAAAATGATATGATTAAGTCAAAAGCAATCTTTAATTATATAAAATTATATAAAAAAATTTATCATTTATTTAATATTATTTGAGTAAATATTATATTACAGTAATTTATTAATATGTAAATAATTAAATGCAAATATGTATAAAATATTCATATATGATAAATATATTATCAATATATAGTTATCTCTCAATTTTATACAGAAAATCTAATATAAATATTTAGCTCATAATGAGATACATAAGCATACAAATGGCAGTAATTTAATGATTTTGAATAATATAATTGAATTATATTGAAAATCGCATCACAAGAAGGGGTGGCAATCAAGCGAAACAAACGACACGATTCTGATTCATAACTAACAGACAGACAGACAGACCGCTGCCATCAATGCCATCACTATTACCACTGGCATCACATCACTACTACAACTACTACTACTATTACCATCACTACTATCACATAATATAAAGAATATACTGTAATATAAGTTATGAGTTGCGATAGTTATTATGATATTCTGTACCGAAAAACTCAGTCCTAGTATTTCATTCTCAATACATCTCCTAATATAACACACAATAGGCTTTTGGACTCTGGATTTGGCAGTTCTTAGCAGTTGTTGTTCATATCATATATGACTCTCCAATACAATACAATACCAGACACACAGCCAGAGAAAGAGATAATAACTTTTTGTGTGAACACATTCACTGCATTTTTAGTGCCACCGATATTAGCAAACTGTGAAACTAACTATAAGAAGATTTCAATCTAGAAATGAGGGGAACTTTCCGTCAATAAAGTGCTCAAAAACCTAACCATACAACACACACACCAATTCCTACTACCAGTGCTTCACTCAACTTAATATAAGACATTTGCAACAGCGATATTAAACAAGAATAATAAAATGTATTCATCTCTGTATGTGTTTATAATCATATGAATTTTGAGCTCATATTTATTATTAAATCCCTTTTTAGTGTATGTTTTAGATCCCTTTCCTTAACACATTACAGCACACATACACATATTGACTCAAACATTAAAGGTGGGGTCCAATACAATAGTTACTAAATATCTGTATATATTATAATATCGGTATATTTAGTATATAATAATCAATATTAATAGAAAGGTATATAAAATATGACCAAAAACTAGTACCCAAAACATAGTCAGTCAATAATTGTGAATATCTACATAAATCAAGCATAAAGTCATGTAAACATTTTAATATTTAAAAAAAATATAAAATTTGCAATATTTTTGCGACAAAGTATTAGTAATTAGTGGCACAAGTGATACACCCTATCATAAATTTTAATACCTAACCGCCCATACTTTACCATAATATTCTATGCAATATAATTTTAGAAATCAATTTAATTATATAATTAATGAATATAACTAGAATTACTAGATATTCACTAATTTCTAATATTTCAGTTTCAATAGTTTTTTTTATAAAATTAAATATAAAATATTTATAATGAATGAGAACTCAATAGATGGATATTTTTATTAATGTATTATTATATCACATATTTCTATTGTTATCATAACACAAATCATTAAACTTGTAATACACATAAAAGACAGCACAAAATAATTATATCAAAAATATAACATGAAATCTAACGGAAAACATAACAATAGAATTGAAATTTACTAATAAATGTCAAAAACAAGAACAAAATATATAGAAACTTGTCTTTTGAGACATTATTTGCAATAAACCAAAACTAAATGCTTAATACATGTTTCATGAGTTTCATTACTAATTGTTAGTATAATTGTAAGTATAAATACTGGAAATAACTGTTAATATAACAACAGAAATGATAGACTTGTTTGTTTCAAAAGTTTTTGCTTATAATTAGATTTTAATTAAAACATTAAATTTGAGAAATACAATAAACTCTGACATTGTATGTATGGCTTATCCGCAACGGGAGAAAGCTTTGTAACGACACACCAATACATGATCTCCTCTTTTAACAATAATTTTATTATTGAATTATTAATTCAAAACAGTCAATGAATTTATAAAAGAAAGCAAACCTTATGTAAGAGTCGTTGTTTGACTTCTACCTTATAATATATAACATCAGTTTTATGTTGGATAACAAAATCTTTAATTTAAAACTTTTTTTTCATTACATAACACAATCGATAATAGGATGTGATCTCTTGTCATGACTGACAAACAAAAATGATTAGTATATGAATTGTAACTATAAATATGATATGACTGACTGAATGAGTGAATAAAGTAAAGAATAATCGGATTGAAAGGACAGACACTTGAGTAATGTCTAAACACTAATAAAACTTTTATATCATATTATATTGATATAGTTATACAGTATATAAGTTATATATTATATATTAGACTTGGTTTTTATGTTTCCCCTATTAGTGAATAATGCTTACAATACAGTAGAGTATATCACTAACTATTCATACATTTTGATGCGTTAGACATATTGATCGTATATATAAGTTTTGTATCGATATGTCACTCAAACCATAATAACCAGCAAATCAAACAAAGAATCGGTGAGTGAGTGAATGGGAAATAAAGCTCAGGGAGATATAGGGAGATATAAGGAGATATAGGTTTGTTAGGTTTGTCCCTTAATTAGAAAATCGAAATCTAAGTCATAGGAAATGTTATTTAATACCATATAATGGAATAATGTATTGAAGTAAAAGTGCAAAACAGTAGATATAGCACTGGTATTAAATACATACAAACTGTTTATACCAAAATGACATTTGAATTGATGCAAACATTTTGTACATAACTGTATAGTACTGAATTGAGGAGTGGTAGGGATCTAGTATTATGTGGAAAGTACAGGTTATGTTAGGTTGCTAAGTGTTGTCAACTATTAGGCACTTAATTATTGTGATAAATCGGCRCCACCAGAGAGTGAGTGGTCGTCCGCCAGAGTCGGTCATCATTGAGGCGTGAGTTGAATATTGGGTGCATTTTAGATGAAGAAGCATATATTGTATCGACACTAATATAGACACACACTTTAGTATTCATATTATGAATATACAGTATATGCTATGTATTTATACAGTATATAAAACATACCAATTTTATATATGAGATGAGAGAAATTCAATTGATTATTAATTGTATGGATGTTTGGGTTATTTTTTAAAAACCGATTCTAAAAGTGTTAAAATAGCTATTAATGGACTTAAATATAATTATAGTTAATAGCTATATGTTTATAATGTACAATATACTATATATATAAATAAATACATACATACATACATACATACATACATACAGTAAATATAGTATTTTAAATGATAATAATGCTAATACATAATTATTAGTACATAACATCTGCATTGATGACAGTAAATATAGTATTTTAAATGATAATAATGCTAATACATAATTATTAGTACATAACATCTGCATTGATGACTATCATATAAAAAACAAATTGTCACCCGTTTTGGCCAAATTATAATTATATGATAGCTTTTATAAATATAAATATATATTAATATATATCTGTTAAGTCATTAAAGCATATTTTTGGTCAAATTAACTCAGAGATAATGTTGTAATTAATTTAATAACACTTTATTAAAATTCATATCCTATTGTTTCAAAAATTATAGTACATATCGGAAAATGTATACATTAACATATGTTATTAGTTTTAATAGTATATTTAATGTGAACTAATGAATAAATTTACTATTTTGTGTTTAATTACATAAAAATGGGAAATTTTGTTCAAATTCTTTAATGACACAAAAATTGAATATTAGTATTTTTACATAATAAAAATATGTATAAATTTGATTTTAAAAATGTATTTAACTGCAAATTTTTACATATAAATAAATAAAAAGTGATGCTTGCATTTGAGAGAAAGAAAAAAAGATAGAAAGAAAGAAAGAGAGAGAGAGAGAGATTTGAAGCAAAAACTTATCCTAAAAATGATTTTAAGTTCAGTGTATTCATAAGCATTGAATAATGCGATAAAACTTATGGACTGCAGTGAACCGTCAAAAACACATTTTCAAAAAAGTAAAGCATATATAATATGCAACTTTAAATGCAATCGATTACTATAAACATCTATTTGTTGTATTTTATATAAAAAACATGACTCTTAAATAAATAAATTTAATATATTCCCACATAATATGAAATAATAAAATATTAAAAAATTGTTTATATTAAAAACAAACAATAAGACAATAATATACTAAAAGTAATAAATTTAAGATCAATATTAAATTATTAAGATTGTTTATTTATTAAATATTATTTAAATAAAATAAACACATTTTCAATCAAATCTCAAGTTTTTATTCATACAAATAATTTTAAATAAAATACATATTTCCTTAATATATATATATATATATATTAATATTTCTAACCATATATGAATGTATATAATTTAATAACTCCCTAAAAATATATTAATTTGATAAATATAAATTTAAATTAAATAAAATTTAAATTCATTTTAAAACTCTTATATATAAAATCTCTGAAAATAATCTCTTTCGTTTTAAATTAAAAATATAATATTATAATTTAAATTATAACAATCATTTGATTATTGAGTTTAGTAAATGCTTRAAATTTTTCAATTGAGATAATTATAAGTAAATTAAATCAAAAAATAAATTATAACTTTTAAATTGAATATGAAATAAAAATGAGAGTAAATACAATCACCATATCTTCATTGATTTGTAATATCTATAAATTTTAATAAACAAACAAAACATTTTTAAAATTTAGATTATCGCTAATAAATTAAATCAAATAATTATTAAATTGCTAATAATTTCATTAAATGCTAATAAGAATTATCATTTAAAACACTTATTTAAAACAAGTTTTTTAAATATTTAATTAAACTGTTTTGTAAATATTACTATAAATTCATTCATTGAATGTGAGTGTAATGTACGGTATATATGAAACTAAATAAATAAAATGATATTTTATCGGTTTAATGACAAGATATTAAATGTMAATAAAAGGTCAAATCTATAAAATGATTTCTTAAAATTTATATTCAATTTTTTTTAATGTAAAGCCAACACACAAACTATTTTTAAAATTTTAGGAAATTTGTAATCATGTTTTAGGAGACAATTACATAATATATAAGGCTCTATGAAAGTTGATCTAAACGATGGATTGTTTACAATGTTTTAGACATTTTTAATGAGAAAAAAATTATGATTGTTTGTTGGCCTCTTCATCGCCCATAAAACCGTCAATAATTTGATTCATACTTTCTCGCAATGGACTTAAGTCGTGCTCTGAATGATATATTGTGGTCTCCATTACTGTCGTGTGGCCGTCGCTATCGGAGACCGTTTCGGTTAAAACTCTATCAATTAGTTTGAAAAAATAATTAATATTTAAATAAAAAAAAATAATTATCTATAAAAACCTTGTATTGCCAGTGAATGTGGCACCCGATTCACTACCTTGACTTCGGCTGCTATTTTGTCGACCAAAATCTAAAATATCATTGCAATTATAATAATTTCATTTAAATAACTATAATACAGGTATACTGTATAAATAAAATAATTTGCATAAATCATGCAAAAGTAACCAACAAATACTACAATTATATTTATTATGAATTAAATAATATTTTTTAAAAATGTTTAACACAAAAGATAACGCCCAATCATTATAAGCAAACATTTTGAAATACAATTAAAGCCAAATACAAATTGATAGGATAACCCATAAAAAATAAGACAAATTAAATTTGAGAGTTAGTATGTGTTTAGTAAGTCATACCAAATGGGAAGTCATGGTTAGTACAATAACACGTATTTGGGCTATCATTGCATTCATTTTCATTATCACATTGTTCATCATTACCTAAGTATTTATAAAAGTATAATTTTATAGACATTTTTAAATATCTAAATTAATCGAAATAATAATTAATCGAAAATAAAATCCAAATAACAGACCGACTAATAAATTATAAAATAACACACAAATTAATAAATTAAAAAAAATTTACCAAAAAAATACATAACAAACCAAAAAATACAACTAAACACACAATCAAATGAAATGCATTAAAACAATACAATTTCATTAACCAATTTCATCTCTACCTGTGCTCTGTTTTTCACAAGTAGTACTAATCTTATTATTATTATTTTGTTGATTATTAGAGTTTGAATCAAATGTTTGTTTATTAATTTCAATCAATTCATTTTTATCGCCCGACCAGTTGGTAACAAACTGGTCCATCTGTTGCTGAGCATTAGCTCCGCTGAATGTGACGGCCCTGACTTCAGGGGTGACAGTAACTTCTTGTATAACTTTATAGGCATTTCCTAATTCMTCAATGCCTTCATATTCATCCGTATCAGTAGTTGTTTGTAATTTCATAAACGGTTCCATAAACTCTTGAATCTGTTGCGGTGCTGATGAACCGGACACTGATTTAGAGGTCAACTCCGGTCCCCGAGTTGTCATTTGTTTGACAGTTCGTCTGATTACAATATTTCCGTATTCATCGAAACTCTTTTCCTCTTCAATCACTTCACTGTCATTGATGTCTTCAGCAGCAGATTTGCGAAGCTTTTCCAAAAATTTTTCTTCTGTTTCAGAAGAACTGGAAGCACATGGTGTCTGCTGTTGTTTCGGAAGTAATCGTTTAATACGTCTAACAATCTTAACGTTTCCCATTTGATCTACTGTTTGGATCTCTTCATATTCATCTTCAAATTGTTTGCTTTGATTATCACTCGATTGATCGGCAAATGTTTTTRCTTCAGTTCGGGCCTGAAATATCGTTTCCGGATTATCGGTGCTTAAACTCATTGTTGACTCGTCTCCCGACGTTAAATGGCTGTTCACACTGGAAGTCATACCCGATTCGTTCTGATAGGTGGCATAAGTGGCGGCCGAATCGGTACTTGAAATCATACAATCTGTCGGCTTAAGAATTCCATGAAAACTATCTCTAAGTGAGTCTTCTTCAATATCAATCTCTTCTCTAAGTGTGGCCAAAACTGGTCCCGAATCAGAGGGATGCGATTGAATTGATTCAGTCATTGACTTTTCCATAATATTTTCATTTTGAAACTCTAATTCGTGTATTGAATCGTCTTTAAAATCGTCGTGAAGTGAATCAGAAGACATGGATTTATTGTCGTCTTTATATTCACAACGAATCTCATCCAAGTCTTCGATTCTATCGATCAGAGATTCAGTATTTATAGTTGAAATGGAGCTCTTGTGATGGGAATCATTACTTTCAGTGGACATGACTTTTCTGGTTAATATAAGTTGTGCAGCGCTTGCACTTGAGTTTTGAGAATGAGGTCTCGGCTTATCGTCTTTCAAGTCATCGCTGATACTCTCGGATGTCTTAGACAACGATTGCATCTTTTCGACATTGTTTTGCGCCAATCGCATCATATCATCGATTTCAGACATTCTCTTTTCATAGTCAGAGTCGGTGTCATCAGAATCACGATTTACTCCATCAGAAAGTGTCTCTTGACTCGCGTCCGACGCTTGACTTTCGTGTCCCTCTTCTATCTCTGAAAGACGATTCACATCTTCTTGTGCTTGTGATGCAAGTTTGGCTGGACTTCCACTTTCACAGCAATCCTTCTCAAATTTTTCAAATTCATTTATACTTGAGCTCATAGACTGATCATCTCTATCACTACTACGTCCCGTAAATCCCGGTTTTCCAGAGCCTAAACTCGATCCTAAAGAATCAGTGGATCCGTGATGACTGCCTTTTGTTTTAAACTCATTCTCATATCTTTCAAACTCTTTTAGTGATGACGCGGCGGAAGACTCGCCACTTTTATTTGCAGCAATTGTAATGGGTTTGCTTAGACGTGAGGCCAATGAGGATCTAGTGGGCGACTCTTCAATTTCTTCATCGACCTCTTGATGTGTATATAGTTCAACTGGTTCTTCGTTGCCATAAATCAGATCAGGAGTCAAATTGACACAATCTTCTGATGGACTTTTATCTTCAGTCTCCGGTGGAAGTGGTGATAGTGGACGCTGTAAGTCATCACTTCCAGGTTTAGGCGAATCATTTGATCCCAATTGTAAATCGGGACTCAAATCATAGGAAAGCTGATGTCTGGCGTGTTCTGACAGAACTGAACTGCAGAATGAACTCTGAGAGATAAGAGCCGTATCTGACATCATGTCTGATGAAGAAGTTTTCTCGTCTTGCATTGAACTCTGGTATTCAACAACTGTGGCATTTGATTGAATGCTTTGGCGCTCGACATCCGAAACATCCAAATCTGGATTATAATTGGCTTCAATGTGACAGTTGTTATCATTAGTGTTTAAATTATCTAACGATACAATTGAATCTGATATCGAATGAATTCGCTGTGAATCGGCAGAACCCGACTGTCCTAAATTGGTGAGTGAGCTGTGCGGTGATATCTGACCGGCCATATTGATTGTGGTGCCAATACTAGATGAGTGCCATGTATTTGAATTTTCAGATAATTGTTCACTTTCATCAATACTATTCGATATCATTAATGGAGGTCTAAAAGTACTTTTGTCATCAATTAATTGGTTCAAAGGTCCCATAGATGTTGATGATCTTCTTGGTTCTTCTGATTCTTCCATTTGCTTCCAATTAGTTCCTGACATAAAMGGCATTTCATTGCCACCTCTTATGACTGATTCAGGTATTTCAAAATCAAACGGCTCCTTAAAATCATTAACAGGAGTGGTGTTACCGATTTGATCAAATTCTTCATCACTCAGTGAACTATGTTTGCCTTCTTCTTCCTCCTCTTCCACTAATGTTTCGCTCGCTTCCGAAGATATTTCGGCTAAATGTCCAGAACTTTCGGATTCAATGGATATCGTTGAATGGCGAGAACTTTCATGACTGCCCAGTGATGTGTGCGCCGTATGATAACTGGTGTCTTGCGATGTGGCAGCCGTTGCATATGAGCCCTCTTGAGATGTAACACATGTTTCATATTCAGAGGGGGAGACACCAAATCCTGTAGCACTGCTTCGACTGCTACTATGGCAGCGTTGCTCAGGGATTATCGTCAAATCAAATTCACTAGAAGTGGGACGACTGGGAGTTTTACTGCTATCGGATACTTCAAATGATTGATAGTGACTCTCAGAACTGGAACCGGTCGACTCTCTCTCCTTTGCCGAACTGGTTCTGCTTCCGCTATCTATAGACTTTCTCGGGTAGGACAGTGTCCGTTTCAGTTCATCGGGACTCATATACTTGTCCAACACTATTGAACCCTTACGGACATAATTATCACTTTCTGTAAAACTAATTCGTTTTTGGGCTTTTGCGGTGTCGGGACTTATTGGACTAGAAGTCTCGTTAATTGGAGAAATTGAATCGTTGACCACTCTATTCAAATCATTCCAGTCGTCCTTTTCTTGTTCAACCAGATCTTCATCTGATATTTCGGACGATATGTTACTATTATGCGATATTTTTGACATTTCTTGCTTCGCCTTCAAGACAATAGTTTCGGCAATTATTTGTGCCTCTTGTCTGATCTCTTCATAAGTTTGTTCATCTAAAGTAGATTTAAGCTCTTCTGTCGATATAATCTTGATTTTACTTTCATTATAAATCAGTTTTCTTTCAGGCGATCCATTAACCACTTCTTCATTCAACTCTTTAACAAAAATCTCGTTCACAATCTGTTTCTTTACTTTGCCCTCAATTTCGCTGACACGACGCTTAACATTAACGCCTTTAAGTTCATCACAATCACTGTCATCACTAGATTTACGTCTATTTTTAAGTGTCTCATCAGTGCGATCATCGCTGACCGTCACTTCAGACGACAAATTAGTATTTTGGGAAACATTACGATAATTGTCTGTACTTTTATAAGAGGAATCAGTAGTTTCTGTGAGCAATCCTTCAAAAAATTGTCGTTTTGATTCAATACTATTATTATTATCATTATTGTCGTTACTTTGCTGCGCTTCATAAGCTCTGATATCTGGCTCGTTGTCATTGGTCGGCGAATTGCCAACTTTGATCTGATTGTCGACATTCATATAATTGCTATAATCACAGACAGGAGACAGCTGTTCATCGGACACGTCGACCACTTCAGGTGGTGACGGTCGCGGAAATACCGACTGATTGCTGTCATCGTTGCTATTATTATTGGTTTGGAGACCAAAACTCGTCGGAAGAAGAATTTGCGAATGACTTTGCTTTTGCAAATCGCAAGCATTTGTGGCAATAATAGACTCTTCATTTTTTATAGACTTTGCTGTTTTGTGTGAAAGAGTTTAAAGCAAGTGATCAATGCTTTCAAAAAAGCAATTTTACAAAACACTTAATTATAGGCATAGTTGACAACCAATAAACTCAAATTTTAATTTAAATGATATAAGTTTTTATCATTTACTAAATTATAATATAAATTATTATTTTTATTTATCTAATGTTTTTATTCTTAAATTTAGTGTCTACTGATTGTCAATTACTTAGCTATAAATAATAAAATCTTTATTGGGATTRACACAACACAATATTTGCAATGGATCTATTGGGATAAATGGGTCGCCATATGAAAATAAAATAATTTATTAAGTAAATTAAAATAATTGAATATATCCCACCTTTATCACCATAAAAACACAAATTAAATAATTGGATGCAATTTTATGTGAATAATTTTATTTTCAATGAATTATCAATTAAAATAAATTCTTGTGAATTATTAACTTAATAAACTCTTTTATTAAATAGTGTTATTTTATAATTCATATAAATAATAAAACTCCCATATATATATATATATATATATATATATATATATTTAAAAAACTTAAAATAAACTTTAAACAAAATATCATTTATTATTAATGCTATATTTGTCGTAAATTTAAGAAACATTGTATACTTAAAATGATATCAATTATAATTAGTTGAGTATATTTTGATTTCAACAACGAAAAATAAATGCTAAATTAAAATCTCTAATATTATTTAAATCTATGTTAAAATATGATGTATTTAAATGCAAAATTTATAATTTTTAAAAAATATTAATATCTGTTAAATATATAAATCTTTGAAGTTTGAAATGCTTTGCTTGTAATCTCTTTTTGAAACTTTTTTAATATTTTGCTCTGAAATAAAATAAAGAGATATTTAACAAAACCATTTAAATTTTATGTATTTTTATCGTTATTTCAATAAATTATTTTGTTAATTATAAAATTTTTCAACACTATTTTAGTATTATTATTATTACTTAAAACTAATTGATTGATAAATATATGAAAACCAAATCTACAAAATGCGTTTTATAATTTTATAAATTGGTTAAAATTTTCATTGAAAAACAAAATCTATGACATTAAATGTATTATAACATTAAACTATTGTAAACGATTGTAAACATTATTGTGATATTAAAACAACAAATAATATAAATTTATATATAAAAGCAAAGAATTAGTGATAAGTGCAACAAAACAAAGCGTTAGGATTTAGACAATTAGGATACTGTTAGTTATACTGTATATATGTTAGAAATTAATTGGACACAAACGCACACTTAATTTAATTGTCACTTACATTTGGGATCTCTTTCATCTGTAATAATAGTCGATGACTGCTCTATAATGTGATGAACACATCCACTTTCGTCTTCCTCAGTCCACTCTGTAATTCAATTAAAACAAATTATTTTAAATGAAACGTTTCATATAATTCATAGATAAATACAAAATACATTTATTTCTTACAATATTTGAGATAAAAATCATGCAAAAAGTGTTAGGATATTAGGTTTGAAAAGAAAAACAGATAGAATGACTGATGAAATTTAATTTTAAAATTAAATCTTTATTCAATCACTTATTTATTTGGTATATTACATAAAATTTTGCATTTAATATTTTATTAATGCAGTTTTTTACAGATTAAAAGTATTTAAAAATTAATTTTAGAAATTGAAGTATTTGTTATTATAATTATTAGTATAATGTTTTGCAGTAAATACTAATTATATGTTAAATGAAAATTACATTAAATAGACAGAGTGTTAATCAAAAAATTTTAATTACTTGTTAGAAATAATAATAACAACAATAATGTTTGGCAATTGGTTTTTTTGACATTAATTATTAAAATCTATCAATTGTTCACCTTTTTGTTCGACAATTGCATCGAAATGGGGCTCGTCTTCAACGGAAGTGGTCACTAAAGCCGACGCAATATTATCACCAGTGTTTGTGGTCGTAGTGCTCGAAACGGTGGTCGTCGACGGCTCAGACTTTTCGTCTTCTGGTAAACTCGAAACCGATACTTGACTCGTGTCTTGTTCTGAATGCCACGTCTCAGTCTCCAAGAGCTGCCGATTGGCGCCATCGTCCACATCTATATACATATAACACATACATAATCACTATATTTTACGTAATCCATTATAACAGATATACCTTGGCTTTGGACAACAGTTGTTTTAGTGACGGCAGTGATGGTATGCTTAATGGATCCGTCGTCAAGAATACTAGTCGTTTCTGTCGTTCGTACTTCAGTTGGTTCTATTAAGAAGTTAAACAGTAAATAATAACATAATTTTTAACCACTTTATACCATYATATGTTTGGCCATCAGAAGGAATAGGCATCTCTTCATTAGCAAAAAAATCGGAAGCACTGGTGTCTTGTCTATCCTGTTCTTCTAATAACTCTAAAAACTTTTCGGCTGCCGTTTCACGAGCTTTATGATCATCTGTTTCACTGGTAGTACTTGTTTGTCGACTTCGTGGCTTCTCAGCAGAGAAAGATCGATCTCTCTGTGCGATTCCCGCTTCGCTTCCACTTTCTTCAGCAGATTCTGCTTCCTATATAACAAATATGTCAATCATTTAACAGTAATCACGAGTTAATAAAGTGAGTCATACTTTCATAATGTCCTGTTCGTCATAAGACACATCCAAAGAGGCTTCTCGACGAAGAGAATCGCCACCTGATGTTGTCCTCAAATGACTCAACCCATCCTTAATAATATCGATTCCATTTGTCACAAGAAGCTCACCATTTCCTGTACTCAATTTGTGGTCAGGTGTAGCTAAACAAAGACAAAATTAATGATATATTTATTGAAATAAACATAAGTAAAATACATACACAAACCGTATTGTTTGTCAAAGTCATGTGGAGAGTCTTCTCGACAAATGTCTGGCAATTCAATGTTAAGGTTGCAAATGGGTTGTTGTGTTACTTCAGAACCTCTGATGCGTTTATTATCTCTCATAAAAGCTATTCGTCCGATCGGCTCTTGATTCGGATCTTTTACTCGCATAACAAATGGTAATCTATTTTCTCTAAACGCGTGAAACGTAAGGCTCAACTGTTCTCCCGATTTGGTGACGGGAATCAAATTTCCGGCAAACTCTAAGAATTGTGGTTTATTTTCTAGTACTTCTACGTCACGACTTTTAGCCACTTCAGTGAAGTGTTCTTGATTTTCAAGAGTTTTATCTTCTTTATCATCGGTCATACAGAAGACCCTAAGCTGTGCTTCTTGAGGATCATGACGTTTGGCAAATACAACAAACTTTGACATAAAAGGCACGTGAATTGCCTCCATATATAATTCAGTGGCAAATTTTGTCGCCTCATTCACTTGTCGACAATCTATTAGCCAGAATCGGGCCGAAACTGTTGTGGTAAAGGAAACACAATCGTTGACAAACGTCAATGGCGTCGAACCGGTCACGTCCTCCCATTGGGCTCGGGTTGTTCCGCCTAATTCAGTTGGTTTTTAAGTAAATTAGTGGCTTAAAACATAGCCATTTTTATATAAAAACTAAAAATCTCATATATTTTTTWAACTGAATCAATTGGGTTAATGTTCTCAACTCAAGTTATGATAACTTAACAAAAAAAGAGAACAACCCTTTTATAATAATAATAATAATCAAATAAAGCCCTCCTCAGGTATGTCTCCCTTCCTGCACCTGCACTCTCACTATGCATATTATTATCTAATATTAATCCCTTTCTGAGTTAATAAGCAAAGCAGCAAAAGAAAAGATTAAAAACATATCAAACATAAAAGGCATTCAAATAAACAAAAAAGTTTAGACCCGATAAACACTACACGTATTTAGACAATCAAAGTGATGTTTTAGATTAAATTAATTAACGATAAAAATTTTATTAATTTAGTTTTTTTAATAAATAAAACTAGTGTTAGTATCAAGCGGTGATTTTAAAATATTTTAAGTATATAAACATTTAGTACAAGTCTATAACTTGAATGGACGGACATTTATAAAAAAAATAAGAAATAAAAACATTGTGTGATTAATAAAAGTGAAGCCATGAAAAAAACAGTGATGTGTTTGTGAGGAAAAGCAATTGAGAAGCAGAGAAGCAAAAGGGGAGACAGACCTGACTTCGTACTACCTGTTATACTGCATAAGAGTCGCAGTGTCGGTGCGTCGCCGGTATACTGGTTGATCATTCCGCGGGTGGCCGCCTGGGGTACCGGTATTGTCAATGTTATGGGTTTATGAAATTTGCGCCGACGCGGCTCGATTGTACAGATGGGTGAGACGGCCACCCGATTGCCCAACATTTTAGTGACCAAATCGATGGGAATTGGTTGGGCCTATGAAGAAAAGCAAACGAGGAATGAAATTCAGTGAGAATGAGTTCACATATCATTATAATTATCTTTTTTTTGGGCCTTTTTTAATAATCACATTATTATCATCGGGATTGGCATTAATGGTCAGTATTGATATTTAGTATATAAATTGCAAACTAATAGACTAAACACTACACTAACTTATCAATAACGACTCATTGTGTATCCAAATGATAATACAGTACTAAATATTTAAGTGTTTGATAATTAGTTAAAAGAGTAAGAATAGTAATAATTAGTTAATAGATGCGATATATAGGACAGACAAGCAAAGTCATTCTCCATTGCATAGCATTCCCCCTCACTTTTCTTTCAGTATTAATAATTGCATTGAAAACAATAGTATCATTTGATTTCAATGAAAAGCATTTTTTATTTGAAAATTCACAAAAATAGATACAGTGTTCGCAAGTTTACAGAAATAGACACTTAAATGTTAGTAAATATGTTAAATGAAATGAAAATTAGAATAATAATAGTAATAATAATAATAATAATAATAAGCAATTATTAGGCCCAATTCAAACTAATTTGTTAGTATTGAAATCATACAGTAAAAGTAATATACAATTAATAATTAGTAATTATACTAATAAATAGTACATAAGTATTAATCTTGAAAAAATTATTAAATATTATCTAATATTTCAATACACTTTTCAAACTTCAAATATATTTTCATTATAATCTTTAACTTATAGAATTATAGATCATTAATTTAATATTTTTAATGTATGCATGATTAATTGTAATAGTGCACAACACGCTTAATTGTATAGTTAAATAATAATCTATGGAAGCTAATTTTAAGTTAACATTAATTTAAAATTAAGCGTTCAATAATTTAACAATTTTATTAATTATATAACATGTGTAAATATTTTTGTTGTTGTAAAACTATTATAATAAATATGTTAACTATGATAATATTTAAAATTTCTCTCTCACTATATCTACATTGATATTAAAAATATGTAATGCATATATTTATTAATATTTGTTCATTTTGTTAAATAATGTCATTTTTAAAAATATATTCAGTCATTTATATTTTGTGCTCAACAATTTATAATCATATTTTATTATCAGTATAACATTTATAAACTAGAAATTATGAATTTTAATTTATAGAATGTATATTATTATTGATTTATCATAATTCCTAAAATAAATGGTATTGAGGTAATGATATTTTCAAACTAAATGTTAAGCACAAATATAAATAAAATGTTCCTGGATAAATTAAGTTTCTATTCTAAATAAAAAATTTGAATAAAATATATATAGCATATATTAAATGTAATTTAATATAACATTTGATATTTTCATCTGATATTTTTTATATGTTTTTTTTGATAAACTAAATATTGAATATATATATTATTTATTGTTTGTTATATTTGGTTCGGAAATAGATGCACACATAAGTTGATATATAATATTAATAAATATTGTAAATAATGACTGATTAGATCATTCTGGTAAAGAGATCAACATTTGGAACGGTAGCTCTCAATAGATACCCTATACAACCATTACTGGGCGGACGTGTATTTTTAAAATCAGTTTTATGATCATTGGTTTTCTGAGTATTTTTCTTAAATTTTTTAGATTTCTTTATAGACTTTGTCATTGTATCTGTTTGAGTGCTCTTATCTTTTCTATTATTTTTAATCTTATGTTTATTATCTCTACCCTCAATGTTATTCATAAAAATTGTGTGTTGAGGCACAACATCACCATTGATGCCGACATTATGTTTGGCTCGTTTTCCGAACCTTTTTCTGAATCCCTCTCCAATCCCACTAAATAAACCCCGTTTTTTGTTTAGTTTAACGATGCCGTCCATCGGCTCAATTACTTCAATGCGATCACTATTTCCTACCTGTAGTCCCACTTTTATTTTCTTAGTTAACGCTCCCTCGGGAAAGATAGCCTGAACTTGAGGTACGACAGTCGATGATACCATTCCTCCTTCGGGTCCAATTGCGTGTACTTCTTGTCGGATACGAGTTATTATAGCGAAATATTGAGGAAAGTCTGTCGTCAATATTCTTGTAATGCGATTACTACTGAAGTCATCCAATTGGTTGACATCTAATCAAAACAATTTTAATCATATTATTACTAAAATATAAACAAAACAAATTTCATATGAAAACACTACCATTTTCTCCTTCAAAGCTTTCATTCAGCACTTCCTGTACGGCTTCTTCAGATGCTTCGAGTGCGTGTTCCTTCCAGTTCTCTCCGTTATCACTTCTCAATATAATTATCTCCCTTTCCCTACCACGTAGTGACGCAAAGTGTGGTACTTCAATGATAACCGGACTAATGTTGCCGTAAGAAATAAATTTATTCAAATAATAAATTCATGTCACAGTGTATTACCCGAGAAATTTAGCGCCGGCCGGTCCCATCTCAAGCAAACGTGAAGCACAGGCCTCTCCCTCCATAAGTGGTGGCGGATGAATCAGTTTCTCTTTTCTTATATATCTGCAAGTAATTCTCATAGGCATCGGCGCCTTTCGGGGCGGTATAATAACCCGAACACCCGAATGTCGACACCCTCTCATAGCCCCTCCCCGAGCATCGACCATAAAACTCACCAAAAAGCTAATAAAAGTAAATATTATTAATATTTATTGTTATTTCATAAATTTGATGCAAAATTAATAGATTAGTGTTTTAGCGTAAAATCAATATCCACTTACGTCTTCCATTTTAATCGTCTATTACATGACATCCGACGTGCAAACAGGCATTTATTTTATAAGGAAAACAATTTTTTATTATATAAGCAATTCAATTGAGAGCTCAATTATACTGTATATATATATATATATATATATATATATATATATATATATATATATATATATATATATATAAATATATATCATTTTTATATAACACGTGCATTGGATTAAGGTATCACTGGTTGAGCATTCATTTCATTTTATTCAAAAAGCTTTTATTAATTACATTAAAAGCCTATAAATGTCTTGTGTATTGCACTACTTAGCATTTGAATTGTGTAAGTTATATAACAAACAAAATAACATTTTTAAAATAAGATATTTTTAGATGTGATAGCAATATAAAAAACAGCCTTTCATTTAATACAAAATGTCAAACATATAATTGCCTTAAAATAATTGTTGTATTTATAATAAGCACAAATATTGTATGACTTAAATATCAAATAATAAATTGAATAACAAAYAATTTAGATTTGATAAATTTGGTAATATTTTATACACAATATACAATTTACAGGTATAAACATAAATAAAACTTATTGTATTGTAAGCTTTTCTTTTTATAACAGCAATTAATATGATGAGACCATTGAGGAAAACATTTATAAAAAACAGGGAAATTATAGTTAAATGTTAGTCAAATCTCATCAATTGGTTATTTATTAGTATATTTTGAAAGCCATTAATAGAGAGATAAATATGTGAGGATAAGTCACACCTTCGGCGTCTCATTCTTAATGAGGCTTCAAGAGGCCCGATGTGGTATCGCCAGAGACGCTGATGAGGAAACTCCAAATCATTGATATTTAAAGTGCTGTCACATTTAAGGGTAATTTCAAAATATAGTTTATTACTCAATCAAATTTAAACCCTTAACCATAAGCGCTTAATTATTAACATATAATTATTAAATTAATAATAAATATCTAATAATATTGTATTTGTGTAAAGACATGCCCCGATATAAGTGAGATAATTGTGTGCCAACACAAGGCATTGCAAGGCATCGGCCTCTTCGGTAATTAATAATTAGCGCCCAAATCCAGTGCAAGTGTAATATTTTTATGAAAGTTATTAAATCACTTACCCGGCCTGTATGGGTGCCCGAGAGATATCAATATTGTCGGGTGCTAATGCATTCACATACGACTCAGTCATCAACATATGATGCGGTGAAAAGAGCTCCTCGTCTACAGTAATTGGTGCTGTCATATGTCATATACAATAATTGAGTCCATTTAAACACCTGTATAATACCATAACAATAGTACAGACATACCGAGTAGATCTTTAGTGCTGTCGACGCGTTCATCTTTGGTCACATCAAATGGTAACGAATCGTCTCCTAATGATTTCATTTCATCGGCGGTCAGATATCTATATGATTGGTCGCCCAGCATATTGTCATCAGCTGTATAACACACACACAAAAAAGTTTAATATGTTATCTAATAAACTATTATAAACTATTACAACATAACTACACAATCAAATGCACAATTGAATCATTTTGAAGATCTAACCAATTGATACTAATATAAATTAATTTTGGAAGCAAAAAAAATATAAAAAATCACAAATAAAAAGATAGTCAAAGAAAGTCAATACAAGTGATACTGTATAACTATATAAAGTTATATAAAGTATTATATAGAGTACATATAGAGTATTTATAAATATTTATATATAAAGAGAGAGAGAAAAATAGATATCAATAAATATATCAAATTACTCATTAATATATATATTTATGTGAATAACTTACAAGTGGTCTGTAATTTTTGAGTCTCAAAGTAAGGAAGAAAGACATGAGAAGAGTGGGACTGTTGCCCACCCGCTAGAGTCGACTCCTCAAGAAATTCTTCACCTGATTATATGGTATAACAATTTATGTATCATTTTTTTTTGTTCATTTCATTTAAGTTATTCAGGTTTTTTTTTTGGTCGCATTTGTGTCATTCATTCATTCATTTATTTAAACTAAATATAATTAGTTTTTTTTATTTAAACAACATCGATATATATACTCAATTTGTAAACAAACAAAAAATAATGAATAAATAGCTACAAAAAAATCAATTGAAAAAATCAGGTGAAAAACAGCGCCAAATAATAGTTCTGTCTATTTTGTTATGACTACTATTAGGCGACAAATGTATAAAAAAAAGCTGTTTAGAGCTTTTATAGTTGTTATGCCATTATTTTATATATGTTATTACTATACTTATGCATTTTCGGGAGCTTAAATGGCCAAAATCGGTCGGGAAATCGGGAGTAAAAAATCACAAAATCGGGAGATTAATCGGGAAATAAATTTTATTTTTTTTGCATTATAATTAGCATATATAGTTTAGTTGTCACAAAATTGGTTATATTTAATAATAAAATGATATTTAAGATTATCTTTAGTAAACTTATGTCTTCTATCAGTGAGAATATTCTTATATTCAGAAAAAGAGCGCTCGATGTCCACTGATTTTAACGGTGCATATCTTGTCAAACATTTTGTCTCAAAGTCTTGTGAATCACAAAAGTCTTCCAAATCTTTATTCTTTGCCAAACACATCAATAGTTTTTCTTTAGCAAAACCAGACAATTGCTGTACAGTATTATCAATAATACTTTTTTGATCATTTATTGGTATATTTGAAGACATCAGTTGTTTTGTGGATTCAATTAATATTTTGTAATTTTCAGAATCAAATAATTGATTCTTAAATTTTATATCATTTATTAATAATTTAAGTTTTTTTATTGACTGATTGTTAGTTTCCTGTTTCAAACTATTGACAAACATTTCAATTTTAACAAAATTTGTGCGATAAAACATAACAGTTTCTAACCAAGTTTTCCATCGGGTAATGACAGGAATAGGAGGTAACGGGAGAGCAGTCGTCTCTCTATAAAGTAGTTCTTTTGATTTCGAAGTTAATAAACATTTTTTCATTGAAGAAACAAATATATTTAATTCAGAATATTCTTCTTGTATTTTACGACACACTCTATCTAATGCGTGAACAACACATGTTATATGAGACATCTTCGGGAAAAAAATCTTTAAATTGGTACCAACTGTCCTCATATATGATGCGGCGTCTGTGACTAAAAGTAACACTTTATTATATTGTATACCTTGAGGCCAAAGTATTTGACAAGCATTTAAAAATGCAGTTTGAATTGTGTTATGTTTAGTGTCTTCAATGAACTCGACATCAATTATCATTGGTTTACTATACTCGCCATTTAATATACCAACCATTATATTAAACACTTTTCGATCGCAACTATCTTTTGTTTCATCTATTATAAAATATACATAATTTTCGGCAACAATTTTTCTGATATTATCAATAGCTTTTAGATATAATGGCTTTTCATATCGTTTAAGTGTTGTCTGATTTGGTACCACTTTTAAAACAAATTCTTCAATGAATCCTTTTAATGCCGGAGACATTACTTTATGAAAAGGTATGTTTGATTTAATGAGTGTTTCAGTCAATCGCATTGTAAAATAGTCTTCAGTATCTTTTTTCTGATTTAACGTTTTAATTGATTCTGATAGCAATTGTTGTCTTTTTTGATCACCTTTTGCTTTAATCTCTCGGTGTTTAAGATGTGATGCACTCGACATGTGTTCATTGATACGGCATTTGTATTTACTTTCGGAAATAATTATTTGTTTCACACAAACCATACAAAATACACATTCATTTTCAACTTTTAATTCATTATTTGATTTTAAAAATAAATTTAATTTAGATTTTAAACTACTCTTTGTTTTACCCATTGTTTACTAAAAATACAAATATTTCATATTATACTTAAATATAATATTTTACAAAATTACAGTTTTTTATATCAAATAATAATTACAATATTTTTTGTGATTTTTATGTACGCTTGCGTCACTTCATTGCTTTTTAAGTTAATATAGTTTTGAATTTGTTGCTAATGTTGTATTGACTATATATTTAGTTTTTGTTAATCAATATTTAGCGAATTTCGGGAAAAAACACACTTAAATACTGTTTTTCGGGGTTTTTCGGGATTTTCTCAAAAAACAACAAAAATCGGGAAAATCGGGAAAAACAATAGACGTTAATTTCATTTAAAATGTTGCCATATTTCTATAAATATTAAATTCCCGACGATTTAATGAATATTAAATTTTCGGGAATTCCCGAAGAAACATAACTCTAGTTATTACACAGCAAATTATATTATTAGTAATCACTCAGTCAAACATTATGTAATAATAGAAATTAAAATAGTTATTATTTAATTAGATTTATATAAAAATCACACAAAATTCGTGCTTTAATTTTTAAAGCAAATACTAATATCTGTACTCTTTAAGAATTGAAATACATTTGACGCCAACAGTAAATCTTTGATCAAAACATAAATTAATTTTAACTTCAATTTAAAAATAAACAAAAATTAATAGTTGCTTTCAAATGCAGTCAAAAATAAATTATCTAAATCTAATAATCTAAATAAATTAGATTTCACAATCAAATAGACAGTTATAATTCAAATTAATTTGTGAGGGATTAAAAAGTGAAAGGAATCATTTGAAAATAAATCAGTAATATATAAATGTTAATAAACAAAATTATCATCAAATCATATAATTAATTTCACAATCAATTAAGTTAAGCTTAAAATTTTTGAAGAAACCTTTTAAACAAACAAAACCGTGCAATTGAAACACAATAAAAAAAGTTGATAAACAAAACAAAGAAGTAAAGTGTTGAACCCAATACCTGCTTCATCTTCTGAATCACTCATAAAAGTCTCGTGCATTGTCTCGGGTGCCACCACTTTGTATTTTTCTTCGGTTACTGTCGTTGTTGTTGTCTTTACCATAGTTTCTGTTACCACTTTCAGTGTCTCCACAACTGATATATAGCCTAAACGCTGAGCGATTGACAAAGCTGTCTGTCCCTGACTGGTCACTGCGTTTGGCGATGCCTTATGATCAAGCAATAGATTGACAATAGCTGTGTGTCCCTGTTGTGCCGCTTGATGTAATGGTGTGTAACCATGCTATTAGATAAATCAAACAAAACGATAATTATCAATAATTAATAAATACCTGACCTAGTTTAGATACATAGGCCTAAATTACTTACAGCATTGTTGGCGTTAACATCGGCGTTATTTTGCAGCAAAAATCTGACCATATTTAACTGACCAAAATGAGAGGCCACATGCAATGGTGTGTAACCAGCTTTAGTTTGTGGTGATATCTCGACACCGTTTTTAGCCAATATAGTGGCCACATTCACTCTGTCCTCCTGTGCACACAAATGCAATGGTGTTAACGAGTTTTTGGCTTTAATGTTAACATCTGCCTGATGACCAATCAATAGAGTAGCCATATCTGTATGACCCTCTTGTGCGGCCAAATGCAAAGGTGTAAAACCGGCCTAAATAACAAAAAATACAAATATTAATAATCCATTATTTTTAGCAAAATTAATACCTTTGATTCTGCATTAGCTTTGGCGCCATATTCAAGAAGGGAAGTGGCGATATCCATTTGGTTCTTTCGGGCGGCAATATGTAGAGGACAGTAACCATTTTTAGCTGTCGCATGAGGGGAGGCGCCCTTTTCCAGTAATAAAAGAGCTACATTTACGTGATCGTAATGAGCCGCACAATGCAATGGAGTCACATTATTCTGTAATTTATTAATTATCATTTTTAACTATYGGTTTTTTAATAAATATGAACAGTTATATTGTTAACCAATAATCTATACCTTTCCCTGTTCATCTACCGGTGCATCTTTGCTAATCAAAAGTCGAGCCACTTTAATATTTCCATATTTGGCCGCCAAATGCAAAGGAGTAAACCCTTTCTGTATTTATAAACAAAATACTTAGAAAATAACATTTTTAAAATTTTCTGATTACAATACTTTAGTTTTAGCGGTAAGAGAAGCTCCCTGTTCTAGAAGAATAGTTGCCACTTCTTCTTGGCCCTCTTTAGCTGCAATGTGTAGTGGTGTATACCTATAGGTTAACCAAACACACAAAATATAACATTTATCGGTTAGTTTAAAAACACAGATTTTTAATGCAAACATGTCTTTAGTTGTGGCATCAATATCAGCGCCATTTTGTAGAAGAAGTCCTACAATATCGACATTTCCTAGACGTGAAGCAATATGAAGAGGGGTTTGTTGTTCCTATTTTGGAGATTAAAACTATAAATATAATTCATAATTAAAAACCAATTTAAACAAACCCTGGCCTTAGCATCGACTTGAGCTCCGTTTCGCAACAAAATCCTAATAATATCTATTTGGTTAGCTCTGGCCGCCAAATGCAGCGGTGTTTCGCCTCTAACTGTTGGAACGTCTGGATTCGCCAAATGTTGGATCAGATATATGACAATATTCATACATCCCATAAAAGCTGCCACATGTAGTGGTGTTAAACCAGATTCAGTGGTCGACTCAATGGATGCTCCGTGTTTTAGAAGAAGTTCCACAACTTTTATTCTGTTCTTTTTGCACGCAATATGCAATGGAGTGAATCCATTCAAAGCTCGAGAGTTTGGATCTGCTTTACGATCTAATATGAGTTTTGCTACCCTTACATGACCGCAATGAGCGGCAACATGAAGTGCGGTCAAGTAGTCCTTTCAAACAAAATTTTTTTTTAAAAATCAATTAACAAATAAATTTAATAAATCATAGTTAATACATACAACAGTAATGTCATCGACCGGTGCTTTATGAAATAAAAGTATACGAGCACTATCCACGTGATCACCTGTTTTGTAATAATATTGTTAATTACCGTAATATTAGAGTAATTAATTGGACAAACCTTGTGCTGCCATATGAAGTGGTGCCAAACCATTCTGTAAATATCAAAAATAATWATTTAATGACATAATACTCGTAATTAAATAATTTTCATTACTTTAGTCTTCGCCGAAATAGGAGCTCCTCTTTCGAGAAGTAAATCAACCACTGGTTCGTGTCCACTACGAGCGGCACAATGAAGAGGTGTGAGTCCATCTCTAGTGGAGGCGTCGATCTTAGCTTTTCTATCCAGAAGAAGGGATACCATATTGACTTTACCCCATTTGGACGCCACATGAAGCGGAGTAATCTGATGTTTGGCCACAAAGTTTACGTCTGCATTCTTGTCGAGTAGTAATGCAGCGATGTTTTCGTTGCCGTAATGAGAAGCGATATGAAGAGGAGTAAAACCAGATTTGGACGTCACGTCTGGGTTGTGGTCGTTCTGTAGAAGAAGGGCCGCAGCTTTACAGTCGTCCTTTTTAGCGGCCACATGAAGAGCGGGTAATCGCACTTTGCCTTTAGTATCATTTTCAAGCAATACAGCTACCACTTTGTCGTGTCCCTGTTGTAGCGCTACGGCTAATGGTGTAAAGCCGTCTTCAGTGGCCAAACTCTGGTTAGCGCCGTTAGACAATAAATATTTCACCACTGCGTCATGATTTTCTTGAGCCGCCATATAGAGCGGCGAAAAACCATTGAGAGATTGAACATTAACGTTGGCGCCATTTTGTATCAACACTTTAACCACTTCAAGTTGTCCAGCGAGTGATGCAATATGTAATGCAGTGTTACCTTAATTGCAAGTTTGATGGTATTGTAATTTAGTTATAATAATTTAAATACAAYWTCAACTWATAAGAAACTAATTGAAAGACCAATAAATATAGACCCATTCAATCATACCTTTCTGTAAAATAAAAAAAATAATATTAATTAGTTGTTAATCAAATGCAATATAAAAAGTTATGTCACTTTTGTGGCGGCATTAACGTTGGCGCCTCTTTTTAACAGCTCATTCACCACCGAGACGTGTCCCTCCTTTGATGCTAAATGAAGAGCATTGAGTCCGTTGGCATTACTGGTATTGATATCAATACTGCCCTTAAGATATTCAAGCACTTTGTCGAGATTGCCGGCTCGGGCCGCGCGAAGGAAACTTGCGTTTCCATCGGTCTGTTAAACATAACAACAAAAATTAACTTAATTTCATTAAATGTCAAATTATTTTTTCATTAATTGAATTATGTATCAAAAAGTTAATTAGCCGTCGATTTTAATATAAATATGATATATAATGTGATGTCATGTATTGTATAGCATTTACACACAATTATTAAAAACATATCTTTATCCAATCAAATATCATTTATAATACAAACTTTTTTCTTGACAATGCCTACAATGACAAGCAATGCCAACGATGCGGTGGCCGTTATTATCAATGCTATATCATCGATAATCAATGGCATAATTTTTTACAATAAAATCACTTGTTATTACACAATAATGATAATAGACATAGCGATTAAAGTTAACAAAAGCGGAAAATGTTTTTTAAATTAAATTATATCTGAGAAAACGCTAATCGTTTTAAAGAATATAAAATTCCTGTTTAGAAAATCAATAAATATTATACTAAAAATATTATTTATATTATATTGAATTTGACTTTACTTTAACATTCAATAAAACAAATCATTTAACAAACAATATAAAGTAATAACTATAATAATATAAATTTTTAATGTAATAAAATGTGTCAAAAATATTAATCCCTTTAAGGAATTTCATTTCATTATAATATCCTATCATTGAATTTATTTGAAAACATATGAATTACAAAAGATAATTGTTTATCAAAAAATACATATATTTGTTATAAATATTGTTATACAAAAAATGATAATAAAATATGACATTAAAACACAGATAAAAATTATATAAATTCAGAGACAATAACAACTTAAGTATTACAATAACCATCAATACATTCTCAGTGTTTGTAGTGTGAAATCAAGTGTTTCATCAAATTTATTGAATAATTCATTATTTGTTTTATTATTACAAAATAAAACAATGTTTTTATATTTCATTTTTATTTCATTTTGTGCACACAAAATGTGAAATGAATTAAATATAAATCACCTAAAAATAAATAATAATAATAATAATGATAATAATGTTAAGTATAGCCAAAAAATCGATTCAATGTATATATAAAAAATATATTAAATGTAAGACTAAGTATATATATATATATATCCTATATTTAATATAAAATACCATATAATGTATTTATATTTAAACACTATTGTATAACATATATTATTAAGTAGTATATTGTATAAAATATATAATATTGTCTAATATTTGTATTTATAGCTAAACTTCTATGTGTTGTATATTCACACAACAAAAATCAATAAATAATAAATCGATTAATTTATTAATCATTTGGTTTAACAACAATTAATTTATTAGAGATAAACATTAATTACTGTAATATTAATTTTAGTGTAAATATTAATATAAGTAAAAAACATTAATTTGAAAATAGAGCCCATATTTGGCATTAATTATATATTGACATCAATTCAATTCAATTCAATTGTATWGTATTTGACGTTTCATTCAATTATGATATCAATAATAGTAATAACACTTTAAATGAATCAAATAAACAATTATATGATATTTAATGACAATAGTGGCCATCAAATCAATTGGACAATAATAACATCATCAGGAAGTGATTCAAATCATAATAAAATTCATTGAAGACAACAATTGGATGAATCAAATGAAAACAATTGAATACCTGATGGCTTTGTGTTTGTTGTTGTTGTTGTTGCTGAAGATGAGACTCACTTTCGGTGACCATTTCGGGTGATTAATTTGGTCGTCAATTTAATGAATCATTTGTGCGATAAACAGTCATATCTGAGTCAAAAACTATGTGAAAGTCAGACATAAAATGCCGGTTTTGGTGTCGAGTAGTAGTCAGTCGACTGTCTATTGAGAGACTAAACGAGTCGACACTCTATTGCCATAACATAACATTCAATAGCATTAACACTAATACAGTATTACTCACTCTATGATAGTTTTGATATTTACAAACACACAGTCTATTTGATATTATTTGATATTATCCACAGTTAAAGTACAACAGTGTATAACAGTGTTTTGACTTTCACTAAAAAAACATTAAATTCATCCCAAAACTAATAATATAGTCAATAATCTAATTAATCACTAGATTTTAGGCCAAATTATCCAATGTTTGTCTCAACGCTAACTTAACTCTCCTTTTTTTAAAAAAGACTATCGTTTTTGAGTCACTATATTTGAGTAAAACTTTTTATTTTTGTTGCTTTATTTCGCTTTTCTAATAATAGACTCTTTTTTTACTAAAAAAATATAGTAAAACACATTCACAAATGTATTGTCAAAATCAGTCATACGAGTTGTCAGTTAATTAAAGTTTCCGTCTTTTAAATATACAGAGAGAGCGAAAAACTACAAATTCATTGCTAATTATATAMCAATTTATATTAGTTGTCGTTAAAGACTCAAAACTCTGTTATTGTAAAAAATAAAGAAAATAATTTTAAAGTTTATTTTAATGTTATTTAAGTGATAGCGAAAGTTAACTGTAGTTTGTGTCCTTATTTTCCACCAAAACTCTCTCTCTCTCTCTCTCTCTCTCTCTCTCCTCAATCTATATGTCTCTCTCTTTAGCCGATCTTCGCTATTATCGATCGCCAACACAACGCATGAATCGTTGGTTTGTCGCATAGTTAGCTAACCATTGAAGCCTATGTAAGGCACTGACATCCGGCAAACAGACATACAATCATATCATTGATTTATTTACATATAATATTTACTTTACTATTGAATATACAATTTGTAAATATTTTGTTTAAAATAGATGTAATGTAATGTAATTTTGATGGAAAATCAAATTAATTATTAAGATATATTGACTTTGAGTTAATTAAACAATTTATGAAGTAGTTTACCAATTATTTATTAAATAAATATTTTTTAACTCCAATTTTTAATTAAATAATTATTGTTATCAATGATATACATAATTGACAGTAATTGATGTAAAACATAGAGTAAATTAACGTCAATTTGAAACAAGTAAAAATCTATAAATAACTAGAATAAGCATGCTCATTTTGTAAGTTACATGTATTTAAATAGCAAATGAAAAATAAATTAAATAAATCTCAAAATAGTTTTTAGATATTTTAATAGTTGTGATTGTATTGTATTTAAGTTTGTTCGCTATTTGATAAAAATACAATTTTATTTATCATTAAAACTCTGTTTTATATCAAATAATTTCCACATTTGAATGTGAAAATAAACTTATAAGAAATGTTGATTACAAATATGATAAAAGTATTCAATATATTTACAAATGAGTTACTTTTGAAAATTTAAGATATTTATTACTACCGTATATACTGTATATATATATATATATATATATATATATATATTATATTTTGAGTTAAAACCAGTTGAGAATGCTAAAAAGCATTTCCATACGAACTCCTTATCCAAAGTAAATTTTACTGATGTTGGGTATCAAATGATTTAGTATGACAAAATAAACTCAACTATAGTCATGTGAGTTATCAAATGATTCAGTATGACAAAATAAACTCAACTATAGTCATGTGTGGTATCAAATGATTCAGTATGACAAAATAAACTCAACTATAGTCATGTGAGTTATCAAATGATTCAGTATGACAAAATAAACTCAACTATAGTCATGTGTGGTATCAAATGATTCAGTATGACAAAATAAACTCAACTATAGTCATGTGTGGTATCAAATGATTCAGTATGACAAAATAAACTCAACTATAGTCATGTGTGGTATCAAATGATTCAGTATGACAAAATAAACTCAACTATAGTCATGTGTGGTATCAAATGATTCAGTATGACAAAATAAACTCAACTATAGTCATGTGTGGTATCAAATGATTCAGTATGACAAAATAAACTCATTTTTAATTCTCTACAAAATTCTTAACGTTAAAATTTTTAACTAATTTTTTTCTTTGACCATTTTTTCTATCTTCCCGAAGAGATATCAAAATTTTAAAGCATATTTTTTATGCTTGTTTTTGATGCTTTATTCAAATCTATACTCAAAAATTTTTACCTAAAATTTTTTTGACTGGCCGCCATTTTCTCTATGTTCCCGAAGAGATATCAAAATATATATATTCAAAATTTAAAAATTCAATAAAAAGCGGACGGACGGAAGGACGGAAGGACATATAGAATTCAGATACGTACTCCTTTCAGGAGTTCGTGAAAATATTCGACATAATTTTAATATTAATGAATATCAAAAATATAATTTGCATCATAGATATATAATTTCTATAGAAAAACATACATTAATGTTAGTTTTATTAGAAAAAAGCAATTCAAAACTATAAATCATTTTAACTATTATACTCTAATTACATTATTTTTTATAATTGTTTAATTTGATCTTATTCATAAAACATTATTAAATAAATTCTAAAATAAAATTATTTTCTAAGTAATTTATACTTTTAATCAATAATAAACATAAGTAATGTTTTATATGATATTTTTCTTATAATATCATATTATTAATACAGTTACATACTTATATGTAAGTGCAAAAACATTAAAATATGAGTAAAAATCTTAATTATATAAAATAAATCGATACATAAATTAATCTTATAAAAACTTATCTCTAGTTTGAATAGTCATGTAATAATTTGAAACAATGATAAACATTGAAAAAATAAATCTGGGATAGTTTATCAATGAAATCACTCATCACTTTTAAATACCCTTGAATTTGTATATAACAAATGCTTTTACAGTTTTACACACAATGTAATACACATACACACCCATTACAGTTGTCTGTTGTATGTAATAGTTATACATTTTTTGTTATATAATACAATCACTGTCTCTGCACTTCCTTTAGTATATTACGACAATTCATAATAATTTAATAATATAATACATATATCATATTACAAATGCAATTATTATTGAAATTGCAATAAATTATATTATAAAGACATACCGTTGAGACATCTTCAGTGGCCATCGCTATTGAAATCATTGTTATTATTATACAGTATTTTTAAAATATAATTTAATACAGAGTATATATATATATTGTATATATATTATTTAATGTATTATTCACATTATATTATTCAAACTTAATTTTTAATGTCAAAAAGTAACATTCATTAAAATTACAAAAATGTTTATATGTTAAAACTACAAAATATCAATAAAATTAAAACAAACACAATTATTCAACAACAACAACAACAAAAACACATAAAGTATCTGCTTATTAAAGTGATAATAAAATCGCATCAATAAAATTATTATAAGCAATTAAAAACAATAATTTGATAGCAATTTTATGATGGGATTAAAGATAATTCATACAAATTTACTGATTTACAGTATTATAATAATAATAATGAATTTACAATTTGACTATAAATGGTACACAATATATACACATAATAGGGAAGAATAAGTTTAGATACTTATTATTTTATATTATAATAACATATTTTTTTTATTATACTATACATAATAAAATTTTTAGTAGTAATAATGTATAATTTATATTTGACTTTAAAATTTTCAAGTCTCGTAAAACACTGGCCTTATTGAGGCTAATGGTATGCCATTGTGTATAAGTATATATCATATATTGTGTATATACAGTACATATGCTGTATTAATAAGATATTCGTCCAGATATTGGAGTTAATCTATTGTTAAATAAAAGTTAAATAAAATACATTACACCTGCCCTTGGATTGTATATATATATATATATATGAGAATCAAAAATGCTTATTAATATTTTTCCCTATACTTTCACGTTTGCTGTGTCTTTGATGGCATTAAACATGCAATAAATAGTTGAACACAAAGTCACGCAAATTTTACTCCTGTTTTTAGTACAAGAATTAAAGATATAAATAACATTATTGTTACTATTATACAAATAAAACACAGTGCATATTATTAGTTAAATTTTTATATAAACTATATGTATGAGTTTAATTGTTATCATTTTACATTATTACAATAAAACATGTGGCTAAAGTTAAAAATACATAGTAATTATCAATAACCAAATATTTATCAAACATTATGTACAACTTAAATGTCTATAAGTGTATCGTGTGTTTGTAAAATTTTTTACAATATATTTAAATTAAAATTTAATAATTACACGGAATATATAAATAAAAATAAATGATAGCAAAGTGTAGGACTGTATGATTGAGTGAGTTTTTTGCAAACCATTATTTGAAAGTGATTTAGTAAGAGATAGATAAATAGATAGACAGATATATTGAATGTGAATGAGTGTCCTATTTATAAAATAACAGTAAGTGATTCACTGAATGAATATTTCACTACAGGTTTACATCATATGCCAACCGTTATCACAACCGTATCAATGAATTTATTTCATTATAGACTCGCAATCCTATTCGTTATATTTATAAAACAATATTTTTATAAATATTTTTTAAATAAACACTAAACAAGAAAATATATTTTTGTACATATCTTATATGTAATAAATACTGTAGTATTATTTAATTTTAAATATTTTTAAAACACTAATTAGAAAATATAAACTATACCTTATAATTTATAGTAAAATATTTATCTGCTATTTTCTAAATAATTAATATATAATATTTTTATATAATTAATATAAATATATATTAATATACAAAATTCAAGGCTAAATCTCATTTAATCTAAAGTGTTTGTGTGGATAAATACAATAAATTATATGAGTTCTTAATTTATTACACACTATCGTTATTAATGAATATGATTGTATACATTAAGACAAATAATAATTGTTTTTTTTTTTAAATAAATAAAAGTCTTTTTAGTGACAATATAAGCACCGGTGAGACAATAATAATGTCATTTCCTTTCAAACCTAGTCATCAAATGTATAGTTCCTCCACTAAAAGCATCCGCAATATTATACAATATAATACTGTAATAGTTAAACATTAGGTTTAGTTTATAGAATAAACAGAGAGATAATAACTTTTGCAAACTTTTTTTTCATAAAGTGCTGTCATCTCTATAGACATAATATAGTCATTTATACTATAAACTCTAAATTATACAATACTATAGAGTAATTTATCAATTCAATAAAACTAACAAAATTATTATATCAAAATTAAATAATAATAATAATAATAAAAGTATGAAAACTTTTCAAAAAAATAGTTGAATCATAGACTAACCTTTATTTTTAAAAAATTAACTTTTTTCTTATGGTTTTTAATATATTGCGACCGAAAACAACCCAAATTTAAGTCATCGTAAACCAATACACCTTCAGCTCTAGCTTTGGGAGCCAAAGAGCTGAGACAATCGATAGACTGAGTGTCATATCTTAATGGTTTGCATTTATGTCTTATTGAGTCCAATGAATGCGACAACATTTAACACATTTTTAAAAATATAATATTATTTATTTAATATATTAGTCAAATATTCTTTAATTTTCTAAACTAATATTTTTGTAAACTTATATAAATAAATAAATATTATTCTTTGAATATATTTGTAACAAAATGTTTTGTTAAATACTGTATTTTTAATGAAATAAATTAATTAAAAAAACAAACTCAAAAATAAACAATTATWTTAAATGATGATTAACAGCTGCGGAGGCGTGCCATTGAATTCAATTAATAATTATTTTTCATACAATTTTTATTATTTCAATCAATTAAGATTGACATAAATACAAACTATTAAATTAAATTTATTTGTAAATATAWATTTTATCTTTATTTTAGTGTATTTAAACAATAAAAACAAGTTAAACATTTTTAATCCATATACTCACCACATAATCATCAATAAATTCATAGTAAATATCAGAAATAACATCATTTGACTTTAGATTGGATGATTGGTTTGGATATTTGACATAACTGTCCACTAGTATATGATTTGTATTACATGTACATTCATTTGGTTTAATATAATCATTTTTATCATTATTTAGGTGTCGTTTAAAACTATTTTTATAATTTTTAGTTTTTTCAGCAAATATTTTGCTTAAATGTGTAGTTTTTGACGTATTTCTAGCAATAGTTGTTTGATATATTAATGGATCACAAGTGCACCGCAAGATTTTGTCATTTATAACATTTGTATTAAATTTTTTGATTGGATTCACATTGTAATCAAATAAATCAAATTTAACAATTTTATTTGGGATTACATCAAAATCATATGATTTATCTGACCCAAGCTTTATATTATTAGTATAATTATTATTACAATTACATTTTAACATTGTTTTTTAAATTTAACAAAATTTATTTTTTATCTTTTAGARATCTTAAGAGTTTTAAAAAATACATTTTTTAAACATAAAATGTATTTTTACATTATTTACAATTTTTTACCTTTTAATTGTTTACTAGAAAATAACTACTAATATTAATAAAATATTGATTTTAGTACTTATATAATATTCAGGCATATCATGGTAAATTATCAAAATTGAAAGTCATTACATATCATCAAAAATTATSAAAAAATCAAAAAGATTATAATTAATTTCTAAAATATTTAAAAAAATATGAAAAAATCAATATCAACAAATATTAGTTCAATTTTAACGATATTAAAAAAAACTATATTTTTAATCATTAAATATTAAAATAATGATATGCTATTGATTTAACTTTAAAACAAAATATAATATATAAAAATACCAATTAACTTGTTATTGAATTTATTCTATTAAAATAATTTTCAATTTAATTAGTTTTTACAATTTCTAATATATCCATAAATTATTTTATATATTGTATACAATACAATACAGTATATAAATATTTTTAATTTTTAATGTGTTCCTTTTATTAGGTATATTATTTTAAATAAAAATAAAAGTATATAATTTATAGTTAATAATATTTAAAAATTACAATATAATGAATATAATTGTAATAAATAATAACTTGGTTGCTAATTAGTTTAGCACAACAATTAAATTATTAAATTATCTGATAAATAATTGACATTTTCTAATTGGATCAATTAAAATCATTTAATCAAAATGGCAAATTCAATTGAATTAATCAAAAATATTAATTTATACAAAAAAAATTAAAAAAGTTTCGTACCTTATATTGTGAAGACATGAATAGAATACAAAAATATAATTAACTAAAATAACACAATTATAATATCATTTGATGAGTGACACAACAATTTTGTTGAATATATATATTGTATAAAATATTTTTTAAACAATTAAAGTATTATTTTATAAACACTTAATTAATATATTCGTTAAAAATTTGTTGTGTTTTTAGTTTTTTTTCAATCAAATATCGTTTATGTAAACCATTAAATAATTGTAATTATATCCATATTTTGGTTACCAAATTTTTATCGTTATATAATATAATTGATAATTTAAATATTATAATAAAAACAAAAATAAACTTTTGTGTAGACGTTAATAATTAGTAGTTTACAGAAAAATTATGTAAAAATAAATTAAATGATTGTATGATTATAATTTTTGTATGTCGTGTAAGTATAGTATGAAAGTGTCGCAAAATTTTGTCTCAAGTTTCTCTTAAAAATTATTATTCCTTATATCCCTATTATATTCCCTAATATGATACACTATTATAAAATATACAAAATATTACACTACTTATTAAATATATATATGAGCTGGTAACATTTTATATTAAACGAATTATGTTTCACTGTTAACTTTTTTTATATTTTATTATTATTTAAATTAGTAAAGTTTGTATTTTAACATTTTATTAAATATCTTATTCCTAAATTGTAAGAAAGTTTAATATTTTTTTTATAAAACTTTAAAGTTAGAAATACAATAAAGTAATAAATATATAATTTTTTTAAAAAATAATTGTCATAATTAAAATAAATACTGTATTTATAGTTACATGTATTTATTATTTGTCAATTGTATTAACCAAATCTGTCAAATATTTATCTTTTATATACAAAATTACAGCAATGATTTTACTATTTTTGAAACCTCTAAATATTTCTAAACTACATATTGTAATTTAAAAAAAATAATGACAAATATTATGATTAGTTTTTAATACCGTATTTAAGTGTGTCAAACTATATTGTGCTGTTAAAATAACATATGTTTTACAAATTATAAATATATAATAATTATAAAAATATTGTGACTTAAATTTTTAAATATATTTATAATACAAAAATAACCTAAATAAACTTTCGTGAAAATTTTCTACTAGAAATTTTCGAGAACCATATGCTTGTTTTAGCAATGGATGTGTGAAGAGCATACACGTTGGCTAAATATAGCATCACAAGCACAGGGATGTAATTTTGCTTTTTAACAGTTTATTTTATAAGCTAACTTTACATCACTCTATTGGGTGAGTATTCATGGGATAAGGGATGTGTAATACTGTATGACTATATATAAGACTTACTTTTATGAGACTCTCTTGTCTTACAGTAGTTCACACATCCGCTCTTAAGACATAAATAGCTTATTATTAACGTATAATATAGTCAAACATACAATAATTTAAACATTCATTTAAGTAGATTTTTATTTATTATATTGAATTTAACAAACGATGCATTTTTAAAAAATAATTAAATTTTAATATCTAAAAATTACACAATACTCTTATATACGTTATAGTATTAGTATTAGTAATATAGCATATATTATATAACAATAAACATATTATTTATACCGTACTATATATTATTAATAATAGTTTAATAGGTATTCATATTTAAAATCTCATATTCTTAAGAAAGTGTTATWAAAATTTTAATAATTAGTCATAAATAATGTTTTATATAATCATTAAAATTAATAAATAATAAAATATTATCATATAAATTAATTTAAGTTAAAAATATTTTTAAAATGATAATTACTATTTTAAAGAAACTACTGTATTGATATTTAATTTTAGTTTTTATAAATGGTTAATTTTAAAAATACCTTTTTATATTGTCTCAAATGTTGTTGACTTTGGTGATGATTATAAAAATAATAATATTGTTGATTATTTAATAAAGCAATTTTATGATTTTGAATCAACAATTTATTAGTATTATTACTATTATGTGTTCCAATCATTATTGTTTGAAAGTTATAAATTTTATAATACCAATAAAACTTTTTTAAATATTCAATTTTTGCTAAACAAGTAATATTTAWGTTAATCTATTTTACAATTTAGTAAACAATGAAAAGTCGTAATAATAGTAATTATTTTGACTATACTTTGTCGGACAACTCGTTTTTTATCAGTTGTCTCAATAGTAGTCACAATCATAGGTTATTCACTCAAGTTTTTTTACTTTTGCTAACATTTAGTTAAATTTAAACAAAGACAACTTTGCTTAATATAAATACAACTCTAGTATCATATATGGGATATTCAATGGTCATTAAGGAGGATATTGGATGCTATCCCCACACATGTGGAGTCAAAATAACATAAACAGTCAAACTTTTTCTATGTTGATGTACTCCATATGTTACATATCTCTATGATTTGTCTAATATTTTGTGTCGTTCAATATGTATAATATGTTAATTAATATCTTTGAATATTAATACAAAAAAATTAATAGACAATTAATATATAAAAGTTAAAACAATAAAAATATAATTAATAGTTTATTTGTTTTTAAAATTTATAATTTATATGTCTAAACATTTTATCAATAAAATAATTTTAATATTATAAACAAATGTATGTAAAGCATGTTTTTTTTATAAATATACATTTCTCCATTGGGTTATCGCTCTAATTAGAAATAATAAAATGATATAAAAATTATAAAAATTTTAATAAATATGAATTAGAAAAACAATACCTTTCTGAACCAAATATCATTTTTCCCCAATGAGTTAACTTATCATTTGATGCAAAAGCAATGGGTCCCGATATGACACGTCCGATAACGCGATCAAACTTTAGTTTACTTTTAAGACACACAGATATAACCACTGATATATCATCTATGAACCCATGCGGAGCTATGGTTCAGAAATTAATTTATATTAAAATAGTTTTTTATAAATATTTTTACACATATATATATATATATATATATATATTATAGTATTATATTATATTATATTATATTTAAATTTACTATATTACAGTATTATAAGTTATAACTGTGTGTATATCTAAATGTTTGTAAATCATATTGAGATAAAAAAAATAATTTATAAGTATAGTAATTTTTGTATTTATGTTATTATTTTATAAATAATATTATGAAACATTATAATTTATGATATTATTAGAGTTGTAAATTTGTATATATTTACCGACAAAATTGAATGTCTGATTAAAAACTGGATCAGAATTAGTTTCGGCCAAAACTATATTAGTTTTTAGTGATTTGATTTTTTTTGAGGCACACAATAGCGTCACTTTTACATAAGTTTCCGCAGTAGCTGTCAATTATAACAAAATTTTAAATCAGATAAAAAATAATCAAATATTAATCTCTTCATACAATTTGTATTCATTTTAAATAAAGACTCGAAAAGTGATGATTCTTTGGTTAGTAATCTTTTTGACCGCAATATACCAACTGATAGTCTATCAGATGTCGATGAGTAACCCAATGACACCAAAAGTTGTGGTCCATTAGCGTTATATTCTGRCTAATAATCAGACATCAAATTTCATTATTTTAAATATACAAATATTAAATATAATCAAATTAACAATAAAAACAAAAAAACATACAATAGTATAGCTTCTGAAGGGAAGGTTGTATTTGAAAGTTTCATTGGCTTTTGTCATACAATTAAGTGTAAGTACGACGTGTCCGATGGCGTCAAATCTTTCTTGTCTTTCATAGTCATAGAGTGATAAACAAAGCAAAAGATTGTGAAGTAATTCGAGTTTTTCGATCTCAAAGATGAAGTTTTCGTGAAAATGTGGATCCAATGTATTCTTGATTTTTCGCGAGTTTTGCATTAAAACTGTTGTGTCTTTTGATGAAAAACTTTTTCTCGAGTTGTTATCATTTTGTTTGGACATTAAACTGATTTTAATTAAAGTGTCATAAGTCCTCTTTCTACCCCTTTGTGGTAAATCACTTGCTTTATCTAAATATAAATTAAGTCTAAAATATAAAAAAGTAATAATAAAATAAGTAATCTTTTTATTAAATCAAATTAAATCTAATGACCTTTTTTTCTTGTGATCATAATTTATTGTAAACAAAATGTTACCAAATGTCAGAATCTGATCCTCGACTAAATATTTGCTATTATTAGCTGTCGATGAGTCTGAACTCTCTTCAAATATAATGTTTGCGTTGTCTTTAAATTAAACAATTATATTAATTTTAAATAAATTTTATCATAAATTTATAATATATGGTACAGTACTGTATAATAGTATAATACCATTGCTAACAATATCCTTATACAACGATAATTTAATACTTGAGACTGAACTGGTTTTTTCCAGAAAATAGTCGTTTCCCGACAAGTGATGCACCCGTTGTGGCCATTCATGACTTATGCCGACACAGTGTGGTCTCGTATTATCTGAATGTCTTCGCTGTGGAGAACGTGATGTCTCGTCTTCAGCGATGGTCGACACAGATGTCACTGAATCGCGTTTCAGGCTTTTTAAGCTCGGAGTTAATGACTGCACTAATTGTTGTATCCAATGGTTTACAATTTTCAAATAAGGTTGAAACAAACATTTTTAAATAAATATTATATAAACCTAATTTTTTATTAAATTATTATATAGTTTTTTATTAAAATAATATTATTTATAAAAAATAAATAACCGGATTGTGTTGAAAAACTTCGCTGAGGGACCCAAAAGCGTAACACTTCTATATCCTGTTCTTCATCTTCTTTAAGATGTGTTTCATCCGATTGTTTGTGAAGACAGTCCCAAACATTACAYCTATGAATACTTGTGCAGACATTTCTGAATAAATTATTGATATAAATGGGACACATATTGGCAATAATTGCTATAACATATTATTTTCACTGAAAATCTAACAATAGTCAAGCATTTTTATAAAAATCAAAATTAATATATATATATAACTAATAAATAAATTATGGTAGCATTTGTTAATAATCAGTGATTTTCTATAATGTAGGCGGCATTTAGTCAGATACCAGACAAATAATGTTTAATAAAGGTATACTACATGTATATACAGTAAAATATTATATTAAATTGGTATAATGCCGGTAAACATTTATTTTCATTATTATAACAATTATAATGTATGTATACTATAGTAAACAGCTTTTAGAGACTATGGTTTAGGTGTAGAAACAGATGGCATCGGGAGGTGGAGGGATAGCAATCAAATTGCCATATATTGCATGTATGAACAGGTGTCTCACAAATCCTATACAATTAAATATATAGCCCTTCAGTTTTTATACGATATTATTATAATCTGTTATAATTTATATTTCAAAATTAATTGTATGTTTTTCAATCCCACTCTCAAGTGGTTTACTAATTTGTGTAGAAATATATTATATTAAAAACACTAAACTTTAATATTACTTCTAATATTTTTATTGTGTATGTGTTTCAGTGATTAATTAATTTATGAAAAGTCATATTTATTTGTAATACAATATATTAGTTTTATGTTTATCTTGTTGTTACCTAAAAATATGTTTCAATGAGATTAATAATGATTTATAGTAAACAACAATTGAGACAACAGTGAGTCGTTTTAATAATAATTTACACATATTTAGTTTTATTAAATTATTATCCAAATTAACTAATTTATTAATTAATGTATGATAAGATGTAACATTAGATTTAATGTTTGCTTCAATTTATTGTTAAAATACTTCTAGTGTTTTAGTTTTTAAAATATACATATTATATTGTACATAATTAATAAAATGAAAAAGTGATTAAAAATGATTATACAATTTAAAAACTATAATATTTATAAAAAATTGAAATTTAATTAAAATTTATAATAAAATTATTAATTAAGTATTTGACAATAAGGTCAAAATAAATATTAACTTAAATATATAAAATAGGGGATAATCAATTTTTGTTATATATAACAAAATTCTAAAACCTGTTGAAAATGCTAGTTAGCATTGACAGAACAAACTTTTAAAAGTACATTTATTGTAATTGTTGTGTCTGTCTCACTTACACTCGCATCCAATTATATACTCAAATTTAAGTGAAAATAAATTTAAGTATAAATACATTTAAAAAACTTGAAATATATTTATTGATTAATTTTAAGAGATAGGACATCACTATTTGAAACAATTATATCTTAATTTTTTGTTATTCTATTTGAAATGAAATTTGTAAACAAAATCTTATACAAACAGACTATAGATAAACAAACAATTTTAATAAATTTCTTTAGAAATACTTTTCAATTATTTTTTATAAATGGATTATTTTTTGGAAAATAAGACAAAACTTCAAAAATACATGTAATACTTGAGTAAAATATGAAAATAGGTTTAATTGTGTTTTTATTGTTAAATATATTACTTATGATTACTTATAAATTATAAAATTGAACAATTATGTTAAAATTTATTTTTAAATATTCTCAATTAATATMTATTTATGAAGTCAAACATATAAATTTGAATTTTGCTAATAATTATTGTAAAGTATATAAACTAAAGTTTAATTACTTACAATTAATTCCTATAAAACTTTTTTTGTAGGTTTCTATAAAATTTCTATTTATATAATACTTTAGATATTTAATTAAAATTGAATTATGAAATATTGCACTAATGATTCATTAAAATTTATGTATTATATAATTAGTCATTTTTGTAATTGTTTTCATATACTGTAAATTAAAATCTAACCCAAATAATTACTAATGGGATTTTAATCMTATATAAACAATATTTAAAATCTGAAACATTTAATTTACAGATAAATTTATAACTAATAAACAATAAAACAATTTTAATAGCAATGACCACTAGCTTATGCAGTATTTTTCTAATATAATAAATTAAGTATAAAGTGTCTAAAGCTTAGTTTTGATGATATATAACTATTTATATTATAATTATATTAACTATTGAAATTATATTAATGTTATTGTAATTTTATTTTTAAAATTTTTAATATTTCAAAAATTTTTAAACATTAATGAATAACAAAAGTATTTGTTAAAAAAACAATTACATAGAATTCAATGCTATTTTATATATTGACGTCAATTCACTTTTTTAAAATTATAACAATAGACTATTATTAATAAAACTATAGTTTCAGTTGACAAGTAATTTATGGTTATTTAGATAGAGATATAAATTTATTTTGCTATTAATATTAACAAAAAAGCTAAACGATAGCACCTGTAGTTTTTGTGATCCGCTATTTATTAAAATAAATAAAACAAAAATATATATACATTGCAATTATGTGATTAGATTAATATATTGAATGTTTGAAAAATATTTTTTAAATGTAATAATTACATGTACTATATTTACAGTATATATTAATTATATCAATATATCAATTCATTTGTGAAAAACCACAGAATTCATCAAAAGTTGTATTGAAATGCTATTCAAATCATACGCTTCTCCGGAAATTCTCGTCCCAGTAGTGGTTCTTTCGGTTATAATCATGTGTTTTATTATATTTTACATATGGAGACGTATCCGACTCAATGGCCACAAGAAGTCACAACTGGAAGCACTCACATCCAAGCCTTCGACATCTCATATGTATACCGGAGTGAAGGCTTCGCATACCATCGAGTTTATCGTACCGACGGTTACTCTCAAATGCTCGGAGCCATCGTTTTCGGTTACCGAAGAGTCCGACTCGGATTGTCTACAATTGGCTAACAATTATGATCACAACGGTATGAGAAAACGCAATTCTCGGATTCAAATCAATGAAAACGAGATCAGCAAAAGTCTTTACGAAGAAGTGCCACAATTGCCACAGCAATCACCAGAAATCAGTTTTGTTCTTCACTATAGTTTTGTTAGACAACAACTACTTGTTGTATGATTTTCTTTATAACAACAAAAATATTGTTATAATATAATTATTTTATTTTGTTTTTTTATTAGACACTATTGTCTGCAAAAAATCTTTATCTCAAACGAAGTCATTTGAATCCATTTGCAAAAGTAGTTCTTTTGCCGGAAAAGAATCCAAAACTATTGACTAAAGTCAAGAAAAATACAACAAATCCCGTATTTAACGAACTTTTCATATTTCAAGCGCAAAGAAATACTTTGGACGATAGGGTCTTAAAGATCACTGTTTATAGTTCCGACTCATTCTCGCGAAAGAATGTCATCGGAAGAGTTGTGTTTCCATTAAAAACAGCAGATATTGACAGTAATATTAGCAGAGATGTCATGACTGAAGACATTACTTGTTTGCTTAGAGAAGTATAACTTTATTATAATAATTAATATTAATTTTATTAAAACTTAATAAAACATTTATTTTAATCAAATTTAGAGCAAACCATTTGGTGAACTACTTTTGTCACTCAATTATGAGACCAATTCATCGACACTAACTTTGGGCGCATTAAAAGTTCGCCACATATTTGACAAAGAAATCCAAACAAGTTTGTCATTATATTTAAACCTTTTTTTATTATTATTATTATTATTATCACTACATTTGGCTAAACATTTCATTTATGTTTTTAATAGTTTATATGAAAGTTGTTTTGTTTGTTAAACGAAAACGAATTAAAAGTCGAAAAACAAGTCTCCATAGAGTTGAGACTGAAATCAATTTCGATGATATGTTTCACGTAAATGTGGCCAAAGAGACACTCAATGATGTTAGTCATTAAATATATATATATTTATTATTAAATACTATTTTATTAATTATTTACACAAATATTTAGCTTATAATCAGTATTAGTGTATATGGAAAGTCAAACACATACGTTAACAAACACATATTGGGCCGAACACATGTGGGACAGTTATGTCCATCAGCTCAGGGAATACAACACTGGACTGAAATGTGTCTTCATTATAACGAAACCATCAGTCAATGGCATATATTTTCATAAAAATATTTACTATAAATATACTCTACAATAAACTAATTATTTTTATTTAAATTGACTGTATTTTAATATTAAATTGAATATTATAATATTGATTATAATTATATTAGTCATATTTTCTGGCATATCATAAAAGTTTTATAAATATTGTTAATTTTCATAATTTTTTTTGTAAATATTTTGACATTTACTTGAATGTCAAATATTAAAAATTTATCAATTGTATAAAATGCAATGTAAATAAGTTTATTAAGCATTTTGTTATTTTTTAATTTTAATTTATGTTTAATAAAAATTATAATATATTTTACAAAATAACTTTTTAATGTAATTTATTTATTTATACTGTATTAATAAAACATAATTAATTTATTGTATAATTTATACAATTTATAAGTAAATCCCATTTTACATAATAAAATTTACACATATCTATAATAAGTAATATTTATTTTGAAAATTATTTAAATTTAATATTACCTTAAATTAAAATAGGTATTTTTAATATTACAAAAAATAATAGTAAAATTAATTTAATCAAAACATGTAATGGCTATTAACAATTATATTACATTTAATCAATAATCTATTTTTTTTAGAAAAATTTATATTCAAACGATAAATTATTATTCTATTATTGACTAGTCATAACATATATTTTAAGATATAATTATAAACTTTTACACAAATTGTATGATAAGTATTATTTAAAGGTATTTAATAATTATGTTTAATTATCACAGATATAATAGAAAAATATATAAATACTAATTACAAAAAAAATTGAGAACTATTTTACATTTCTTTGAATTGTTTTACGGATCCATTTTACAAGATTAGGCACTTTAGCATATATACCATATCTGCCTTTTCGACCGCAACCCTCACCAAAACTATTGAATAATTAATTTTATTAATAATCAAATTAATAATTAAAAATCACATTTTTCTATACCTAGTGATTCCGTAGACAAACCATTTATCGACAGTTTTATCATTGATTGTCATCTGTTTGCTAAACAATAGGGGACCTCCACTATCACCGGCACAGCTATCAACTTTGCCTCTCTTATATCCGGCGCAAACCATATTAGGAGATATAAAATAGTTGTCGTAAACTTCTTTGCAGTCATTGATGTCAGCGATGGGTACCTGTGCCTGATGTAAGACATCAGTGCCAAACAATGCAGAGTTTCGCCGTTTACCCCAACCTAAGATTGTGCCTAAACTGTTGACTGACATTTCATCTTCAGGTGTGGGCAAACAGGCCGGCGCTACAAATCTATTCATTTTTAATGGTGTTCTCAACCGAAGCACTGCTATATCGTTGTCAACTGTCTCGGCGTCGTAGTCCGGGTGCACAAAGATGTCCGATACGCGTACCTGTTGTTCATAGCCGTCGGCAAAGATTAAGTCATGTTCGCCGGCTCTCACGTAAAGTCGTCTTCGCACACAATGAGCTAAACATTTATATATAATATATATTAGTCTTAAAATTACAATTAAATTATTTTGTCATTTCATTAAATACCTGCTGTAATGACAAATTGTGGAGCAATTAAAGTGCCCCCGCAAAATGGCTCGTAATATCGGTTGAGAATTGACACCATCCATGGCCACCGACCTTTAGTAGACTCACGGCCGCCAATAATTCGTAAATTACTGACCATATCATTCAATACAGAAGAAATTCCACAATTGAGATCATCAATTGGATCAGGTTTTGTCTCATTAGATGCATTGACAACTGCTGAGGCAGATATTGATGGAGGAGTGAATAGGGATATTGGATCAGATGTCACAGAATTTTCATCAGAGTTTTTAGGTTTTTCTTTGTAAAGTGTTTCACAACGACTGCCTTGAATATAGCAGAGGGCGTCTTCTTGTATAATACTGTTACCACATATCTGTTTCATTTCACAAGAACGCGATCTCCGAGTGCGACAATTATTAGTACACGACGACCACTCTGACCATTGAGAGTAGACATAACTTTGTAGATGATAGAGGACACGGAATTGGGATGACCGACCACGACCTTTATGTGGCACCTCTTGGTTTTCAGTACTCCCTGGTGTAGATGTGTCCGGATTTGTCAAACATTTGCCTCCACGACAAGCTCTCTCTTCTTTAACAATTGTTGTGCCGCAGTGTTCAGCAGAGACACACTGTCGGGTACGGACTTGTTTGCAACGGCGCCGACATTTACTCCATTTGGACCAATCGCTATATATGTCATCGTAACTCAATTTATTAACTGTTGGATCAATTGTGTCGTTCAAAGACTTTTGCTGAACCACTACCATATCATTGATACGACTCACACGCTATATGTCAAACAATTTATCAACTTTTAGTATTTGATAAGTATATTAATTTTTACTATTTATGCAATTTAATTATTCAAACCCTTTAAATATTGCAATTAATCAAATTATATATAATAATGCAATTTAATATACAAATATAAATTAATATACAGGAGATATAAAATTGGGTTTATCATATAATTTATATATATATATATATAGTCAGATTTAAGGGAAAAATAAGTTTAGAAAACATTTTAATTAAAACAAATAAAATTATAACAAAATAAAATATTTTGAATCTAAAATGATAAATATATATTGCAATTATAATAAGACTCTTTACCACTCTTTGTCTGCCTCGATGTCCATTATTTCTTTGTCGGTGACCGTAAACCAGTGCGGGAATCAATATAATTAATAAAACAAACGTCCAATAGTAACAATTTTTTGCTGCGGTCAACATTTTCTTCCAGCAAAACACAATTAAAAAGTAATACAAAACTTAGTGAGTGATGTGAATAGTTTTTTGATGCAAAAAAATGTTTGTCTCTAAAAGTCAAGAATTCTTGACAAATGATATGTCAAACGCAAGAATTACAGTAAGTGTCTGACAGAGACTGACTTTTGGTGAGTGCCTTAAAAGTGGTTAACCAATGCCTTAGACTCGTGTGAATTCCTCGTTTCAATATCTTAACGATTTTGTGAACAATCTTCAAAAACAGGTGGGCTTTTGATAGACCAGATATAATATAAAGATTTTGGACAATTACTACCAGCCATTCCCTCTCCCAGAGAGTCAAGAATCTCATCCATAAAAGCTTAGTTTATTTGACGCAAACGTTTAAATCAAACAAAAGCTAATATAAGCTTCAAATGAGAGAATATTTGTTTGTTTTTAAGTGTGATCTCCCCTTCAAATACTATTACATATTGCCAACCGTTTTTTTTGTGCATATAAATTGAATTTTATTTTTTTAATATTATACTTTTTTATATAAATCTAAAATAATTAAAATAATATAATTTAGCTCATCAATTAATATGCAAAAAATAATATTGTACATTATTCATACAAAATATAAGTTAGCATGGTATATAAAATATAAATTATACCAAAATGCAATAAAATGCAATAACTTAATATCTTTTAATTAATTTAATTAATTAAAATATTTTTTAATGCATTGATAAAAGTTTTTCAAAATATTTTGCAAATATTGATGAGATGTTTCAAAAATTCTAGGAAAGTATGCAAAATGTTCACAATGTTTGCAATTACTAAATATATTGAATCAATAGATAGGCTGAGGCTATAGATTAATAGTTTTAGGGGAATTCACAGGTTTTAAGACAACAAACAAGAAATATAAAAGTGTCGATTAGGGACAACCTTGTGCTTATGGTATACTCTTATAGAGCACAGGTGTGTGTGGATAGACAACATCTGTAGGTATAAGAAAAAGGGATGAAAACTTTATTTGACATTTGAATTATAGACGAATATTGCTTTATATATATAACTTAAGGTATTACAAGTTAGTTGAAAAGCACGTGCGCTCTGTTTTATGGCATTACTGGGCATTCAATACATGTATTAACAACATTATAAAAATAACATGTTTTCATTTGTAACAAAAATCAATTAATTTTAATTTAATGTAAATTTAAATTTAAGTATAATCTAAAATTATATTTTAAATTAATTTAGTCAATTAAGTATAGAAAATTATAAAAAAAATTCATAATAATAGATAGAAACTTTTATAAACTAATTTATAATAATTTATATATAAGCACAATGGTATGATAACATAGAAAAAGATATATACTGTATATATATTTATCATTAAATTTTTTAATTAAATTATAATTTAAGGTTTTTATGAGTAAATTATTGTTAAACTTTAGGAGTGAAGAAAATAAGTCGCGTAAGCATTGATGTCACGCATGGGATCTGTTTCTTCTCGTGAAAATCCGGGTCATTGGGAACGTTAGACTCGTAATCATAGGCTACTATACGGCTCACGATTGTCATCATTGTCAACAGATCCATATTTGAAGCGTATTTTCCTAACACTTGAGTTAAAGCCTGTATAAACCACGAGCCTTGAGTTGTGTTTCTCCACGAATAATAGCCTTTTATTAATTAAAATCAATAATCATTAATTTAAAGCATTTTCAAACAAATACCGGGAACAGTGCTATAGGCGATCAAAAAGTCTGCATAATTGGGAATCCTATAGAAATCATTTCCACTGTCAGTCACATCGGAACCTTTCTGGAGAGCAACGCCAGCGTCCAATCGGTCGCCCTGACAGGCCTTATGTGACATAAGTAAAAGTATATCAAATTAAATGTTCAAATAAATTACGGTAATATAGTATTGAGCACCTGTATGAAAAACATTTTAGGCTTTCCGGCCAAAGTGGGGCACTGATCGCCTTTGAAGAAATTGAACACAGAATCAGTACAATACTTCTCATCTCTGGCCCAAAGTATGCCCTGTTCTCCGTGGGTTAAAATGCATACAACTATACAGTCATTATGACTGTGATTATCTTTGGACACTGTATTCAAACAAAATATAATATATTTATTTATTAAAGTTAATTATGCCTCTAATTTTAATATACTTAAATTACTAATCAATTTTTCAAATTTATGTTTAGTTTAGTTATATTCAAGTCTTAACTTTATATAAATTTAAATACTATTAATATTAATAAAAGTTATAATTATGTCATTCAATATATAAATATTATAAATTAAATAATCTGTTTTCAAGTCATCAAAATTCAATGTCAATACCGTTCTCTAAAATAGTGATAATCTCTTTAGCCATCGGATCGTTATAAATGTTGACTTCAAAGTTTAGTGACCGAAAAGTGCCATAAAGTGCTTTGCCGTCCATTTCRGTTCCTCTTCGTTCGGGAAGTCGTGTGTAACCATCAAAAGTGCGGTTATTAATTATAATACATTTGCCGCGACTTCGGTGCTTCATATTGTAGGCCAAACTATCGACAGACGTTGACATATGCGCAACGGGTCCACTGGCTCTTCGGGTTTTAAAACTAACCATCAGATTATTACTTCATATCAATCATAATCATCGATGTTATTGATATATGACTTACACATCAAATATACTTCGGGCGTCCACTGTATCACCGAATCGATAGAAAATTTTCGGCTCATAGTCTTCGGGCAGTTGGTCTTCGCCTTTGAGATCAGACATACCTGTAATCAGACATAAACCATAAAACATCACTTTATTATCACTTATTACTAATTGTTTACCATTATTATGATCACCCGATTCACTCATTATCTCCGAATTAGACATCAATTGCAAACAAATTGAGACTTCAGTTGATGTTTTTGGTCGCCAGACAAGTGATAATCACATTGTTGTCCACATCTGTGATCAACAACTAATCAATCAAATCAATGGATAATAACAATCACTACAAGTCTTGTGATTTCAATCAATCAATTAATGAATTTAATTAATTTGATTAATGAGTCCAAACTGTATGTCATTTAATGCAAACAAAAGTTTCTTTTGTTTTGTTATGAGTTTTTTAACCCAACGTTTAGCGCAACAAATCATACAAATAAAAGCTTTACATAAATACTGTCATCATTTGACTTATATTTATCATTAAAAACCCTTCAAATGTTGAATCAATTTTATAAATTGCAATCATTTACAGTATATTTATAAACTAATTATTTGTCAATTAAATTGATAAATAATTCATATTTTCATAAATCATTTATTTATATATAAATTTTTAAAACTATTAATTATATAAACTAATTGTTGAAAATAGATTCACAAAAAATCATAAGTGATATTCTGTGGACTAATTTATAAAAAATTTTAAAAATAAAATCATATCAATTGTGTGGTTATATAATTATACAATAAATATTTCTAAATATAAAATATCAAAATTTCTATAAATATAATTTTTTTAAATATTTAATTTTTATTTTTATAATACAAAATGTCTAAATATATTTTGGTAATTTTTATCAATCATAAAACAAACTAAATTATTATATATAATTCATTATCGATAATATTATAATATAAATATTTAGTTTAATCATAAAATATATAGTTTTCATAATTAATTAAAATGTAAATAAAATGTAAATATATTAAGATTATTATAAAAAATATAGTTGTAATTAATAAATAATTATTGTTAAGAATAAATGCAAAATTATTATATCAATGCATTTGGCGAATAATTGCCATAAAAGTTGATGGAAATGGACACTCAGGGTCTGAATCAGAGATAACACTCTTTAATGAGTCACTGGTTTTCTTTGTCTTATCGCTGACACTAATATATGTGCCATTTGTTTGATGAGGAATATCTGTTTGAACCGATTGGTCGACAAAAGTTAATGTTTGTGTCATCTGATGACAAGTTTTAGTTTGATTGACTTGAATACCAACACTTCTGACCGTTTCATTCATTAGTAATTTGCCACTAATTTGACTCAAATTTATGTCCAATGATTGCCTTCTTAAGTCGGGTTTCAATGGTGTCGAGGTTTTCATTGATCGCAAAGTTATTTCATTTAATCTCTCTTCAAATTTCTTGAGTTTTTTGTCAATTATTTTATCCAAAATGCGTTCAACACTCGAGACGTCTAACAATTCAGGAGTTTTTGACAACAAAAGAGACGATCGTTTCATTTGATTTTTATCAATCGTGTCCTTACTTTGAGTGACATTATTGCCATTAATTGGGACATCGATGTCATTATCACTAAAAGACGTATTATTATCATCATTATTGGTGTTATAATACACTATTGTCGACGAACTCGAATCAAGACTTTGTTTTACTGTTTGAATCTTACGGTGACTTTTGGCAGAAGTCCTTGTTTTCTCTTTAGATAACATTTTCTTATCGATTGTCTTATCTTTGACTATCCGTCGTCTATTGATTGCATCGACGGCTTGTTGTCTGACTAAGCGATAGTCAAACGGTGTCTTGAATTTGAAATCAGGCAATGAAGACACACAACTGACTTTCGATGGACTGAAGTAATAGCTATCGTAAGTGACCAGACATGACGTGAGCCGAAGTGAGTGTCGCCACCATTGGTTCTCCGACTTGGGKTTCACTCTAATCTTACGATGTCTGACCAGTCGATACTTCGGTGGATACCCTGCTGTTTGCGGTAACATTCGGGTCCATTAAGTGTGGCCAACGTTTGAGTTTTTACTATTGACTTTACGATCGACAGCATTGCAGACAACAAACCAAATCAAGTGATAAAAACATAATTCAATTTCACTGACAGTTTGTGTCCGACAAACAACACATCAATCAATAGTCAGAGAAAACACATTTCAAAATGTGAACCAATTTTTACTATTTGTCACCAAAACTACTGTCAAATCTCAATATTATATACACTTATTGCTGACATTTATTATATTATTAAAATAGTTTTACATTAAATATAACTATAATTTAATTATAATATTATCAGTTTTATTGGTTGTTATCATATCTAAAATAATTGACTAACTTTTCAATTGTTAACTATTGTACACTTTTGGGCCATAACTTTGTTTGATTAACATTAGTATTAGTATTATTAATATTAATTGTAACATACAGTACATACAATATAAACTGATAGTTTTCAAAGTTTAAAACTTTTTTAGTACATAATTATTCAATTTATGAATTTARTGAATGAATTTTATTGATATGCAAACTATTAGGTTCCTGTTTATTATATGTCGTAAATTTTTATTAATTTAATATAATTAAATAATATGAATAACATTTTGTTATCTTTTAATTTATTTAAATTTTATAGTTTATAGAGTCTTAAATAACGTATTTTTATTATTATTTTTGTAATAATGAAACAATTAAACTTTAAAAAGTTTGATTAAACTATAATTATTTTTATTAATAATCTAATGAATACCAGTGCTTAATATAGATTATAATATATTGTATTATTTATTAATAATAAAAGTGATGACAACGTCAGTAATGGCAACGAATGGATGCGGAAAAGTCCGAATTGAAAGCAAAATATTGCTGTAAAACAATAGTTAAGAGTAATTAAGTTATAATTAGACATATTTTGAGAGCGATATGAGAGAGATGTGATGGGATGTTGTGATGGGATGCGATGGTGAAGGACATGATTGGTATGAGAAATGAGTGCCAAATACACTCCTAATAAGGCTATTCTTGGAGAGACTGACTGACAAAAGCACTGCAATAGTGCTGTATATATGCAGTGAAGACAACTGAGAGCATGAGCTGAGAGCTGATGACTGTGTCGGAGTACATGAAGATGTGATGCCAGAGTGTCACCAAAAAAAGATTTTTACTTAATTTGGTCACTAAAACACTGAGATTACAGTTGTGATAGTAATATGTATGCCATGGATTAGAGTCTTATAGTAATATAACTTCACATCGCATATGAATTAAATGTTTTCAAATGAGAGGGAGAGCTGTGAAACAACTCTTTTCTTGGTTTTCATTGAATATCAGCGATAATAGCGTAATAGTGTTGGAAGTGATTGTGTGGGCGATAATCAAATAATAATCATAAAGAAGTCATTTGTGACTTTTTTTTTGTCTTTATATGGAATGAATACGAAATCTAAATGTAAAGGTAATCAACAAATGACCGTCACTTCCATCACATCGCACACACCTAAGAGTCCTTACCTGCAAAACATCGATAAACAAGTGTTTGATCTGAAACGTCAACAACATTTGTTAACTAATTCAACAAACGTGTCGTCACCGCCACCGAAAAACTTCAAATATGGTCAACAACAACGGCCAGACCAGTCTTCTTCAATAATTCTTCGTCAAAAACTTCTTCACCGCAACAAAAATGGCTCAATTGTTGGCGTTTCGGGAAATACATTGAAAAACCGACGAAGTTATAGTCGTTCGCATAATAATGGCTTTAAGTTTCATAACTTTGTTGTGAATGAAGACAAGAGGTCGTGTCTTGAGGAACAACACGGAACCAAAAAGATAACTGTTTCTCATTGGAAACGACCGAACAATACCATTGTAAGCACCAATGATAGCGATACTCAGCAAACCATCACTCAATCTAATCCGTCCTCTCATTCAATACTTGAAACACTTTTGGCGCCCAACTCTTCAAATGACATAAGCAATCAAGTATTAGTTGAAGACAAACAACGATTAAGCAAAAGAAAACCATTACATGTGAGAAGAGTTCTTCGACAACATCAACGCACCCATAATATGTCAATTGATTTACCAAAACCTCGAGTTTGTGAACCACAAGTCGAACCATTAGATCTTTCATTCAAAAAGATTAACTTTAGTGAAACACTTGATGACGAAGATTCCGACTCTAGAGACAATTGTTTAGACTATTTGCCATCAAATGATAATTTCATACAAACTATTTGTAACAATGATTACTATCCGGAATCAGAATCGGTTCAAAACCTAATCAATTCAGTGAATCAATCGGCAGCTCAGGCATCGGCTATCATTGCATCCGTCAAGTGTCCCATTGTTGGCAACAGTTTGGCATCCAATGTCATCGGCAGTCATACATGCAATGACTCATCCATTAGTGATAAGAAGTGCCAAAATAATTCAGTCAATTGTGTTGTGGCGTCAAAACAGATGAAACAAAGACAAACTCACAGAAGTATTATTAAAAAACAATTAGAAGAGACGTTCAAACAAAATGGATTTCTTGTTAAGGTTTTTACAATTTATTAAATTATTTCATATTTATATCATTTAAATTTTATTAATTTAATTATTTAATGGATATTTAAAGACTGTATATTATATAATAATTAATTAATTATTATCACAATTATTAAATAGTAAATAAAATTATAAGATTATATCAGATCATTATCATCAAAGAAATAGCTCATTATTTTATAATAATTAATATTATTAAATATGTATTAATTTGGTTGTAAGGGTTAAAGATATTATTATTTATACTGTAATTATTGTTTACCTATAATTTTTAAAAAATATAAAACACGTAAAAGCTACAAATTAACTATTAAAATGTGTAAATATCTTAAAACAATAAAAATATTAAGAAAGATATGAAATGAACTATTATATGACATTTTTTATAGCATTTTTATTTTATTTTAATTTTATCACGAATTCCTGAAAGGAATACGTATATGCATTCTAAAAGTCTGTCCGTCTGTCCGTCTGTCTGTCCCACGAGGACATAGGTTCGAATCCAGGCTCCGCTGCAAAAATTTTTTTTGATTTTTTTTTGATTTTTTTTTGGTTTTTTTTCTTTTTTAAGTTAAGGAGATCGTATGGGAATGCTTTTGAAGCATTCTCAACTGTTTTTTTTATTTTTTTTTAATTTTTTCCTTTTTAAGTTAAGGAATTCGTGTGGAAATGCTTTTAAAGCATTCTCAACTGGTTTTTCTTATAAAATCAATTTTTGCATATAAATAAAAATAATTGAATAAAAAAAGACATTTACATATTTAAACTTCAAGATAATAACTATAAATACTGAATACATTATAATATAACAGAAGTTTAAATATTATAATTACTAATACATTTAACTATGATTTACAATATTATAGATAACAGTATAAATGGTTTGTCATATTAGAGATAAATTGTTATATATTTAAGTCAAACTTTCATATCATATAATAGGATAAAAAACGATTTAATTTGATATAATAATTGCAGAAAAGGAAGTGAAAAAGTCTTATATTGTATAAACAAATTATACAATGATTTAACTTTCAAACGACTAATACTAATTTGAATTTTTAATTATAATTATCAAAATAATAATTATTAAAATATATTGATAATTTTATATTAACAGATTTTAAATAGTAAATAAAATATTGAATTTAAATTTTTTCTTTATTTTGTATTGAGTTGACAAACTTTTTATGATAGACACTGATTACCGGTAATTAAATTAAACGATAAAAAATAGTTACTGAATACCAAAAGGGATAAAATTAACAATTTGTCGAAATTAAACTTTATAAATATAAATGATTTCTATGTATTTTTAATATTTATTTTACAATTATGAAATCGAAACTTTTAAGATATTCAAATTGTAATAATATTTTGAAATAAAAAGTTTATAATACTTTGTGAGCACACCTTTATTTGTGTCATTTTAAAATAAGATATTTTTATATATGATTTATTGTGTCTTATAAAGTGTCTCAATATTATACTTTCATTTACAATATTTACAATAATTTTAATACGACAAGTCTTTAATTATTATTTTTTTTAATTAACAAAAATATAATGCTTAACTACTACTAATAATGTTAAATAAAAATATTTACATATAAACATATTTAATATAAACAGTCAATTTTATTATAATCTAATTTTTCTAAGAAATAGTTTTAATTTTTTCAAATTAATAACATGTAGTTATTAATATTACACTTAATCATTTAATCACTGTATTACAATTATTTATTTATATAATTACTGTATATTGATAGTAAAAAAAACTTAACCATTGCTAACACAATGTTATCTATATTTACAATATATTTATGAATTTTAGATTATTTGACATAAATATGTCATAAACAAGTACAGTAATTAGCAATAATTTTATTAGTAAAAATTTTATGATAACATTTTAGAAAAAACTATTTTATTTTTAAATAAATTCTATATAGATTTAAATTTGAAGTTAAAATTATTAATATAGAAATATTTAATATACTTTACTTACAATAAATGTGTGAAATATCTATAAATAATTATTTTATTTTATAGACAAAACAAGTGAGTGATGCCAACAACTCAGCCATGTTTTGCAAGTTTCGTCAGTTACGCAAATATACCCGATATTACCTCAAGTCATGGCACCATCACTTACCCGATGAGGTCAACAAATTATGGAAAGGATTTTTGCCACCGAAGACTGAAAAGCCTAATTCTAGTCATTAATACAATTAATTAGTGTTTGATTTGTTGTGCATTTGTTTTATTTGTTAAATAAATAATAATTTATCTAAAAAATTAATTTTTGACAGAAAACCAATGAAACCTCCTTCTAGTCTTTGAATTTTCATTGTACCGGTACATCATATTTAATGTTTTTTCTCAAATTATTATTATTATTATGAAGATATATAATAATTTGATTTATTGAAACTAATAAAAATGTTTTTCTTATCTATTATTGATGTTTCTTAATGTTTTTATCAACTAATGTTATCAGCTATTGATATAACAAAATATATCAACAAATTTCATTATATTTGCTTTAATTCAATAAAAATTTTATGGTTTCAGAAGTTAATTCAAAGTAAACTCCTCTTTAAAAAAATAATTACAATAAAAATCACATATAATATATTAAATTTAATTAAAATATCTTAATATATTTAATTAAAATCAATTGAAATAATACAATTTTATTTATATATATAATACATATATATATATTCCCAATACAATCACTAACATAATTCTTAATATAATTATTATTAAATATCTGTACAATTATTTGGAGATATCGATCATATTGTGAACTGTATTGTATTTCAAAGGCACACATAATTGATTACAAAAAAAGCAAATTACATAATTATTATTTTTTAGTCATCACAGGTAAAAGGGTATATAAAAGTAATTATAAAGTATAACTTTTTGTCAACAAAATAATTTTAATTTAATTTAAGAATCAAGATTTGAAAATAAATATGTTTTTACAACTTAAGTATAAGTTTGTCATTAAAACAACAATTAAAAAAATAACAAAATATTAATAATTAAATTTATGTTTTGACGTTTTGTTTATAGAAATCAATTAAAATATCAAATATGTTTTCTTTCACTTATTGCTGAAAAACATAATTTGTAAAAATATAAAACTTGATAAAAGTTTTACTATTAAATGTTGGGCATGATTTGGATATTTACTGTATTATTTTAACAACTTATATATATATATTATATTTAACATATAACTGTTTTCAATTGACATATTTATAAAATTCGCAATCATTWTATATATTTATACACTTTGTGTAAAAATAAGTAATTTAACCTTAAATTACAATTTTAATTATAAGCATCGTTTGATCCACGCTCTCATTATTAAATTATTAAAAACATTTACATTTCAAATAAATAATCATAAGAAACAAAAAATTCAAATATTGCCTCAAGAATTATAAAATATATATTCAAATATACAAAAAAAAGATATTTAGAGATCATTTAACAGCTAATAATTATAACTCTTACAAATTAAAAAAGTTCACAAAACTTTTCAATTAAATTATTGATAATTTCTTGAATAATTTCTTTAATCAGTAAAGAAACAACTGATATATTAATAGATAATTAAGACTAAAATATATGATATTTGATAAAAACAATCATAAAATTAATGATATATTTCTTATAAATTTCAAGCTCTTATTGTTGTCTTTTTGTTTTGAGTTAATGAATGATTTTATTTTGACACAATGTTTAGATGATTTTGTAGATGAAAATGGATGAACTGCTAGTAGTAGTAATAGTTTTACATTAGGCCACTGATAACATGGCAGGAGTCGATGATTCAGATGACGGTGGAGTTGGCAGTTGTGGTACAGATATTGGATCACTTGTTGTCATATTTGGAGTTTTAGACCTATTATTCATTGAAGATATTGATAATGATGACGGCGACCTCACTTGTGGACAGTGAGGTCGCGCTAATTGTTCAATACTGAATGGACTATTACGAGGCGGACAGGACTGTGTTGTTATTGTGGGCGCCGTTGACATTTGAACTCTTGCGTTGATCTCGTTGTGTATTTGATGAATGAGTGGTAGGTTATGGTGTGAATGAGGTAACACATAATCACTATTAGGAACAACTGGTGGACTCGATAGACTCATCTCCGATGATAGCGTCATGTTATCGACATCGCTTTCATTGGCACTCTTGGAGTCGGGTGTGGGCGCCTCTATACTCTCCACACTTCCGATATTGTCTTCACTTTCACCGGCAGTGTCTCCGTTGTCCAGATAACGAATGCATTTCTTTTTCCGTCTTTAATAACAACAAAAAAATACATAACAATTAATTACTAACTTTATTAAAAAATTATGTATTATCTCTTTGAATACCTGCACGGTTTGCACCAATTATTTTGTTGATCTAAGCCAAACCTGGCCCGACATTTCTTGAGAGCGCCGCCTTCTTTAGTAATTTAAGATAACAAATAAAAAACAACAAAACTTTAGTCAATAAAATTAAATGTTTTGTCAATCAATTGGTCAATACCTCCGTCACTGTTTTTGTCTCGTTTTTTCTTCTTTTTCTTAGCATTTGACGCATAGTTATCTCTAGCCGTCCAACCCGGGTATAACTGCATATGTAACTGCCTGTACAACACATTTGATCAAAATAAACAAAATCTTTAGTTATACAACCAATTAATCATAACAAACAAATTATTATTATTATTATATATATAAATATTTCTATATATTATGTTTTTATTGTGAAAGACTAAGAGTGAGAAAATTAAATTATTTAGTTTTGTTTATTTAGTTCACAAAATGCATATTGAAGTCACGATTAAGTAGTTTTTCAAAAAAACTAAAGTGAATAATAGAGATAATGATTATGAGGTTTTTTGAGTATACAAAAAATATGTAAAAATACAAAACAAGCATTTAATTTATTTAAATAACTTAATTGTTAATATAATAGAGCTGTAATTATTAGACAATGCATTAATAGATTTTTTAACCCCATATTATATAATATTATAGAGTATAATGAATATAAACTTATATTGTAATGTTTATATTTTATGACTTAATTGAATGTATATAATAAATATCTATATCACTGGTTAGTCACCTATGAATTTTTAACGCAAATAATTAATTTTTTGACAAAAAATGTGAATATTAATTAATGATAAATTGTTGTCTCATCTATATTACATACAATACACAAATTACACACAAAATAAAATTAACAAATTAAAAATGATTTATTTATTTTAATCAAAAGACAATAATCATTTTTCATATGAATATACGTTTTTAAGATAAATGTGTTGTCTAAATGAAAATTACTGATATAATAATAGATAAGTAAAAATAAACAGAAAATGCATTTAATGAGAGGAAATGGCATAAAAGTGTATATAACTTAAAAAGTCAATGTTTAGCTCATAGCATACGATATAAACCTTTTAAAAATAAGTCTCATTTGTTTGTTTTGTTTAGTTATTGGGGTAAAAGGTTTTTAAAGAGTCTGTTTCAAAACAAAGTGCATATGTGTGTGAATGTATGTATTACTGTATGTACTGTATGTGTGTGTGTAATGGAAAAGTAGTTTTACAGACCAGACATACCTTTCCTTTCTTGCCATATCATAATATTTTGCCTGCTCTTCACGAGACAATGCGTGCCACTAATAAATCAATTCAATAGACAATTAATACATATATTTATATGAGACATCATGTCTACTATAAAAATAGACAAATGTATTGGTCATGAAATAACATACCCGTCGTCCGAGTATCTGATTGATTGCCGCACTTTCTTTGAGCGTACACTCGGCCACTACTTTCGGTCGCATTTCTTTCATATATAACATAAAACTATTGAGCGGTTTTTTGACGTGTGGTTTATCTTTGTTTGATTTCATGGGTTTCCCGTTATAACTGTCGGGCGTTCCGGGGGATGATATCGAATGGTTGGCACTATTGGTTGAATTGGGAGGACTACGAACATTGGTGGCACCGTTGCTATCACTGCTGGTAGTTGTAGTTGAGCTACCATTACTTAATCGGCTAAGCGATGAATTTTGATCGACTGAATGTGAAGATGAGTGTGAATAGGGAGGCAAAGAGTGTCGTGAATTGGTTGCACTGGAGCTCGCATTTACACCGTTACTATCGACACATAGATGCGGATGCGAGTGATGACTACCGATACCGGCAGATGCGGCCGCAACTGCAGCTGCCAAATCGGGATGCTTTGCACCGGCACTGGCTGCCAACAGGGCTGGATGTGTCAGTCCTGGATGACCAGTCAGTCCCGGGTGTGGTGTCATGAGTGGTGATCGTGTAAACGGTGAAAAACTCGATGTATGAACTGATGGTAAACCCGGATAAGGATTACGAAATGCACTGGTAGTCATTGGATACATTGTTGGAGTATGCCTTCAATTATTAATTTAATAGATTAACAAATTATTTTAAAATATTTATTTAATATATATATATATAATGTTAATAATTTACAAAATTACAAATAAATAGATAACAAACCATTGGAGTTGTTGTGCAAAATCGGGAAATACTGGATGCGAGTATTGTCCGTGACCTGAGAGGGGGTACATCGGTGGTCGAGGCATACCCCCTATATGTGCCGGTGGTGGTTGTGGAAAGGGATCCATGTTTGGCATGATGAACTATACACATTTTCAATTGGTAAATTAGTTAGCAAATTATTGTCATAGACTGAGATAGATAGATAGATAAATAGATTTGAAAGCACTTAAAAATTGAGGTGAAAATATCGATATATATGTGCAAAAATATTTAATGTTATTTGCGATCTCTATGAGCGCATCTCTATAAACTATATCATCACACTGTTATATAACTTGTTTGATGTATGCCGCTATTATCGCATCTAAATTCAACTCTATCATTTGACCACATATTCGCATCACATATCCATGTGGTTCACTGCCATATACATTGATATAAATTTATATCCAATTCCCAAATCATCCCTACTTTTTTTATACACTTTTTCCAATAACTGTGAGTATGCTATGTGTGTGATAATAAAGTTTCAACTGTAAAGTGAATTCATAATTAAGTGAATGGAGTGGGAAAGTGAAAGAATATGATAGAAACAAATGAATGGATGTATGTATTAATGTATTGGTTAGGCAACAGGCAATGTATTACTATATATATATACCTTATATACTGTATATATGATATCGTATTGTATGATATGTTGGATAACTAATATAACAATATAATCAAAGAATATCTACTTATTGTCCAAATACTAATGCTTTCTCTCGTGTCTCTAGTGATAACAGTGCTAACGGTGCGGATAATCTATAGTATGTTTCAATGAAATAATAGTACATTTGATCCATTACTTGCATTACACACACACTCACTCACTCAATGCACTCAACTCACTCTACCATTACATCACTATATTGCTGATGTAGTCTCACATCATAGTTAGCATTGGATTGCAATATAAGTTCTCAAATGATATTATGACCAATAATTCCCATTTGCTTTTCACCTAAAATCTATAAAAATCATGATTTATACTAAAATCTGTTTCACTCCAAAAGCTTTTTCATTTAATTTAACAAAAATATAAAGTTGTAATCTCTATCCCTATATATATATATATATATATATATATAAGTTTTTAAATGATATTGATTTTTTGTGCATATAAATCAATATTATTTTTTAAGACATTGTTTAAAGATAAAAAATTAGATATATCAGAGTGTAAAATAATATAATATGTACTGTATTTTCACTTTTATTTAACAATAGTTTTACAATATAGTAGTATAGTATTACAATTTCTGTATTACATATTATCAGACAAACAAAATATTTAAAGAATATTACTGTAGATATACTATATTAATAATTTGGAAAATAAATTAAATAAAAAAATAGTTAAATAACTAAATAAATAAATAACAAACCATTGGTGTTGTTGTGCAAAATCGGGAAATACTGGATACCGGATAATCGGAAAATTGGGGAAATAATGCCCGCGACCTGAGAGCGGATACATCGGTGGTTGTGGGATACCCGCCATGTGTGCCGGTAATTGTTGTGGAAAGAGATCCATGTTTGGCATGGTGAACTATGGATATTTACAATTGATATATTAGTAAATATAGTCATAATCATATAGATATAGATAAATATATTTGAAAACACTTAAAAATTGAGGTTAAAAGAGCTATAGTATGTATATTATGTGTGCAAAAAATATATAAAGTTAATTGAGATTTATATGAGCGCATCGCTATAAACTAATATCATTACATTATTATATGACTCGTTTAATGTTTGCCATTATTATCGCATCTAAATTCAAATCTATCATTTGACCACATATTTGCATTACATATCTAAATGATTGCAAAATGATACCAAAAAAAACATTTACTATATATACATATATATATATAGATCTAAAGAGTAAATATCAATACTATTATTTTCTTAAGACATTGTTTATGGTATATGACTTGTAGGGAGAGAGGACTTGTAGATATATCCAGGAGTTGTAAAAGCAATAAATATTGCACTTCACAGTACAACTACTGGTATAGAAAGCAAGTATTATAATGTATACATAAGTTAAACCATATTTTGTTGATGATATAGGAGTGTGCAAAAAGGGAAAGTCATTTTGAAAAGCGTTGGTTGCTATCAATTGAAGAAGTGATAGACTAGAGAATTAGGATTTAATATATTCATTGAAATTGCATTCAATTTGATGCATAACAGATGTAAAACAAAGTTATAGTCAATATGTGTTGTATGAATCAAACACTGGTGCCAATGGCTGTGCCCAATGATGTCAGTGCTAATGGAAAATGTAAGCAAACAGTTGAATGAGTTGTCGTTCATTAGTTTTGTAGTCTTTAACATAAGCAACCAGTCGTTTGGATAATCATTTTCTTTCTTTTCCGTTATATATACATTGAAATAACAACATTACAACACAAATAATATGTTAAATATTATGTACTTTTTTGGTTATTTTTTGGGCCCACAAATATATATAATATAAGCCATGAGCTAGTAAGCCGTAAGCGCTTTTGGTTCATTAGATACATTGAATCCACTATAGGGCGCATCACTTTGGGATCAATTGTTACCATTCACTACCCGACTCCCTCTCTCAGCAGCCAATTGTCCGATATTTTCAGCATTTTTAGACCAAAAACTGTGGGATCCCTCTCCTATTGCGAATCCATTTGTTTGACATTAGTTTTTTACAAAATACTTATCCAAATGTAAACTATTTTATAGTGAAATGCATTTATAGAGAAATAAACTGATGCAAGTTTTTAGTGCCAAAAAAATAAACTCCATTAATACTGGCCCTCTCGCAGATGGGGTCATAATTTCATTCAATATTATGTTATGGCTTTAGAAGTGGGGTCGCAGATCTAGTATTAGGTCCAACCCCTGTGTTGATGCTTTTAACCCTAAGTTAGTGGTGATGTTTGTAAGCAATGTATACATTCCTTATTTGTATTGAAATATTTTAGATATAATACAGAGTAAAACACATCCAAATATAAAAGGAATCCATTTGCCAGGTGTTAGTCGTGTTAAACAGTCATCTAATATTCAATACATGAGCTCTTCCTCTCCAATAAATATATATAAATCAATACATAATCCTTAATATCAAAAATTGCACTCAAATGCATCTCAATAGACCTCTTCTCTAGCATTCATCACAACTTATTGTAGGATTCAATACCTTTAAACAACGTTAACGACACTCCTTTTGGGTGATAATATATATTTCAATAGTCATACTAAAAAAGATTTAAAGACTCCCTAAAAATTAATATTAACAGTTAGTGAGTGAAAGAGAGAGAGAGATTAATGTAAATAATTTGAGCACTTTTATGTATGTAACAAATATGTACAGTAGTTATTCATGCAAATTGAAAAAAAGATAACTCATATAATAGGCTTTAACTAACTTTTAAAATATTAATTGGATAAACATTTTTCTCATTAATGTACTTAAAACCGTTGATATTATATAATATAGAAATATAATTTGCTTTGCGATGCATAACGACAAATACAATTCAATTCTGATAGACTATCATATAAAATATATGAACTTTCAATGTATTTAAATAATAATAATAATGAGAAATTAATCATTTATTTTGTGTTCAAAAAGCTTTACATTTAAAATGAGAGTAAAATCACTTCTTGCAATACATTTAGTATTAATGTATCTCTTCTTTTAAAAAGCAAAACCTAAAAGCCATGTATTATATGACTGAATGAATGCAAATGTTCCCCAATTAGTGCAACTTTTGCAGCAAATGATACATTTGTCACTTCCTCTCAAGTGTCGAGACCCACACACACCACACAAAGCCATTAGTTCCCATTGACTAACATTTTACAAAAACTTACACATATTATATTAACATTGATACAAAAAACATTATTGTTTTATCTAAATTAAATAACATGTCCACCACTGTTCCAGACATATTGCCATTTTATTAAAAACTACATGTGCTTTCAAATATGTGACATTAAGCTAAATGTTAGTGTCTGATAACAACTTTTTATTACATAACAATAATGTGTTTCCTTCAATCATGGTATTCATGTTGTTTTAAAATGCTTCAATATCTCATATAATTATCTTTTAATATACATAAATATATAGTTATATACAGTATATATTAATCAAATTGAAGATATATATAAAAATAGTCAAACAGTGACTTAAATATTTTATTTATCTATTTAGCCTTAAAACATGTTACATAATAAATGCTATGAAGGGTCTAAAATATGTCGTTTGCTTTTATAAATAGGAATCTTAACATAATATCTTCAAATATACACTATTAATGGTTTGCATTTATCAAATGACATTCAATTGAAGATTCAGTAAAAGTCATTTAAAAGAAATCGTTGAGGATATGAACTCATCAAATAAGAAAAACTACAATATTTTTTATAATTTAGTACTTATATTATATATACACTGAATATTATTAAAGTTTCAATTTAAAAGCAATAAATAGTATTCACTAACAAAAAAAACACTATTTGATTAATCAAAATAGTTGTTATATTTAAAAAACAATTTGTTTATATATCCCTTACATTAAATTTTAGTGTTAATAGTAGAAAATAAAGCAATTATTTACAACAAGTAGTCAATTAATAGAAATTTTATTTTTTAAAAACTGTTTACATTTCAATCTCAATAGGACATCAATAACAATATATTACTAACAAAATAAAAAGTAGACATTATATTATTATTATGAAAGAGAAAGCCCTGATTAAAAAGAGTAGAGAAAATGTAATCAATTAAAGATCACTGAGTGGAAGTATTACAGACATACCAGTGCTGATGATTATATTCATGTATATTATTATTTAGTATATGAAAGGAGTAGAGAGTAAGAGTAGGTTTTGCATAGGTTTGATAATCTCTACAAATTTTAATGAACCAATTCTAGTGAAATAACACAAACGACTGGCAAATAATAGCTATACTATAAAAAGTTTTGCTTAAATTTTTGTAATTCATTGCTTCAAATTTATTAGTTTTTAAGTTTCGCTTACAATATATGATATATAGCTAACCCTTGACTAAAATTGCCTATTTTTATGGTTCAAGTGCTTTCTATAGTATATACGTAAAGAAATTTTTATTTTTAAATATTTTTTCTCTAAATAATATATTATTCTATTTAAACATCAGGTTTTCATGTATAAATAATATTTCAAATTTTTACTTATAAAAAATAAATATTAAAAATACTAAAAATTTAATAAAAATAACTGATATTAAATTCCTTTTGCAAACCAAATTATTATACTATATATACATATAATTATAGATATATATATATAATTAATTTTCTATACAATTTATACTGCAATATATTATTACATTATTATTATTTGGCAACACTTAAACGTATATACATAATTCAGTGAAAATATTCAATCATCAATTAACAATATAATAAAACACATTGATTTGTATGCTTCGCATAAATAATATATTATATATATATATATATATATTTACAAATATATATATATATATATATATATAATACACACATTCACATCATGAATGTATGTATGAATGGCTCGACGCCCCTGTCATTATCACCGGATAGTTGGGGTAAAAATTATTTTACTCTTTATTTTTCACATCCTTAACCAGAGGCTATACAACAACAACAAAAAGTCGACCACAAGTGTAGCAGTGAGTGAAAAGCTAATAAAAGTAGTGTTGAAGCAAAAAATTGAGAGTATTTACGACTAGAGTGAGAGAGAAAGAGAGAGAGAGGTGTTAGTGTGGATAAAAAAATTGTTTCTCAAACCAAACAACAATATAATGATAGCGTTAAAAAAGTTGCTGAAAATGGAGCGCTCGAAGGCTATGGTAGGAAAGCACATACAATATGAAGACAAACAGTCATATAATGAGCCAAACGTTTCAATATAAACATATATACGAAATACCTGTAGCCCTCTCTCTCTATCAATTCAACGGACTTTCACTCTCACTAATTGGCCTTTTGATGACACCCTAAGCATAAACTACATTATCGGTAGAAGTCATATACAAACAATATGAGTATAGCTAATATGCTACCAATGCCGGTGCGCTCACTTGTAGTGAAAAAGTGGAGTTTGGGGAAGTATAGTATAGTATAATATAATAAAGAAAAGTATTAGCAACAGTCCAACGGTAACGTACATACACTGGCACTGACTGGACCACCGATGTCGACACAGGCATATGTATCGCATACAAGGTTTGGTCGCTTAATGAGAGATCACTAACTTTTCAGACAATGTATTGTAAAGATTAAAGGTATTCAATGCAATTGCCTTTTGGCTCATCTCATCTATCAATGCTTTTACAAAAACTAATCACAAACTCAGGACACACACAAACACATAAATGTTGTTATTGTCTGATTTTAAATAATATACTCATTTATAAATAATTTTCAATGTCTTAGTGGACATAAATTTTTATTTTTATTACATATAGTCATAAATTTTGTTTTTTCTAATGAATTTTCAGTCATTTTGATGAGTAGTTTAAAGGAGTTCACAAATATTCATGTGATATACTATAATATATATACTGGTTATCTAATTGTAGACATTAGTTATTAGTTAATCACATGTTTAGTCAGCACTATAATTAATATTGTCAACTCTAACAATTAACACCGTTTAATCAAAATAATTGCTATTTTAATTATATAGATTTGCATAAAATAACATAATTAATCATAATATAAAATATAATAGTTAAACAAGTTTTCTTTTTTGACAAATATTCTAATTATGCAAACAAAATAATCAAGTTATATATATATATTAAAGTTTTCATATAAATAAAATAGTATGAATTTAACATATACTCTAAAATTTAATAAAACTAGACAAACAAAAAATTATATTAAAATCTGAAAAAATATTTAAATGAAATATGTTTTTAAATACTAATAGTAATAAATACATATAAGTTTTAGTTAGATATCGTATAAATTTATAAAAACATCGATATAAATATGATAATAATTCTATGTTATTGATAATAAACAACCACTTTCTTATTTAACACATAATATATACCTTTAACTAATCACAAATGGGTCTAAAAATGTTTGTAAGTTTCCCTCGAGAAAGGCCTATAAATATTGAATGAATGAGAATAAGGTTTGGTTTGAAAAGTTGTGGTTTGCAGTTAACGTACAATACTGTGAAAAATATATAAATATATATAATAAGTGTTTACAATGTATTGTAACCTTAAGAATCTTTAAGGTTATAACCGAAAAAAGCACAGGTATTACTGACATTATATTATTATTGCTTTTTGACTGAAATATACAACACTCCATGAGTTTGTCTCAATTCATGGTAAATGCATCTAAAAGAGGGCAAAATTGCTTTCTTTCTCCTCTCTCTCTCTCTCTCTCTATTTGAATGTTGAAATTTTCAACTTGAAATGTTTGGTTTGTGAAAAGATAAGATTATGTTTTGGTTTTCAGTGCAAAAATATTTTCACTAAACAAGTGTGTATTAAATGATGATTTGTTAAAATTATAGCCAAAAAGCGTGCATTTATTTTAGGATTTAATACAGTATATATATAGTAAAGATTTATGAATTTAATTATCATTTTATATTTATTTTTTATTATATTCTTACTATATCAAAAAACAGATAAATATTTTATTTTCTGTGATAAAATTTGATATCAATAAATTATAAATATGATAGAAATATATTTACTCAAAACTTTATGGCTAAACTGAATCATCGATTGTTATGTATAAATAATAAATATAAAATAAAAGTATGTATCTATAAAGGCATCTATATTTTTTTTTGTTTAACCACTGCTATGCAATATAAATACTATACTTATAAAACAAATCTCCATTTCCCAGAAAATTATATCCCTGTTTAGGGCTATTATGACTAATGTCATCACTTTTAGCAATATATTTATTGAAGACTTGAAAAGTGAGATAAACATTTCAAATAGATTTCTTGATGTTTTTTATAACATAATAATCATTTAGAGATAAAATCAGAGGATATGCAAGAATAAAATCAAGAATAACTGAGAAAATATATGATATTAGTGATGATTAGAGCGCAGCTCAGCCTACGATAGGCCAACAATAACACGGGAATGGCATCGAAAACGGCCGTCCAAGTAGTGTTAAAAACACTATTATACGTCTATCGATTAGTTTGTCGACCAATAAAAGTGAGAAAAAGAGGAGTGGATTGTTGTACAACTCATACGCATATTGACATCATTCATATCATTGATAAAAATATATATAATAAAAGTCTCTCTCAATACAAAATACTGTATATATATATAATCGCATATTATTTCAGTTATTGTTATACACTTTGTCGCCCTATAAGCAAATTGTAATATCAATATATACTGTATATATAAAATATGTCATCGTTTTTATAATGCTAAACATTGCATACAAGTGCCCGGAATTACTCTCTCTATTATATTATCAATAGTATATTATATGGTTCACACCTCCCTCGAGAGCTCGTAAATGTACATCATATATATAAATATATATTTTTGTATATATATATTGTATATCCATATAATATATAATACATAATATATTGATTTTTATGCTCAAAAGATTTGCCGCCGAAGAGTGAGTTGTTGTCATTTGTAGACAAACAACGACTCAATTATTATGATTTTTGTTACATAACTTAATGATGTATTTGACTAAATATTTATTTTATTAATTAAATACAACTTTACTGTTATGTTTGATTTGATAATATTCATTATTATAAAATTTAAAATCATCAAAATTAGGCAATGGATATATGTTTAACATAAATATTGTATAAACTATAACATTATACTGTAGTGTATATAAAATATGTAAAATATATGTGCATTTAATTTGATTCAAATGATAACAGAATATAAATATAACTTAAAATGCAAAGTATTTTATGGTTCCAAACATTTCAAAGACAAACATTGAAACCAAAAGAAGAAATGTTAGTTTCATTCACTTAATTGAACAAAATTTTTCATTTCATTTGATTTCAGGTGTCTTTTAAACTAAAACTGAAAGTTAATTGCATTCAAACAGACAAAACTAGAAACCCTTCGCTCCCCTCCTCACAAACCAAATGAAATAAATAGTCGTTATTTTTATCGTATGATTTAAAATATTTATTTTTATTTTATTTTTCTTAGTTTAAAAACTAATTTCTAATAAAAATATATAAATTAGATTCAAAAAAGCTGTTTTCAAAACTGCTTTTTTTGAGTCACAACTCATTTTTGTCAGCTCTGAAGCCTCACTCTCTCACATGAAAATTATTTCAAGGATTAAAGTCAGTGAAGAAGTAGTGATTGCAAGACTTTTAGTGCATTTTTAAATTTAAGAGTTTATTAATGTTTTATGAGTCGAGAAAAATATGTGAATATATATTAAGTGAAAGTTTTTCACATCTCTTTAGTGGCAAAAAAATGTTTCTACAAAACTTCATTTCAATGGATATATAAATATATAGATATATCAAATGATAAATGTTATGATTACGAGTCAATCGCTTATCAAACGATATTTTCACAGATTTAATGACTGATTACTGGGGCTCTGGGATTCATGAGTGCTGACACCCACCTCCACAATGGGACAGGCAGGCGGAGTGGCACTACTATTATATATGGTAGTGTTGTAAAAAGCACAATAACCATGAAATATTAGTTGACTCTGACTAACAAAACCTATTGTTGTGTGAATTTATGCACCACTTCGGGACACACTAACGACTTAAGAGATAGATATGTCGAAGTAGTGGAACAACCACTTCTTTGTGGGCCTGGGATGGGGTGTGGGGTGGAGAAGCTGGGTATACATACAATGGCATGCCTAACATTCCCTGGTCTTGTTGAACACACAAACTTTGAATACCACGCCTGCTTGTTAAGAGTGCTATCAAAGTGTTGCACATATACTGTATGTATACATACATACATATATACATACATACAGTACATACAGACCAGAGTTCAGTTAACCCAATATAACATTTAACAACTTTTCAATTGGCAAACATAGATCCCAGAGCTGAGAGACTGGATTTAAATAGTGGTCGAGTGGTCAGTATTTGCTGGTCATACCTGTGTGTTGTTCACCTTCAGTGATTAGGCTAGTCTTGAGATCATTGAGGTGTTCGTTGGTCTGTCGGTTATCATCGGCCTCTTCGCCCTCAGAGCTAAACACTTTTATCTCATCACTAGAGGCCAGATCATCGGATCCACCGCTGCCTACGTGAGGCATCACTCAAGATTTGGTCGACAACTAAACCAAAATGTCACACAACAACACACATAATCACATTAAGTACACATAACGTACTGTTCATTATTGGCAGTCATAAGCTGTAAACATAAAGCGCATTGTTTTTATTAATATGTGTTTTCACTCAACAGTATTAATCAATTTGTGGCGAAAGTCGTCAAATCAGTCAATACTTGAATATTTGTGATTTCAAACTAAATGCACTTTCAGTGTCTCTCACAACACAACACAACACACAACACATTTACTGTCTATCTCTCACTGTATGTATGTATAGCTTCTCATTCAATAAACACACAACACTTACAGCGCATTCCTCACTATAGTCAACAGCCAATCACATCAACACAACATTGCATTCACTGTAAAGTATATAAAAATTTTAAGAACCTGTCTTAAGAACCCCAGGCTCTCCAGCGCACCATTATATCTGTATATACACTATATGTGCTGTACATACATATAGTATATACATACATACTTTGCATCTGTACTCTCTCTTACATATACACACACATACATACATACATACACACACACACACACACACACACACACACACACACACACACACACTGACTGGATTGGCTTACAGTGCAATCACAGTGAGTCTAAAAATCACAAATTAGAGGCAAACGTATAATAAGAAAGTTGTGGAGTTTTCAAGGCTTTTCAAAGTTTATTTATTTTAGTTACAGAGCACTGACACACAGTCACTCTGCCTCTCTTTCTCTCTCTCTTTCTTTCTTTCTCTACCTCTCTCTCCCTTTTTCTCTCTTTATTTTCTGTCTATATGTCTATCTATCTAAAAACAACATCCCATCCATAGGCATAGGCATAGACTAACATTGAATTATTTATTTGACTACTTGGCACCACCACGTGCTCCACGATTAGTGTGTGTGTATAGTGCTGTACAATCAAATAGATAATACAATCACTGTTTATGACTGACTCGTAATCTCCAATACCTGTAGTGAAGAGCTGTTATAAAATTGTAGATTTTTATTATTTCAGAGATTTTATGCTCAGATTTGACTCTTATTTTGCACAATAACTTCATATATACTGTATATACAGTACAAGACATACACTACAATCAATGGTCTCAATATATTTTTCTCAATACTAGTTGTAAATATAACTCAAACAATAAATGCTTTATTCACTATAAAAATAAACTTTTATTTTCTCATCAATTCTTGTTTAACTCTAAAACAAATATTTAATCTTTTATTACAAATATTTATTTAAATCATAAATAAGAATAAAAAATAAGTAAAAAGTTTTTACTGATTTTATAGCATTATATTATTTATATTATGTATAGTTGTATTACTTAGACTGGTTTATATGATGGAAATAATAATATATGTATAGTAATTGTTTTGAAATGTAATTATAATAGTAATGAGAAATAAAGTATTTTATGTATGTATTAACTGTTAGTGTGTTTTCTCTCACATCACATGTGAAAGTTGTGAACAAAATTTGTTTTTTCTCTTTAGAGACCAGTTTGTGATATTGAGAGTTGAAAATAAGTGGGGCTTAGAAATTGAATGGGGACTCACATACAGGGGGTTGGGAGGGCCAGTCACACAAACTGGCTATAATAGTGATGCCAACTATAATTAATCAGAAAGTAATGTCACGATGAAGGCACAGAGCACTGGGCTATCTCTGGCTCCGGTATGGTATTAGGGTTCAGCCCACTTCACATCCCTGTTAACTAATGCCCAGATCGTTGTGTGTGCTGTCAGTACTGTATTTAAGATGTAGTCAATTATTTTCATGAAATCGTTGCCTATTTTGCATTATAAGAGCGTTAAAACACAGCGTTATATCCGTGCACTTGTTGTGGCACTTCTTACACTAACTTACAGTACAACCAACAGTATAGCCTTAGAGTACATCCAACAGCACAGCCATCAGTACAGCCAACAGTACAGCCAACAGTACGGCTTGCAATTCAACACATTTGCCTCAGACCTCAGTCAGGCCAGTACTTCCTCTCTCTCTCTCTCTCTCTCTCTCTCTCTCTCTCTCTCTCTCTCTCTCTCTCTCTCTCTCCACACACACACATACATAGACTCACTGACTCTCTCTTTCTCTTCTTTTTATATATATTTATGTGAACATTGTTTAGAAGCAAACATAACAGCAATGGTATGCTATGTTAGTGTTAGTTGTAATGTCTAATACTTGGTTTGAATGTTGATTAACATAAATTACACTTAAGGTTTGCATCCATTATTTGTTTTATATTAACTATGAAGTGATTTATCATTACAAACAGCCCGTAGCACTTTGTGACCACATTGACCTTCTAGTGCATTGGCAAATGCAGGCATCTATGCATAAATGGCATAACACACTATAATAATAATAATAATACTAATAATAATAATACAATACACAAATACATAACACAATACATAAGCTTCTGGGCGGCGATACATCCGATGCGAGAAATATGCATCAAATGTGTACCCAAACAGTCATAACACACGCAAACCATAAACCAACTCAAACTCTCAGACTGTCGACTCTATCCCAACCAAACTGTTTGTGTAAACTGTGTCTCATTTATTGGTCCTTAAAAACCACTCGTTATTATATATTAAATGTTAGTCAATATCATTGAAATACCATTGAATTGCGAGAAAAAATCTAAGACAATGTGATATTTGATTGAAGAAGTGCTTCGATGGCCTTATTTGGCAAAAAAAAAAGTTTATTCAATACTATATAAGAGATGCCCTGAGCTATGATATAAGCAAATAATAGCGGCATCTCTTTTGATGTCTCAAAAACTCAATCATCTTTCAAATACATACATAACATACAGTACTGAATATGTAGTCAACATTTCCTTAATCTATAACACGATTAATAACTAATAGTCACACCAACAACAATAACAACAATAACAACAACAACGAGAGTCAAAATATTTATTTCAAATAATTTCATTATTCCGTAAAATAAAATACTTTAGAAAATCAATTTAAAGGCCAATTTGATCATCTATTTAGACTAACTAAGCCAAAGATATGGTATATTCCTAAAACAAATACATAAGTTTTATTTATATACTTAGCGCTGCTTTACGGCACTAAAACAAACTAATCAATTGCATAATGTATTTTTTAACTAATTATTTTTCCCTGAATAAACTGCAATAATAATTATTATTAGTGATATTTGCTTAGAAATATCAAATCTGTGACAATATAATAAAATTCGTGACAAAATAAACAAATTGTAATTATGTCAAGTGATTACTTTGTTTGGATTAACAATTTAAGTTCATTTAATAATAGAAATAAGTTGAAAATGCATTAAATTATTAACAAATGGGAGTATATTTAGATGTCATCAAAATAATGGAACTATAATAATGATTATTATTATTATTATTAACAATAATAACAGGTGTCAACCCATTAGAGGCCACAACAAGTCTAAGTGATTGCCTGAGGCAAGGGTTGGTTGGCTTCAAGTTCTCAGAATCAACAGATTCTCCTTAGCTTTTAAAGTATTACTGTTTTTATGCCATTTAGTAGTAGTCTAGTGTACTGTACTAACAAATAAACTAATAAAATCATTGCTATATCTAAATCTTTTCAAATATTAATTCACTTTTATTATTATATTTTATGCTTATATATTCAGTATATACCTGTATATTATAAGTTATAACAATACAATGCATTTATTGTATTGTGTATCAAAAATCAGGGATCAAATAAATGTTTAGTTACGCAAAAAATATTAAAGATATGTTAATAAAACAAAATTTAAAATTAAGAAATAATCAAAGTTTCATCTTCAACACTAAAAATATAAATTATTTATTTTACATCAGGGTTAAGCAAGTTTTTTTTGGTCAGGGGGTGTAATGGGTGGGGTATAGAATTTTATTGTATTTTTGAACAAATATTAATTTGAAAATCAGAGAAGTCATGAAAGAATTCCCATAAAATTTCTCTCTAAAAAATCTGATCAAGCTAATTTATCAAATCACTTTAATTTCTATATTTATTAGTGGTTTTAATAGTAATTTTATTTATTAGTATATTTATTATAAATTATATATAGAAAAAGTTTTTAAAATAATTTTTTCTAAACATAAAATAGAAATAAGACATCTATAAAATTAAACAAAAATATTAATTAACTAAATTTTTGAAAAAAAATCTCTATTTTATTAATGTTGTGTAATATTAAAACCAGATGAAAATTATTATTATTTGCATAAACTTATTTTTTGATATCTTAAACTATATTTCATCAAAAAATATCCTAAATTTTTTACGTAATTAAACATTTCATTGATTGATTCACAAAATTGATTTCTTTAACAAACTGTATTATACAACTAAAGATGACACCACTAATCAAAATTGTTGCATTTAATTGTTAAATTTAATATCATAAATGTAAATCAATATTATTTACAAATTAATTTAAAAGTTTTATTTAATTTTAATTTATTATGTAAATTATAAATATTTAATAATTATATTTAATAATTTCCATTATAACTAATTAAAAACTTATTAAAGAATCATTAAAATTTTATAAGAAGAAAATTGAATAAATTAACATAAAAATAATGTAATTTATAAAAATGAATGAGATTTTTTTATATTTGTTAATTAATTAATTATAAAATAAATTAAAATAATATCATATTTGTTTTTAGACTAAATTCGTATATAACAAATAACATTAAAATTACATTTATTATTTTAACTAATAGTAAATCGATATCTGATGTTTAAAAAAAATTGTTTAGCCATTATAAATATTTTTATAAAAATATATTTTCAATATAAACTTTAACATTTTTAAAAACATTTTACTAATATCTACTAATTTTTATTATTAACAGTTAATAAATAATATTAAACAATTCACTAATTCAAATTTAATTTTTTTAATAAAGTAAAGAAAGAAAGAAAGAAAGAAAGAAAGAAAGAGAGAGAGAGAGAGAGAGAGAGAGAGAGAGAGAGAGAGAGAGAGAGAGAGAGAGGGAGAGAGAGAGAGAGTTAGTGGGTGAGTGAGTAAGAGAGTAAAAGTGTGAGATGTTGTATAGAGGACCGGCACCTTAACTCCATCCATAGGTATTCATTGTAATGATTACTGATAAGCAATAGTTTTTATTCACATTCTATTAAATTTGTAATATATTTAAAATAAATCACATTAAAGATTATATTAATTATGTACATTATTATCATTTAATTAATAGTAATCATATTGAATATAATTAAATAAACCGATGTTTGTATCGGTCTATCTATATATATATATACAGTAGATAAGCACTGGAGTGGTATTGAGTGTCAAATTGACAAATAAGTGGCAAATAGTCCGCAAACTCAGTGATGCAGCGCTGGTCTCGCATTTTGTCTGTGAGTATGCTTTGAGAGCACCGTTAGATTTAGGCATTGAATTAATTGAATGCAGTATTGATGTTGAATTTGTGCTGATGTTGTGACACAACATTAATTCAATTGGTCTCACATTTTTCGCTTACAAAAGCACAGTATTTTCACAAACAATTCCATAATATATACAGTTTTGTGTCGACTATAAAACATTTATAAGAATAAAGGTTTGTTTGATATTTTCTGTTGTTTTATATATTTTTATAATGATTGGGTAGACTTATAAAAAGTATAATTAGTTAAAATTATTTTAAATATAATATTTTTGTACATTTTATCATTTAAATATTCTTTAGGAAATTAAACTATTAATAATGAAAATAATGTTTTCGACATTAAATTTTGTTAACTATTTTTTATAATAAAAATTTTATATTAATTCAAAGAAAATCTAATTAGTTTAAAAAAATAATCTAATAATAAAATAATTTACTTACTAAAATGTTATTATAAATTAGAGTTATGTTTATATAATTTTAATTAACAAAACATATACAAATACAGGGCATAAAGTTAATGTATATCTGATGAATATCAAAATTTTAAAAATTTTATTTTATTTATATTCTTTTATACATATAAACATATATTTTAATTATGAAAATAACTTCCATATTAATTATGTTAACTATTATATAAATATTTATATTTTTTTATAATGATTAGCATGATTTATATAAAAGTTAAATTTTACATTTATATTCTTAATAAATATTTTTTTGAATAAATATATTATATAGAGTTTTATTGACTAATTGTAATAAAATAATGTATTAATTAAGATATTAACAAATAAGTTGCAAACAAAAAATTTTTTTTTGGCTTTTATTAAATAATAAATTCTAAAGAATTTTTATTGTAAGGAATTGTTAATGCATTTTAAAAAGCACTGTATATTATTATTATTATTATTATTATTATTATTATTTTTATTATTATTATTATTTATTTTTTGTTAAACTTATGTCAATTACATACACAACAATATGATTTATTTACAGTATATTATCATTATTATGGCTTATTTCATAAACATAAAACTTTAAAATTATGATTGTTGTCATTAAAATTATTGTATATAATTATTTTAAAATATACTGTAATTTACAAACGTTACTATTGAATTACAATAATGAATAGTCAAATACAGTATATTATTTAATAAGCATTTTTCGGAAACTATATATTGTTTCATTGATATTATTTTTAAATTTATTGCATTAAATGCATTTCCATTAAATCTTTTTAATATTTTATAGCATGAATAATAAAAAATATGAATTTTAAATTAAAAAATCTTTTGATACACGAGATTTATGTGATTTCTAAAAAATATATAAAAACATATTTTTTTGATAAAAATTACATGAGATTTTTTTTTGTTATTCAGTTATATAAAAGTAAAACAGTTATATATATATATATAAATATAATTTTTATAAATCTTATTGAAAAAAATCTGACAAATATTTTATGTTTGGTCGATATTTTTACTAAAATCACATGGCTTACTTTTTTTTTGCTAAATATTAATATTTTATTTTAATGACATTTTACTTAAAATATATTTAAATAATTAAATTCTAAATTTTTCTAATTAATTACTTAGTAGATTCAAAACTATATTTTTATGTCATTAATTGTATAGAATAGCTTAAAAATTCTAACAATAATTATTTGATAATCTTTCACATATTATATAACATAAAAATTGTATTATCGTTTTTTGTAACATAATATAAATCTAATCACATAAAATAATATTACAAAAATAAACTAACTATTTAATATAATAAGTATAGCCAATATTGTAAATTTATATTACACTTTTATTAAATTATTCTCATTTTACAGATGCCAAAAGTATTTAGATTATTCACTGAAAAAAATACAGTGTTATCAATAATTGATATAAATAACTAGATTTAAAATACATTAACTAAATGATTAATAATTTATTATATTATATATGTTTTATTATTTAAAAAAGCTTTTATTTATAATATTATTTTTGAAAAACAAGTATAATTTATTAATAAAAATCATGATTTTGGGAATTAGAGTTTTTAAAATTAATAAATTGTTTAGATATCAATAATATTGTATGATAAATATGATGGGAAATATTTGTATAATATAGTAATATTTATACATAAAAATATTAATTTGATATTTTAAGAAATTACAGAAAATGTTAAGTGATTAAAATAAAATGATAGTAAATGCTAATAAAAAATATTTGTAAACTAAAAGTTGAACTTTCGAATTTATAAATTGTTAATTTTGTATTATAATTAATTTGATATTATTTAATAATCATTATATTATAGTTTTGTAGGTATTTATTGATATAAATGTTATTCACTAAATAAGGCATTTATTCATTAGTATTTTTTGACGATATTATATTTATCTATAAATGTTTTTTAAGAAAGTATAGTATGAATAGAAAATAAATATAAAAATTTTAAAAATACGGAATTTACTTTAATTAAAATTTACTAAAATATTTATAAAATGTAAGATTTTTCAAAAAGCAATATAATTAAAACAGTTTATTTATTTAAAATTTGTTACTATTTGTCACAATAGTTACTGATTAAATTGTATTATTAAGTAGTTAGACACACATTGTTTATTACAATTTTTTTATCTATAAATAAATCTTTAAATAAATAAGCTTTGCAAAAGTTATCAAAATAATTTAATTTAATAGATAATAAATTAATATAAATGTTTTTATAGAAATATTTTGTTAAAAACTAACTTTATATACAGTATTATTCTTAATTAATATTTATATTTATGTTACTTATTATAATCAATATTATATAATATATTGTACCGTATATTATATATATATATATGATTGTGTTAAATTTCTAATTAGAGAGAAAAATGTGAGCAAAAAACTAATACAATATTAACAAAAAGCAAATAAAGACTGTTGTAATTCATTACCATTTTATTGAACGTAAAATTTCTTTAACAAAACGCATTACAATTTATTATCTAATTTGTTGTTAATTTTGATAATAAATATTTTTTAGTTAAAATTTAATGAAAAATTGTCTCATAATTAATTATTTTTTAAAACAAATTATTTATTAACACAGGGATGAGCTTTGAAAATTGTATATTAAACTTGATCAATTGATTCAAAAATAAAGTTAATTTTACAAATTGTTGCCAATATTTTAATATTATACAGTATTTTTAATAGTAATCTTTTATTTACAATTAGTATTGTAATGTTAAAGTATTGCAACAATTTATTAAATTAACTATATTTTGAATCAATTCATTAAATTTAATTTACAATTATAAAAACTTGTTCATATGAAATATTGCAGTATTATAATGAACTATATTATAGTCACTATAATAACTTTAGTTATTTACCTGATAATAACATTTCTAATTCATAATTAATTATTAGTTTATGAAAATGAATTTTATAAATTGTTTTAAGACAACATTGAAATTCAAATAAATATTTTTACTATTTTCATTGTATTATAGTTTAATAAAGTATACAATTGGGATATATTTTTAATAAATAAATGATTATACAATCTATTTAGAATTACTATAATTACTAAAAAACAATGAGTTAATAATTAATTTAATTTCTGTATAAATTAAAATACATATTAATATATTAGCAATTTAATTTGAAATGTAATTTGAATATTTAAATGAATTAATACTATATCATCACATTTTATTAATAATGAATTAATTATTGTATGTTTAGAATTGTATTAATATCTAATGTTTAATAAATCATAATATAAATATTAAAATTATTTAACAAAAGCAAATTTTATAAAGCATATACATTTTTTTGCTTTACTATTATTAATTTCAGTTAAATAAGCAAATACTTTACTATATTTTATTTTACATTATGTGATATGATTGTGTGTGTGTGGGTGTGTATGTGTGTGTATGTATGTATGTGTGTGTGTTTGTGTAAGAAAGAGAAATAAAATGCTGTCCATATGAAAGATCCATCAAAAAGCATGACATATGTGACAGAATTATAATTGATTTCCAGTTATAGACGTAAAGTAAAATCAAAAAAGAGATATTGATCTTTAATTGTGAAAATTTATTACAACAGTATCTGACATCAAAATACAATATTTGTCTATTTATTTATAAATCTAATAAATTATATACAATAGGCTTTAGTGATCAATGAACTCTATATTCTATACAATTAGTGTTTAAGAAATGCATGTTTTATTATAAAACATTTGAATCACTGTTTTTATTATTATATTTGATTTTATATTTATATTTCTTCATTCACTTTAGTGTTGTATTATACTAACATCTATTAAATTAAATTAAAAATTATAATAAAAAATTAACTTTTGTTCAAATTTTTATTATTTTTTGCAGTTAATGGTTTTAATGCTAAGCTGTGACTTAACGTTATTTTCAAAGCTTAATTTTAACTGAATTTTGAGTGTATATATAAATAACACAATTTTAATAAAAGATTAAATGTATTAATGTCGCTGAGAGGCAGTGAACAGCAGCACAGGGAGTCTAAACAAGACGTCCACACGAATAGCGTCAATGGTGTGAATATAAGAGATGTCAACTCAACAAATATCACTCAAAGTGATGGCAAAACCAAAGAAACGGGATTTCCTTTAAATAAAAGCAGTAAAAATTGGGATAAATTGAGGATAAAATCAATGAAAAGTCAAAACAACAATAGAGATGATACTCAAAGAATGACGAAATGCGAGGAAAGAGTGGTTTTAAAAAATTCAAAAGTCTTTACCAGAACTTTGTCTGACATTCAAGGAGTGAGTTCTTCAAAGAAACCAAATGTTACACAATTGCTATCAATTATCAATTCAGGTCACGAGTTAAGCCGCAAACAATGCGATACAAACACCAGACTATCTTTAAATGCTGACCGCACAGGAAGCCAATCAGTACCGGATACTAGAGGACAGTCATCTAAAGGTAGTGAATGGAAACTATTGAAAGGAAAATTAGCATTACTTCGCAAACGAAGTAATAAAGATGAGACAGATATCACTGGTAATGACGACACAGTCAAAGAATTAAACATTAATGCGGACAAACAAACAGACAAATCAATGGCATCACAGTTGGATCAGAAATCAATTGACACAACATTTTCTGAATCAAAACTCAATAAAAAGAGTTCACCCGTAAAAGGGATTGTTTGTAAAAAAGTGGATTTAATGCATATTTTATCGGAAGCTTCTAAAGGGATCAATAATACTGTAAAAATTAAAACGATTGTCAATGATATTGAAGAGGAAGAAAGTGTTGACACATTATGTGCTGCGGATGCCATCCAGTCTGACGTGACTTCAGGCGCCTCAACATCTTATGTGTTAAATAGCGAGCAAAAGGCGTCCACATCTTCTTCTTCTTCATACTGTCAGTGTTTAAGACACGAGACGAAAGAGACGACGACTAATACAAAGGCTGGCACTGAATGTCACGAATGCTGTGAACGAGAAAATTGCTCTAAAAATCGATACATTCCTAACATTATATTAACAAACAGTAATTCAACAAATAGTTGTGATATTTCAGTAAAATCTAATTCAAATGATATGTTTGTCCAAAATGATTGTGCGATTGAATTAAAGACAGAACCAAACAGTAAATGCAAAGTCAAAATGAGAGGAAAAATTGCATTCAATGAAACTAATTTAGTGAACACTAGAGATATTACTACTGATGATAATATTAGTGGTTTTAATGAGAGCAATGATACCAATGCTTGTTCAGCACAGGCTGTTCAATGGGATGATATTAATTTGGATCCTTTATTATTAGGCGATGCTATCCAAGCATTTCTCCAGGGGTTGGGTAGCAATACGACAGCCAATGTCTCAACTAATGAGAAGAGAGTATCGTTTAAGAAAAGCTTTTGAACCACTATTTTCACATAATATTTATCATCAAATAATCAGATATACACCATATCATTGAATGTAATCATATAATGAGAGATCTATGTGTCAAACGGTAGATATTGTGTATATAAATACAAATATAACAACAATATGTTTAGCACAAACTTATAATTAAGTATTATATTATACTTTACTTTATAAGATATAAAAGAAATTATACACACATATAAATTACAGTACAGTACAATATACCGTACTGTATATATATATAGTATACAAATATACAATTTATTTATGAAACTCAATCACATATTTTATTCATTTGATTACAAATAAGTAAATAGTAGTCGGTATCAAATAAAATTATATTAAATTACTTTTATTTTTTATATAATTTTTTCCTAACAAATCTCAGAAACAGATTTATATAAAAGTTTTATTTAATTTAAGTCCATTGAGTATGTATTCATTAACTATTTATTTTTAATTCACATCAAATAAAAACTAACATTAATATATTTTGTCATACATTGCATTAAATAAATAGTATTATTACTTATTAAGGTTTAGCACTGTAAATAAATTTACAATATTAGAGTATATAAACAAATCAAATATTATTTTTTATTTAATAAATATTTATATAACATTAATAATAAAAATAATTTTAAATGTTAAAAATATATTGAAATATTATAACTTTCAACATAACATATTATTTAATCAATTATTTAAAGAATTAAAATATTATTATAATAAAATAAATAAATTAAATTATGGAAATTATTGTCTTAAAAATTCTAATAATTTCAATAATTTTACAGAATTATACAAAATAAATATATAAACAAATTTTAATTATAAAACACATATCAAATTTATTTAAATATTTTTTAAAAATTAAAAACAATACTAACGAATTAAAATATTTTTATATTATAAAATTTTATTTTTTATAATTGATATCTTTATGTTATTTCAATAATAAAATTCTTTATTTAATATTGTGCGCATAATATTTAATATTAAATAATGAATCATTTATATAAATATATATATTTTATCAACTATGATATACTGTATAATTAAAAATAATAGCGTAACTAATTTTTATGTTCATGAAATGCATATGAATTTATTTAAATTTTAAATGTATGAAATAAATATTTAAATAGTATTTGTTTGCATGTTTTGTTAATTAATTTTTTATATTAGACAAAAAAATTTAATTCAAAAGATGCATATTAACAAAATACAAATATAAATTAATATATGATAATATAAATATAGATTTAACAAAATATTTAACATTTTTATTAGAATATCAATTATTTTAGAATTTTTCAAAAATATCTTATATTTTAGTTATACTATCCTTTTCAAGTCCGCATCAAAAACTGTCATATTTTTGGTGACAATTCAAATACCTTAGGGTTTAAAACATTTTTTTATATTTATATGTAGCGACAAATGACAAAATGTAGTTATATTTGATATACAGTATAACACAAATTAATATAAAACTATTTTATTTTATAATTTATAAAAAGATCACAGATATTAATAATTTTATACTAATTAAATATATTAAAATGCTCAAACAAATCTTATTTAAAAAATATTACAAAAATTTTTTAATTAATATTTTTATTGAATATAACTTTTTTTATAAAAATTTTTTTAAGTGGAAGTAATTTATATAATAAAATAAACTATTTTAAGTATAATTTAAAATATAATAAAACATTTATTTTTTATAATAATCAATATAATATAATATTTAATAAAATTATTATTGATTGATTTATTAAATTTGAAATTAAATTGATATATAAAAATAGAAAGTAAATTTATTAAACACAATAAAAAGACATTTCAATTAAATTTAATTACTGTTTAAATTCAGTAAAGCGTTACATTATAGTATATTTATTTTTTTAAAGTTTATCTATAGATTTGTAAACAACAAAAAAGAAAGTGTTATATCAAAAATATAATACATGAATAAAATAACTTAATTGTGAAAATATTTTTATATAAAATCAAATCCACGAAAATAGTGTCCAATGATATGATTGACATCATTTTGAAGCGTTGATTACTGAAGTGACTTTCGGTTCATTAAACCTCAATAGACATCAATTGGCTTCAATGGTACGGTAGGTCTTGCACTTAAAGGCAATCCATTTGACGGATTCACTAAACCTGAACAACCGATTCGCCTACAAAATAGACATACATTTAGTGCCAGTCTCTCACACTCATCAGTCCTTGAATTGTGTTTATTATAATCAATATATTAATACTGTATATACCTTACACTATAACTACTGTATATAATTTATATGATACTATTATATAGAGTATATCTTTCTATAATATAAGTTATAACTACTGTATATAATACTGTATATCTTGTTTTACTGGTTTATCTGTTTTGCGCTAATTAGTAATCTCTTTATATAACATCAAAACATTTTATTTGACTACTTGACAAAAAAAAATCACAAAACAAAAAAAAGTGGTTTCAAAATTTACTAAACAATTGAAATGAAAACACATTTTATAAACTAAAAAATATCTTATTTGAAAAAAAGTGAAAACAAAACAATGAAATAAACCTTTTCTATAAGTTTAGTAAATTTAAAATTTTCATTCATTTTAAGTCACCATTAGAGCTGAAAACTAAATGAAAAATTTTTAGACATTAAAATATTATGTTATTATTATTATTATTATATAGTGTTATTATAAAATATACAGAAAGAAATATTAAATAAATGAAAGCTGAGCTTAAATACCGTTTAAGCTGTTTTTATTAAGAAATGGTATCAATTCATGAATAATAATTTTTTGTTGAATACTAAATATTTAGCATTTTATAAACGTTTTTATGTAAAAATGTCTAATATTTTTTGTTGTTGAATAACATACAGAAATCAATATTTTTGTTGGCATTGTTTCACATCTGTCATCATTTGTCGGTAGTGTTGACCAGAGAGCCGAACGTAGCGAACGACCAAAGAAATTTGGATCAACTCATTGATCTACTTGAACAACAAGACAGATATATTCATCGGGGTATAGCCAGCGGTCGGTTGGATGCCATGGATAAGAGTGATTCAGATGACGACGATATCTTCGGCAAAGTACTATTGCAGGTATGGCTAAACATAATCTTATGTTTTTATTGTCTAAATTGTATTGTTATAATGAAATATATTTTATACTATATTTTAATGGCTTAAGTTCATTGCATAACGCATTTCATAAAGATTTTAAAAAATGAAAACAATTTATTATTATTATCCATTGAAATATTCTTTCAACAACACTAATAAAAATTGAAAATTTATGTTTTGTGTAATAAAATACTTTATTTTTTCTAAATAGACGAAAGATTTATAGTCCAACAAAATATACGATAAACTTATTTTCCGAAAGTGTTTTTTGCGCTCAAAATTGCTTTCGAGAGGATTTCGGATTAGTTGTACTTTTGCTTTCCGTTTCAATCAATTCACTAATATTTGCTTTTATACACGTATTTGTCTGTTATATAATCATTCAATCAAATGATTTTTATTTTCCCTACAGAAACAAACCTTTTGTTCAAAAATATATATATATATGTTATGTTAGTCTGTTATGTTAAAGGTTTAATTAAAAAATAAGTCATACAATTGTTTTTCGACAAAATTTATTGCTTTATATGTTTGAAAGATAGTTTCGAAATCATTTATAAATGTTATTTATTTAATACATTTGTATAAAATAGCACTTAATTAAAATTACATGTAAATTAATTTAAAGTGAATTGTAAATTTTTTTGTTAACAAAATTTTAATTTATAATAGAAATTACAATTTAATATTACACTATTTAAAAGTTGATTTTATTTAATTTATCTTTTAAAATAGTGTTTGCGATTTTTAAAGAAATAAATTAAATAAATATTCAAATAGTGACTAAACATTTTGCATTTTATTTTACTGAATATATAGAATATTTATTTTAAACATAAAAACTCTAAGCTTTAGTTTTATAATTTATACAGTTTTGCAAATTTTTCCAAAACAACTCTTAGATAATATAGATAAATAAACGTAAAAATTTTAAGGAAATTTTAAATTTACTTAAAAATTTAAACTAAAAATGACATTCATTTAAATATAATGTTTATTAAGAAAAATAGTTTATTTTTGTGTCAAACACTTCTCATAACAAACGCCTTGAATATCGATCGCAAGTCTTCTCTCTGTTTTGTGAATCAACTCTAAAGCCATAACCGCTTTCAATGCAACCATAAGTCATGTGCTAAGACTTTGTGTCACAAATCAAATATATCACTCAATATATATAAATATATGAATATTTTTTATTATTATTATTTTACTTACATTTCTTCAATAATTTGAATATAGATTTGATATATTAAATATAAATATTTTTATATTAAATAAAATAACTTTTCAATATAAGTAAATAAAATAAATAAATAGTAAAAATAAAAAATAATTTAGATATTAATTTTAGTAATTATGTTCATATCTTTTTATTTATATAGATATTTATTAAATAAATATATTGTATAAATAAAAGCAACTTATTATTTGACACTTAAATATAGTTTAACAAACATGTATTGTACTATACTTTATATACTGTACTTAATTTGATATCTCTATTCTAGAATTTTTATATAAATAAATAAATGTATAAATAATTTAATATAATATAATATAGGACTTGAAATCTATGGAAGATGAGATAAAGATACCGGAGGAAGATTATAGTGATGCTCCGTATCCACCCGGATATCCACCGGGAGAAGGACCTGAAGAGGGACCAGAAGAAGGTTCAGAAAGAGGTCCAGAAGGAGGTTCAGAAAGAGGTCATGAAATAAGTTCAGACAATGATCCGCAAGTCAATGAAATCAATGAACGTCAAGACACCGCTCCTGAAGATGAAAATCAAAGTGAGATTTTGCGTAACAATGACGAGTACACAACAATAAGTCCAGAAGATTATGAAGAAACCAATGAAAGTCCACCGCATTTAGTGAATCAAATGCAGCAAACAATGTCTAATGAAGAGCCGATAAGAAGACGAAAAAAATTTAGACCAAATTCAATACAAGACTCCATCAGAGATATTACTAACAATTTTGATTCACAAAGAGTAATGTCGACACCAAAACCAACAAATGGTTTGTTTTTTAATAAATTTCTGACTAAAACATAATAAAAATGTTTTTAAATTTATTTAAAATATTTTTTTCAGAAATTATATACAAAGATGATATAAACGATTCATTAAAAGGTCAGCTATTATTTGATGACACAACAGATAATGACAACGATTTTCCAGCAAAAGTCTTCTCTTCAGATAATAATAGTCACAAAAATAATAATAAATTTCTAGAAAAAGATTTTAGTCAAAGACAACCCAATTATAAATTAAATAATAATAAAAGTTACGATACTTTTAATTCACCAGAAAATCCAATTCAACGTAAAAAAGAATTAAATGATAAAAACAATATTTTGGTTAATGATGACGAAAATTATGATCCATTTGGCGACAAATATATGATCAATCAATATAAGGATCAATTTCCCAATAGTGTTCAAAATATAAAACAGATGACCAAAAGTCTTGACCAAAACTATGAAAAACTTGAACCTAAAGATAAGTCAATTAAGACAACACACAATAGTAATGATAGCGACAATCAGTCATATCTTTTAAGTGATTCAAACAGCGATTCAGATGATGATAAAAATAATTTTCATAAACATAATACATATCAATCAGATAATGAAAATAAAAAACAATTTGATAGGACTTACAATTTATTGAAATCTAAAATTACTGATAAACATGATTATGATCCGACTGATGAAAAATTTGATACCAATGTTGAAGATAACAGACATTATGATAAAAATATAGAAGAAAAATATGATAAACCAATTGACAAACAGAACAGACATCCAAACAAAGGGTTTAGCGGACCAAATGATCACATTCTTAGTCATGAAGATAATCACCCATACAATGGTAATAACGGCGTCGATGGCAATGATTATGATAATGAAAATGCAGATCAACAACAAAACAATAATTCACCGGATTATCACTCACTTTATAATATGGATAATATAAATGATAAAACTAATAAAGATTACAAAAGCAACAGTTATTTAAATGATGACAAACATAAAAATAATAATAATAATAATCAAGCAAATCATAATTTTCATACAAATAACAATTATAATAATGACAATTATAATAATGACAATTATAATAATCATAATTATAATAACCATATTGATAATGATAATGAAAATATTTATCATCCAAATCATAACTATGATAATGAGTTATTAAATAAAAATAATGAAAATACTGATCAAACAAATGTTGATAATCCAGACAATGAACAACAATTGAGACCCGATATACATGACAGTCAATCCCCACCACCTGGTTATCATAGACCACCTGTTGAAGAATCCATACCAAGTGATGACATCATTCAAGAGGATCCGGAAATTGAAAAAATTCACAATAAAAATGAGATTCAAACAAATCCTACAGATTTTCACCAAACAAAACCCGAGATCGGTTCCGGGGATAAAATAATGAAGTATTATGAGGATCAGTCAAAAGTAGACAGTCGTAGACTGGCATCACATGCCATTCAAGAAGGACTACAAAATCACAATAAAACAAAAAGAGACACAAAAAGTGTAGAGTTTAGTGATATTACCAATGAAACACTTGTCACGGATGAAAATAAACAGATCGATAGACTAATGACATTAAATGACGATTTAGAAGCTGAAGAATGTAAGAAAAAGACTAAAAAAGTTAAACAATTGCCAAAAACGTATCGTCAAAGACCTAATAGTGGTTCCCGAGAGTTCCAACAAATACAAGAATATCATTCAAACACACCTATGAATGACGACGATCCGACACCCGATGACCACATATCAGATGAACCTATTTTTAATTCAGGTCTTACCTCTAATGAGCCGAAATCTGATGAATGGGCGACTAATCAGCGAAAGATAGCCGAAGACGAGTTTAAGAGGAAAGTAGAGGAACAAAGAATAGCTGAAAGATCTCCGTGCGATCAAAGTATTTGTAAATTAAAAAACAAACAAAAGGGTTATAATTATAATAATAATAATAATATCAATAAAAAAATTAATAACAATATTAATAATAAAGGTCTTTATCTGGACAGAGATAATCAACCAAATAATAAAAAACGACAAAATATTGCAAATAATAGCTATAATAGTAATATTAAAAAATATCTTTTGGCTGATGAAGTTTCAGATAATATGCATTCACCTAATAGTAAATCAAATTCAGACCATCAAAAAGGTCGTAAAAGTAGTGGACAGTCTGCTAAAGATATTTCTAATAGTTTTATACATCAAAACAATGATAATAATAAACACCATACCTCAACATATAATAATAATAATGGAAATAATTATTACAGATCTCAATTGCAATCAAAAAATAATATGAAAACTAATAATAAAATGAATAATGGCAATGAATATATGAGACCAGATAGTAAAAGTCCAGATATTTATGACAGTCCTCCTCCACAACAGTCTCCGCTGCCAAACAAGCCATGCGATCAAAAGCAAAGTTCTCTAAATAATAATAATGAGGATTATAATGAATCAGATTATTATAATAATGGTAATAACAACGATAATAATGCTGATCCACATAATGAACAATTGGATAATATTCGGCCATATCATGGAAGAAGACAAACAAATTATAAAAAGCCTGATGAGAGTCCACAAGAATTGAATTATGAAACTGATAGTGAATCAAATGATGGTATGGATAGTGATAGTGAACAACAACCACCTCCTCAATCATCTTCGGATACTGAAGATCACAATTATAATGGTTATGATTATTACAATCAAAATAGTCCTTTAGATAAACCAAATAATGAATCCAACGAAGATCACCCTTATTATCATCTAAACAGTGATTTAAGACCACAAAATGATGCTAATGTTGGACATGATTATTCTTACAGCATTAACCACAGTGGAGGTGACAGCAATCAAATGGATAAACCGATGAGCAGACATGAACACGACTTTCCCAGGAAGCAGTCGATTGAGACACAACAGGCCAAAGGATATTTGGGTACATTATCTCAATTACCAAACAATTTTGAAAGTCTAATAGCAAGCGATCAATCATTTTTAGATTCACTGAATCCCAGCATTTATAACAAAACGTCATCGTCTGGACCGTCATCTGAACCGATTGACGACGACTATGACTACTATCATACAAAAGATAAAAGCGAAACTGACAGTCACACCAAAACACCACATCAATCATCCGCACCTTCAGCTGACACACCATATGATGAACCGGAATATGAGTCCAGAAAGCAAACACCGCCTTCATATGACTCGCATTCAGATAATGATAACAATGATTATCCACAGTCTGACACATATTCACCGAATAATTCAAATTCATTACCTAATCATTCACCAACTGATTTGCATAATGATGACTACGACATGGATTCAATTCATGGCAATCATATAAATCCAAATCAATTTAGTCATCAGAGTCAGGGTTCAAGAGATGAGTTTGGAGACGAATCCAAGAAAATTCTCACAAAAACTGATTCAATAAAAAATAAGAAATCAAATAGAAATCATATGAATAACACTTCATTGAATTTTAATAATAATAATAATAAAGACAAAAATAATACAATTGAGATCAAATCTATTGATAATTTTAATTTGTGGTATAAACCGTTTAGTTTAAAGTCGAGGACAATAGTAGTCGAAAACATTAAAAATAGTAATAATAATAAAACAAATAATATTAATAAAAATCCTAAATCTCAAAATCGTATAAATAATAATCGAAATAATAATAAAGTTGGACTTAAATTGGTGTCAATTAAGAGACGCTATAACTCACAAAATAAGACATTAGTTCCCAAAAGAGTTAATATTCCTAATGTTTTGAATGAAAAAAGTTATACAAATGTAAAAAATCAATCGCCAGATAATCACATATATGATATGGTCATGGATTTGAACAATTCATATGTCTATCATTTAAAACAACCAAATATAAATATCGCTAATAATAATAATGTAAATTATTTTATGAATTCAAGTAAACCCACCAAAAGATATGTACGGACACGTCCTCAACGAGATTTGTCTGAAAAAAATGATTTATTGATTAATGATTTTAATGAAACTAATGATGAGAATAATTTTTCAGCAAAAGATTTGCAAAAAACTTATTTCAAACATTTATTGCCAAATATTTACTCCAATTTGAAACATACAAATTATAATAATAATAAATTATTTTTGATGTCAAAAATAATTGAACCAAAATGTTCACAAATGAGTTCAATTGAAAACTTTTGCTATCAATTTGACGACGAATATCCACTGTAAGTATCAAATAAATTATTATAATATATTGTCTAATGTACTAAATATTTTTAAACGATAAAAAAAATTTTAAAAAGTGAATCAATGAGAAAAATGTTGACAAATATGGATACAATGAGATTCATCGAAAATCTAATAAAATCATTACCAACTAATCCAAACCAAAAACAAAATAATACCGAAAATCAAGAGATTAATGAAGAATCGTTTGTTAATTCATTGCGAGGTTCGTGTAGTTCTCATATATTAACAATACTTCCGTTAAGAGCCAAGAATATCGGCGGTCAGTGGAAAGTAATCACTCAATTGAATGGTTTTGTTGAACAAAGAGTTAATCTCACAAAATGCAGGTAATGTTTACTATATTTTTCAAAACATATAGCAATAAATCTTTAGTTTTGTTAAATTTATTTTTTAAAAAACATTTATTGATTATTTTCATCACTTTTTAGCGATCAAAAAGAGTGCGAACCGATTGCCCGACAATTTTCGTCAAAATGTATTCAAAATTATAGCTTAAAACCATTGATAATATTTAATAATAATAAGTTTGAAAGCGATTGGTTTTATGTGCCCAACGAGTGCTCTTGTTATGCAAAATAATAATAATATAAATTATGTTTATATAAATTTTTAAAATATTGTTTATACTATAGATTCATTACCTGTAGTTAAATTTATTTGATTTAATTAATAAATTATAGAATAATAAAAATTATAATTTTTGTAATTATTTATTTATTTTCTTTTAATTATAATTGTAAGCATAAATTTTAATTAATCTTTTACTGAATATTGTTTTTTATATTTTATAAATACTTGTCATATTAGTGTCTACTCCTGTTCCCATCTAGTTTTGGTTGATTTTTTTTAATACTAGAAATGGGCAAATAGATATTTTCTAATACGTTTCTCTAAGAAAATTTCTAGAAATTTCTCAGGAATAAATTTCTATAGAAATTTAACTTTATCATTATACTATGGGATCCCCATATCTATAGCTATATAGCTATAGCTATACTGTACATAATGATACATAATATACACAATAATACTATATTAATGGGATTTTTATTTAAAAAAATTAATAAAATTATCTAATTATACTAAAGTTTTTGAAAAAATTTTAGTTATATTAATAACTTATTTATTTTTATTATATTATATACTGTATAATGTAATTAAATAAACTATTTTTTTACTTTGAATATAAATTAAAATACTAATAATAAAATTTAGTTAATATTTATAGTTATAATGAATTGTTTCAATATAACAAGTATCGAGAGAACAAAATTAATGTGGGATCCCATTAGATAGAAATTTCTTTTAGAAACTTTCAAGAAATTTCTCTTTTTTGCAAATTCTAGTTTATACTCATAATAATTGGTTTTTTATTGAACTGTGATTTATAATTTTTAATTTGACTAATACCTAGGATCTGCTTTCTATTTGTTTATATCATACATTTAACTTTAAAAGTGAATATTATATGAGTGATTGATTGAATATAAATAATTGTGTCAACCAATTACCATCACTACCATCAATGGTCACATAAGACAGTCTGTCCTCATATGTTTGATTCAAAGAGTTTGCAATTTTTTCGTATTTAATACATAGAAGTTGACGTTGAAATGTGTTTCCAATAGTTATCCACTAATAAATGTAAATATCTGTATATCAAAATTTTTTATAAACAATTATACAAATAAAAAATCGATTACTTATAAAAGTTATGTAAATATTATTATGTCATTCTTTTAATTAAATTATTTTAAAAGTTTAATAACTTATTTTATGTATCAATGATTTGTAATAAATCGTAGGAAATGTTTTTACTAATATATTTTTATATCATTTTACAATATATTTAATATAATAAATAAATTATTTTTATGCATTTATTAATTAATAAACTAATTTTTTGTATAATATGCAAAATATAATCTATCAAATATTATATAATAACAATTAATTTTTAAAAGGACAAATATAATGAATACTATAATATTAAGTAAAGTTTAATTAAATAAACTAACAAAATATTACATTAATTGTTAATATAAATAAATATCTTCCGTAAAATGTAACAAATATTTTCTCTAAATTACTATTCAATTAATACTACATTTTAATTAATCCAAAATAAATGTTGGATTCGCATGAATTCAAAGCAAAATGCGATTCACTGTTTAATATTACAATATTTAGTATACGGTTTATGAACATCTATGAAATGTATTTATGTTATGAAAATATTGTTTGCTTACTAGTGTTCATTAATGTTAACAATTAATAATTAATTGTAAAAATTATATCTAAAACTTATAGGAAATAAATTTAAGTTTGCTAATTAGGTTAATATTAAATAAGTAAATTTTAAAAATTATTTTAAATTATTTAATATGAATTATCTCAAATTTCAATTACATGCAGATTTGATAAAATGTGTTTTAGTTTTATATATATTTTATAATAATTGATGTAAAATCTTAATGTTCATCATAGATATGCTGCTCGTAAGTATATTTTTATATTTAAAACTAATATTTTACATTAATATTTTATTACTAAAATATTACATAAATCTACATAAATTTAATTAGTAATTTATATATATATATATATATATATATATATATATATATATATACTGTACAATGAATAAGTAGATGTTAATTTAAATCTAATTTTAAAAATTGTATTATCAAATTTATGATTTATTATTTTTATAAGTAAATTTTTTTATATACTGTATACTAATAATTTTTTTTATAGTTTCAGTAAAAATTTTGTGAAATATAATTTCATTAATTTATCAAATATATAGAACTTTTAAAATGTTGAACTAATTAACTATAAAAAGAATAATTGATTTTTTTCCAAAATCTAACATTTTTTTTTAATTTGAAACAATCTTTTAAAAGCTTTTAGGTCTAAACATTTTCAAAGTTGCAAATCAATTGATTAACGGTTCTACAGATGATAACTTATCTCCACTGTTTGACACTAATTTGGTACCAAAATCACAATTAGAGAGTAATTATCAAAATAATATAAATAATAATTTGAATAACAGCTCCGGGATAAAAGTTTATATTGAAAGCGATCCACTATTTTATAAAAATTTTAATAATAATATATCCGAAAGACATAAGCAATTAGAGTCGATTGCAATTAATAGAGATTCAAAACAGAGTGAAATATTGCCTAAATTTCATAATAATAATCAATATTTAGACGATTCACAGAAAACTAAACCAAAACTAGAATTCAATTCAAATATTAATATATATAATCCTAAAACTAATAAATCAAAACATGTGGCAAAATATTTAATTGATGAATCGCTAAGTAAATCAAATAAGTATTATTCAAAATATAAGATTAATAATAAAAATGATAATAACGTCGATAATAATAATTACAAAAATGATCAAATAATCAAAGATTACAATGATTTTGATGACTCCGAGTATATGGATATTAACGATGACTTTGAAAAGACAAACGAAGAATCAAATGAAGACATGACTGATAAAGAGTATGATTAAGATTGTCTTAATTTTTTAAAGTAATAGTTATACAAACATTTTGTATGTTTTATTAAAAAGTTTTAGATTGAAAAAAGTAATTTTTAAAACTTATTTAGTCATCAAATTTATAGGCTTTTAACATACTTTTAATGAGATTTTTAGTGATAAATTAATTAATTACTTTTAATATACAGTATACATATAAATTGATTTTTAATTAATTAACAAACTTAATTAATTTTTTTAAATAAATTATTTTCTATATACTGGTAATTATTATTTTTGCTTATTATACTGTTGAAGATTTATTAAATATAAGTTAATAACACAAGTATAAAAATTAAAAAATGATTTTAACATATATGATTACAGTGATGATACTATAGTTATAAATTATACAGTAGTATAATATAGTATAGTATCATTGTAGAAATAAAGACATTTAAAATAATTTTATATGACTATAATTTTATTGTACTAATTTTTTCATACATTTACACTAAATATCATTTACGATATATAAAACGATTTTATAATAATGAAACTTTAAATTAACCAATTCATTAACAGTACATAAGTTTATATCATAAAATTTTTTTTTAATTATAATTAATGAAATTTTAAAATTCATTTACTTTACTTTAGCTATAAAGAAGATGAGACCCCTGACTGTGCGTCTGACCATTCCTTCTGCTTTTACGACCACAACTATCCCGAGTATTAATGTTTCAAAATCCAAATTCAAAAGTTATCATTAATTTTAATTAATTTATATTTGACTTTCAAATTAGGAAACAAATAAGGAGTTCAATTGACCGACAAATGGATATTTTAACGCAAATACTACCCGAATCTGCGGAAACGTTTGATTTAGTGGACGGCATTCCCAAAGAAGTGGATGAAAATTTTATATACAGTGATGAAGACAACAATTTACAGAACGACGATAACTCAGACCAGAGTTTGTCGTCAACCGATAATTTGCAACAAACAACTGCTGGTTATATCTGTCCTTCATATGTATCATATATACAACCGATGCGGGCTCTCAATAATGATGGCTTCTGGAGAGTTATACTAAATTTGAATGACTCCTATCGGGGTATTGACATTAAACAACATATCCGTATCGAGGAATGCATGTATGTATTGATTTGGATTATTTGTAATATTTTCCGATTATTACTAATTTACTAATTACTAAATTTTTAGGTATGAGTCGAGTGAATGTCATACAAGTGTTAACAACTATTATAAATCTTCATGTATTCAAAAGTATAGCAATGAGCGACTTCTTGTCTGGACTGCCGATAGAGGTATCCATTTGGATGTCTTCCGATTGCCAATTGCTTGTTCCTGTCATTTGACACCAATTGGTAATTAAATGCTGGTATATACCGTATAGAAAAGTATATATGATTGACATCATATTAAATTTACAATATTTTATACACAAATATATTTGACACAATGTTTACGTAATGCACAAATAAATCTAGATTTTTTTTGGTAATAAATAGTTATATAATTTTATTTTTAAAATATAATAATTAAAAACAAATATCTTTATAAATATTTATATATTAATAAATTTGATCAAAAAATAATCAAAGCTAAAGAACCACTTAAAGATAAATAGGAATTCAGTTTATAATGTATAACAAACAAAATAGAAGTATTGATAACATATTAATAGTGTTGTGTTAGACAATGGGTTCATTATAAAACCATAACCATTATTACGGTAATATGCATTTAAATTATTCAAACAAACAAAATAGTTATTACAAATCACAACATATTTCGAAAATAATAATAAAAAATAATATCAATTATATTATAATTATTTACAATTGGTTTAAAATTATCGCAATCCTTTAAAGAATAGTATAATCTAATTATATGTCAATAAATGTTAACAAAAAAACAGTTGTTTTATATTATATTATATTGTTTTGTACTATTTATATATATATAAATGTTTATTATTATTAAACGTTTTTATAGACAAAAGTTTTGTTGTATTCAATGTATTGCTATATTTTTATGCGATGTAGATGTTATTTATATAGATATATGTGTATAACAATTATGTTTAATCAATGTTTATAAATGAATTAATAAAATGAATAATTAAAATTCTAGTGAATTCACTTCACTTTTAATTACTTAGTATGAAGTAAATAATGGCATTAATTATTTGACACAATAGGGTTGACCATAACATTTGAATTAATCAATGAAAAACTACGGCAACATTTGAAACAAAACAAACTCTAAACAATTATTCCTAAAAATTGATTTTTACATATATTTAGTATTTTTACCTAAAACTCTAATAGAGAAGTAAAGAGATCATAAAATTATTTATAGTTTATAAATTGTGAGCATTTTTTATAACATTATATATTAATTAAAAACATTTTTTAAATTTATATACTTATTTATATATATATATATATATTTGTTTATAATCACAGAAACATAATAAATAGCAAAAATAATAAAAATAAAGTACTAAAAAACAGTCAAATGCTAAACACAAAAACATTATGTCTTTGAATTGTCGGTGTTTTCAGAAGGTATTAAAAAATCGGATGAAATTTGTGTAGAATATGAATAACTTGTAATTGTTTCACATGTTTCTGCAAATTTCTTACATGAATTTGAATTAATAGGTGATAATAATGAATCTGAAGTGTTTAGTGATGGCGATGATGAAGAAGATGATGAACAAGGAGTGGTTGATAGAGAACTGTTTGAGTTGTCGTCTTCGCTATCATCAGTGTTCTTATTAGTGCTAAAATCTCTATCGTATACTTCAGCGCCTTTAAAGATATAACGACTCGGAGTAATATATATATAATTTTCATCTTTTAAAAAACAAAACAAATTAAAAAAAAATTAAATATTTGAAATAAAATCAATTTTCATTCAATAAAATACCAGTCAATTGGGAAATCAATTGATCGTCACTTGATTTTGGTGTATCGGTTTGAGTTGAGTCTGGATTAAGATCATCAATATTGTGCTTATTATCAGTTTTAACCGATAATTCATTGACAGTCGTATTGAACGCAAACGGCAATAACGAGTTTATTTGTGTCGAATTGTTATTAACTTCGAGACTAAAGTTCTCCGATATTTTTGTCTCATTTAAAGTCTCTTTATTTGAGTTGAATCCGAGACAAAATTCATCCCAATCTAAACCCAATCTTTTTTTTAACAAAAAAAATATTATAAATACATTGCAATTATTACTATCAATAGATCTGAATACCTTTGACACAATTGTTTAACAATGACATCGCAATCGCCAAGTAATTCAATATCAAATGTTAAATGATTTAACGGTTCCCTATTAATTAATATCTGGGGAACCGATTCTGGTATTGAATTAGGTATGAGAGCAACAGGTCGTACTTTGAGTGAAGATCCCATTACAATAAGTAGATCGCAATCATCCTTGTCGTGAGACATTGCACTGTGAAACTCATCAGACAGACCCTCACCAAAAAATACAATATCCTAAACAATAAAACAAATTATAATATATTATACCATTATATCTATTACTCAATATTACTGGTTTCATAACAGCCATATCATCCAAATCTGGCGGACAATGAGGACATTTTGGGATCCTTTGCTCAAAAATGTCATCCTTGATGACGGAAGCGTCGACTCTGTATTTACAGTGAGTACATGTGGCCGTTGCAAATGAGCCGTGACATGTAATCACCCGATCAATACCGGCCGCCTTTTCCAATGTGTCAATGTTTTGCGTATAATTTCTCAATAATTTATTTTTATTCTCTAAGAAACGTATGAATCGGTGACTTATGGATGGCTTAAACAGTCCCGGATATATCTCCTATAATACAAAACAATTATTTTATTTGACATTCAATTTTAAATACAAATTTATTTACTTTTGCAAATTTAAAGAATGGTCGCGGATCTCGTCTAAAGTAATGAATGTCAAACATGGCCTGAGGGTCGGGTAAATCGGGAAAATCTTTGCTTAGTCGAGCGTATATACCATCTCTGGATCTAAAATCAGGAATACCGCACGATACCGATACCTAAATAATAAAACATCAAATAAGTATATATATAAACTACAATTCAAATATATCAATCAAATTCATACCCCGGCACCGGTCAGCACAACAATGCGATTACATTTATTGATGAGTTTAACGCAATCGTCAATAGTGTTATAATTGACAAGTTTTCGTCGGGGCGGCGGTTCAGACAACATATTGACAATAATCCTCCAAATCGTCAAATTATCCAAATTATCGGGTATTAGAGTATTGTCGGCAACCATTTCAGTCAATATAGTTCTCGGATCAGTTCCGCTACACATTTGTCGGTGAACCCAAGCGACCGGTCCTGAGATAGGTTTCCACTGCTGTCCACTCATATCGGACAGACAGCTGATACACGAGAGATCGCTTACATCACTGGCCCCGTCATCGCAATCGTAGTCATCTTTGACTTCTTGACTCTCATTATCGACCAACTCTTCGATGGCATTAATATGTTTGTGCGCTGATGTTTCTGTGGTGTCATTATTAGTGCCACCGCTTATGAATAAATTATTGGTATAATTGTTGGTATCATTGCAACCAATTGAAGAATCATTAATCGTTTCAATGTCTTTATTATCTTGAAATCTGCCGTCAAATCCGGAATCACTACTACTCAGGATTTCGGCGTCAGTTGTGGACGAAACTGAAGACAAAATCCAATCAAAAACAATATATTCAATCATTTATCAAATAATTATCAAACAAAGACATCAATTCATACAATAACTAACTCTACGTCTCATTGATCGGCTTATCTGAGATACTAATCGGCGGCTAAACGGCCGACAAATAGGTGCCAATCGGTAGACACCAAACATAACGGTTACCCAAAAAAAACTGGTATACAGTATGTGCTATCGATTTGCAGCTAATTTGTCATTAATTCAGTGTTTAAATTGTCAACAATTCAAATGATGTCTTTTTATCGGTTGTCTAAGTAATCAACTCAAGTATTGGTGCCATCGATACAAACTAAGGCCTATATCAAGAGCACCGGTACTTATCATATGAATACCCAACTCTGTGTAAATGTCGGCTCACTATTTGTAATGTATATGTAATACCCATTAGAGGCGCGAGTATTGGATAAACATAGGCATTGAGTGTCAAAATGCGTGGCAATCAATGCCTATAATAACAGTCAATACATATATACAACTAAATGGACGGCAATTGTCATCAAATACTGACCTAAAGGTGCGCTAAGACACAGGTGTTTGCTTTCACCACAAGTATAGTCATCGTCGTCGTCGTCCACTTGGCTTCGGGACCTCTTACACGGCGACAACACATCCATCACAATCAGATGATTGCTCGCCATTTGCCACAAAACATACACAACATACCAGTGCTCACAACATATACATCCAGTGCTCACAACATATACATCCAGTGCTCAACACTAGTCATAGCAATACAGTTGTAGTAATCGTAATACAAGTCAATCAACCAATCAATGATTAGAAGACATTTTGAGTTACAATATATACATTAAACACAAAAACAGTACACATATTGTCAACAATAACTGAACCCAACTATACATTCAATACATTCAATGTTACGGTTAAACACAATACGTGTGTTGTGTACGACATATGTGAATGACTCTAACTTTTGATATAAACTACTTATCGGACATCTAGTGGTGAATACGTGTTAACCATTCAAATGCAAACCAAAACCAAACCGTTATTACAATTCTAATGTATTTTAATTAATAAATTAATTATTAAATTCAAATCAATTTATTTGTCAAACACTATATCATTATATATTGATTACAATTATTTACATTTTGATTAAACATTGAGTGTATTGTATTGAATGTAGAATTTTCTCGATTTTATTCATACAATCAATGAGTTATTACTTATACTTATATACTGTTATTAATTTAAATGTTAATAATATAAAAAATTATACGAGTATTGCATAGCTTATACATATAGAGGACTACATTAGGGGAACATTTATAATGTGAATAATTATAACGTTATATTTTGATGATTCATGAAAATCAATAAATGTATGAAATGGGACCAAAGTTTAACTTACTATAAGTATATCCAATGATACTATTTGTTGTTTAATTGCTTTGAAAATGTTATGCAAATGTTTGCCAACAATTGACGCAATGGTTGGCCACTCCTTACTATACATACAATAGTGTATTAAAAGTATTACTTTATTCATAGAGAGTGTAAACATTGCATTAAACTGACTGTCAATGTATTGACTGTTATTTATAAACACATTATTAATATTTTATTCACTTTTTTCTTTTTAAACCAGATTTGTGTTGAAATCGATTTGATTTTAGTTTTTTTGTATTCAAAATATAATTAATTAAATTATTTTCAATTATTAAATGCTTTTCACTATTAATAGTATTATATAATCAGTGGTTAAGAGTTGTGATCATCTTTTCAATCACATGAAGACATGTCTGCAGACATAAGACATCGCAATCCGCAGGTATTGACAACAATTGACTGATTATTAAAATACATTTAATTACAATAATTTACATAAAAATTATATAATATTTAGTATATTTATATATACAATATTTTATGACAATTTATTTTTTAAATAAATTAAATGATTTTATTTTATATAATTTTTCCTCACATTTCTATAATTATAATTGATTTTATATATATATCATATATTTTTTATTACATAAATTTAATATTACACAACAATTAATAATTATTAGTTATTTTTAAAAATGATTTTAATGTCAATTGTATTTATAAAGAGTGACCCATCAGGTGATGGACCAGAATCTGCGACAAGCAATCAATCTAAGAAACCATTGAGAAGAATGAGCTCAGATAACGCCGACTCGGATGACGGTCTGATCGATGAATCACAACTCGAAGATTTGGTGAAAGGTTTGCCACAAGCGTCCGATAAAATCAATGTCATATCTCTGGACGCAATTCCTGCAAAGTATATATAATTATTAATTGTTATTAATATTATTTGATTTAATTATAGTATTTGTTGATGAAATAGATATCGAAATTATGTGGTCAGAAGTATATTCACGTGTTTAATGGTATCGGGATTTTGTTTTATTATATATTTGGGTCCTTTGGCTCTCATGTTTATCGTAAGTATTTTACAAATCATTTCAAATTTCCACATCTTTGACATCAATCTTATGTTTTTTTTATTTCAAGACTCTTGTAGTACAAGTGAAATGTTTTCAAGAGATTATAGCTATCGGTTACAGTGTCTACCGATTGCATGGTTTGCCGTGGTTTAGGTCGTTGTCGTGGTATATGTTAGGCGCTTCTAATTACTTCTTTTATGGTGAAAGTCTTGTCGATTACTTTGGTCTTCTTCTGCACCGAACTGTATGTTGAATATTGTTGTGAATGAACCCATAATTCTAATAAAATATATATATTATTGATTTATACAGAATTTTATGCGACCTTTAGTAACATACCATCGATTTATATCATTTTGTCTCTATTTGATTGGATTTGTTTGGTTTGTGTTAAGTCTAACTAAAAGCTATTATATGCGTCAATTTTCTTTGGTAATTAATATTTATTTAAATCCCATAATTTGAAATGTAATAAAATTATATATCACTCATAGTTTGCGTGGACACACGTAACATTGCTAATAGTGGTGACCCAGTCATACCTTATACTACAGAATATGTTTGAGGGACTCATTTGGTTTATAGTTCCCGTTTCGATGATTGTCTGCAATGATGTTATGGCATATCTCTTTGGATTTTTCTTCGGAAAGACACCACTCATTAAGCTTTCACCCAAAAAGACTTGGGAAGGCTTTATTGGTGGCGGTATTGCCACTGTTATACTGGGAATGATTGTATGATTTAATAATTTTATGTTATATTTAACTATTTATTAAATTTATTATAATTTTTTGTATTTAGTTTTCACAAGTGTTGTGTCACTATAAATACTTTGTTTGTCCCATTGAATACTCAGAAGACTTAGAGAGGACAACAATGGACTGCGAACCGTCTCCTTTGTTTCATTTGACTGAATATCATTTACCCAATGTTTTCGCTTATTTAGGCAAACTATTACCGGTATTGTTATTATAATATTATATTACTGTATATCTTAAGTAATGTCAAGATATGTTAAAAATAATTGTTATTTTTGGGTTTATATTAGATAAATATTCCGACGACAGTAACGATATATCCATTTGTTTTGCACTCACTATCGCTTTCGCTGTTCAGTTCAATAATCGGTCCGTTCGGTGGCTTCTTTGCCAGTGGTTTCAAGAGGGCCTTCAAGATTAAAGACTTTGGTGATGTGATCCCCGGTCACGGAGGGATTGTTGATCGATTTGATTGTCAATATCTTATGGCCACTTTTGTCAATGTTTACATTTCTAGTTTTATACGACTACCAAATGCATCCAAATTGTTTCAATTAATTCTTAGTCTGCGAAGTGAGGAACAGTTAAAATTGTATCAACTCTTTAGCGACCACTTAAACTCAACCAATGTCTTGAACAATGCCATATGATAAGTGGACACTTGTGTTGTGTTTATATGTATTATTATTATTTTATTATAATCAAGGTTTTTTAGACATTTATTTGTTTTACAATTTAATTTCATTTTTGAGAATATATTTTTTAAATTTTTGTTTTCATTTATCCAACTCACGAATCAAACAAATTGAATCAGATATGCGATATTTATGGTAATTATAATAATTATTTATCGTTTAACTAGTCCTGTAAACTGTGTTAATGATTGAACGTTTATGAAGTTTATGTGTTTTTATTAATTGAAGAGATGATTAATTTTAAATTGTGACATATATTATAAGCTAAAAATTTGCTTACCGTATATTAACAGTTAGTTTTATTGTTAGAGTTATTATAGTATTATAAAGAAAAAGTTGTGAAAATTATAATTTAATATTAATTAATAATGTATTATAGAATTCAATTAGTTTACAATTTATAGTTTGTTTTTTAACAAATTTAGATTACGGTAATTATTATCTAAGTTATGTATTTTTAATCATTGATTCTATTATATTCCAAATCATTACTTATATTTATATAATAAATGTTAATGAATTATTTGATGTCAATTAGTTATATTTCAATTATTAGATCAACTAATTCAGTTAATTAATTAATTAATTAAGTCAAATACTGGTCCATAATATTGAATTTTAATACATTTAAGTCTTATATCTATCAAATATAAGTCATGTATTCCCTATGTATAACCTCATGACATCAAATATGTTCAAACATGTTATTATTGATGATCTCTAATCATACAAATCATACCATAAGCCACTAATATTATATAATAATACATTAATGTGTAATATCAACAAATTTTAATTATTATTTTACATTTACAAAAAATTGTTTAATTAATTTTATTAATGTTTTTTTAAAAATTGCAACATGTATATACTGTACTAATTTAAAACAAACACATAGTTTATAATTGTTTATATTTTCACTCAATCCCTAAATATATAAGTTAATTATAAATTTGTTAATTATATTTAATATTAAATATTAATAGTTGAAAAACTGTTACTATGAAGCAAATAATATTTCATTATCTAATGTTATAAATTTCATTTAAAATATAAAACAATTATAATAATTGAAAATTGAAAATAACTGTTGAATTATACCTAATATCTATGTAGTTGAATTTAATATAAACATTGTTGAAATTTAAATAAAAAATTTAGTTTAATGTTTGAATTTAATGAATGATAAAACTTATTTAACCTAACATTTTAGTTTAAAAGTAGCGCTCATATGATTTTGTGGATTACTTTCTAACGTTAAAGCAATAGTGAAATGCATTGAATATTAGATAAACCCATATATTATACATAATATTAATACCAAAAAAATATTGTAAAGGCATTCAAAATACAGTAAATATCGACAAATTCGATGAATTGTAAGCAAACATTCATAGCATGTATTAGTTATATTGACAATCAATGAAAGGTTTAGTGACAGTCATATCATTCAATTTATTTTTTTAAACAAATTGTTTATTTGTTATCATTAAATAAAATTCAATATAAAATAAAACAAATCGGAGACAAACAAACACATAACTCAACCAATACTTGACTTTCAGGTAATTTTCATTTTAAATGCTAAATCATTCGTAATTTATATGAAATACCGCTTATATTATATTAAATGCATTTTTATATTAATCACAATAAATATATGTATAAAATATAGTGAGTATTACTCTATTCATAATATATAGGTATTAATATAACTTAATATAGTAATTGACTGACAGTAGAAATTAATGTTTAATATAGTGATAGTAATAGTAATAATAATAATAAATATTTAATAATGACTTACAATTAATGACAAAATAAAAAACAGTGTAAATGTTTGCTTAATGTTTGCCAGCGTTTTATAGCATTAGTTACACGTATGAGATATCTATTGATTTAATAACAAACCGATTACTACTCTAAACGCTATTTAATTAACACTGTATTTAGTGTCCAATTCATTGCAACTATTAATAAGTTTTGTCACATTTATAGCCATTAGATGTGTTGATTGTATTGTTGTTATTATTATTATTATAGCAATAACTTTGCTAAGACATCAATATCTTCATCACCACTGAATGTGTCTACTGTTTGATTGTTTTAATCGGTGACAATGTTGGCTAAGAAAAGTGATTATCTGCTGAATAGGTTTCAACTAAACGATAGATTAATTGTTTGGGTAATTATCTGATGATCTAAAGTATTAATTAAGTTATTTTGAATAATGTATTATTTTTGTATCATATGTTTAGTGCCTTACATTATTTTCATTGATTTTTGTATTACCGGTAATGAGATGTACCACAAGTGTCGTCCAATTAGATGCTAACAACTTTGATGAAGTCACGCGTGAGTTGTCTAACATTTTTGTTTTTATGAATCAATTAATTGTTTGTATAATATTATATGACATCGATGTCCATAATTAGGGAGATATGAATTGGTTTTTCTCAACTTTTATGCCGATTGGTGTCGATTCAGTCAAATCTTAGCCCCGGTTTTTGAAGAGTCTTATAATAAAGTACTTCAGGACTTTCCGGTAATTATCTTATATTTATTTTGTCTTATCCTTCGTTTTATTGGTTGATAATATCATATAATGGTTACCCCATTAGGAACCGGGAAGAGTATTGTTCGCCAAAATAGACTGCGAACAGCAAAGTAAGTGTATTTACCGGTGAAGACAAACTGTTAATTTGATAATAATTTTTTTTGTTTTTTTTTTTGAACGGACAGCCACTTTGGGCACCAGATTTCATATATCAAAATACCCGACACTTAAATTACTAATGAACGGCAAACTCATGAAACGTGAATTTCGTGGACAGCGTAGCGTTGAGTCACTTGTTCAACACGTGAAAGATCTACTGAAGGACCCGATAAAACATGTGCAGACATTTGATGAATTCGGTAAAATCGACGAAAATAAGGCTTCACTTATTGCATACTCGTCATCACTGCCCAACACTTCACCCGAATATAACCTCTACCGAAAGGTTTCCATTGATTTACGAGACGACTGTCATTTCTATTGGGTTACTGGCGATTCATCTCAGTCTCATCTGAGAGATGGCCACTCATTTTCGCTACTTTTTAAGCCTTCGCGCACTAAACCTAATGTAAATGATGTGGTGTTTCCCGGAGTATTGCAGAGTTATGATGAACTGAGGACTTGGGCCACTGATAAGTGCGTTCCTCTGGTCCGGGAAATCACGTTCGACAACGCCGAAGAACTCACTGAAGAAGGTCTACCATTTGTTATACTGTTTCACGGGCCGGACGACAAACACAGTATTGATGTTTACACGAAAATCGTTCAAACGGAACTGCTCTCTGAGTCGGGTAATGTAAACTTCTTAGTAGCCGATGGCCAGAAGTTTGCTCATCCATTGCATCATTTGGGCAAAACTCAAAAAGACTTACCACTGATTGCTATCGATAGCTTCCGTCACATGTATTTGTTTCCAAATTTCAATGACCTATTGTAAGAAAAAATCATATATTTTCGAAATGATTTGAAAACTATTAAATTGTATACAATTTTTCCAACGACAGGATTCCGGGAAAAATGCTACAATTCATGCAAGATTTATACTCCGGTAAATTGCACCGGGAGTTCCATTTTGGACCTGACCCGTCAACCAATGAAGTTAATCCGCAAATTGTAAGTCATTTAACTGTAAATTGTGATTAAATAATAATATTATTAACGTTTTGTTGAAAGGCCGGTCAGACGAGTCCACCCGAGTCTACATTTGCAAAGTTGGCGCCGTCGAGGAATAGATACACTCTTTTAAAGGACGAGTTGTGATACTTTATTAGGACAATGCAATGATTATTAAATTAAATATATAGATATATATATATATATTTATATTTTGTTTGACTAACAATTGTTTTATTTATTCATTTTTCAAAGTCATTCCTTTTAAATAAATAAATAAGAAAAACATCCATCAATTTAAATGGTTTAACAGTTTTTTTTATAATTTAATTTAAACAAAACATATATTTACAACATTTTTAATTATGATTAACAATGACTCACAATATAAGTTAATTTTAAAATACAACGAGAATGTAATTGATTTACAATGGTTTCTAAATATTATTTATATACTGTATATACGGTATATTTTTTATAATCTCTGTTATGTTATAATTTTATTAGTTTTAAAGCACCTTTATATTTGTGGCACACACTCATTACATAATCACTTTAATTCAGTTTTTTAGATAAATGTCACCCATTGACCCATTGATAATCAATTTTAAAGACAATTTAAACATAAAATATTGGAAGTTGAGAAAAAATTATCGTATATATTAAGATTCGAAAAAATATTTAAATATTGCTTTAAAATCATTATATTATTACCTTAATAATAATAATTATTATTATTATTATTATCAATCTATAAATTATTAGACATTTAATGTTTCATTATTATGTTTATTGTTAGATGTGATTGAGTTAAGTGTTGGATCAGAATTGACACAAACGAGAGGCACTTTGGCTCCGGTTTCAGAGCTTTGACCGCTGGAGGCGTCATCACTGACATCATCATCATTGGTGTCAAAATATGTCTTATTAGTGTTGATCACATTCAATGGTATTGTTTCTTCGGAAAACGAAAGCTTAGTATCTGATATGCCAGAGGTATCGGAACCATAATCATTGTCCTCATGTGATAACAACTTATTACTGATAAGATCGCCGTTTTCTGTCTTATATTTGGCGCCCTTTTGTGTGATGTGCGCATCTTTTTTCTTATCTTTAATTTCCTTTAACTTCTGAATAACAGTCTTTTTGCTGGTAGTGGTGACACTCTTTTGTTGATGCGATTTGTTTGTCTTATCGTTGGTTTCTTTACCATCATCTGTCTCTTCATTAATGGATCCTAATTTATTGGACCCAATATTTGTAGTACTATCAGTATTGGCCGCCACTATAGGAATGTCATCGGGAAGTTTGCGTGTCTTGAATGATGCGTTAGTTATAGCTATCTTTGCGATTCCAGTCGCCGTTAATGAGGTACTCGAAGTCGGCGATAGAGCTATATTTATACCCATCGGACCATCAGACGGCTGACCAGAGCTCAGTAACAAAGAATTTCTTATTGCATTTGTCATCTGTTTTAATGATATTATAACACATTTAAAGTATTTTTAAAATAATAAATTGATAATTAATAGTCATTACCAATAGGACATCAGTATATAAATAATTAACGGCTCTATTATGTATGAAATCGAGTACTTCGAGGGCCAGGTCTGTCACTCCGTTAAATAAACAATAATATATGGAATTTGTTATTTCGACCAAAAATTGAGAACTTAATGGAATTTTTGTGGAATTTCTTGTTATCAAAGAAGAATTGCTTGTGAAGAATGCGTTCAACGGAATTGAATTCAATTTATCCACTGATATATTGATAGATCCCTGACGTAAAAGTCTGTTTTCCGGACAATTTATTAAATAATTAGTTAAGATTTAACACTTAATATTCATATACCGGTAATTATTTTATAAGTTTAAACATTAACCTAAATATCTAACTTTTTATATACTGTATATAGACTAGAGATAAGGAAATTCAAGACATATATACAGGTAAATAATATTTTATAATTTTAAGCAAAACTTTAATAATATTACCTTAAAGTCATCCGACATAACGCTGATAATGACTTCTTATTTACAGAACTAATATATTGATTAAAAACTTTCATTAAGACAGTCATTATATCCATACGATTGTTGGCTACAATAGCCTCCATTTCAGGATACGGTCCAAACAATGGTATCTCTAGATCACCGCAAAAATTATCTAATTTTAAGATATTATGTTCAGTCAATAGTGACGATTGATTTTGCGGAGCAGAATGTGGTGACGGCTCGTGATATATAGAGGGTTTAGATAATGACATCACACGGAATGTTGTGGCCCGAAGTTGGCCTTCATTGTCGACCACTTCCAAGTTGTAGACACCCAACAGCATGGCATCGACGCCCCCACACTTTGTCATCTCATTTGACCACCAATTGTTTGCATGCATTATATGAACACCAATGAGTTGAGGAATAAACGCCAAACTGAAGACACGTAAGTCATCGCCATTTGAACGATAATAGGCGTAGAGTTTGCTACAAATGGCTTCCGATGACTACAAAAACAATACAACTATTATCATCACATCTGATCCATTGAGTATCACTTATGTCTTACCTGTTCATCGCATTTGAAGTCATCAAAGTATGTCAACAAAGAGTCAATAAGTGTCTCATTGGTGACAAACTCGATGTCTTCATGTGAGCCACAATTGAGCCAATCGTTGATAATCTGTTGGTCAGCCATATAGCTCTTCATTTATTGCCAAACAACTGATCCTTTAAATGGATTCATGTCTTTAACTATTAAGCCATTTGTGATCACAATTAATGTCAAACATATCATCAATGGTTTTAAATCAATGTTTTTATTGCTCGCTATTTGTCACTCAAAACACAAATGCATTTAATGTTCACAACATTGACATACATATCAAACCATAGATTACGGCTTAATATATATACTGTATATAGAAATTGGGTTAATATGTATAAGTGTTGCCAATAAAACTCCACCTCTTTATAGAGTGTCGTCAATGTATGAAAACACTACTATTAATACAGTATTAAACATTTACAGGTATTACTGTAATATCAATGAAGCGTTTTATGTATTTTATTCTATAAATTCAGACCCAATAGTAAATTCCCTCAAAATATTTAAGTTATAAAAAAACTAGAAATTTCTGGAAATATTTAATATAAAAACTAAACTATCAAATTCAAATAATAATCAATAATTGAAAATATTGAAAAATAAGCACATATTTTGTATGTTAAAAATAATTTTTTAAAAATGGATATTTAATGTGATTTTTAAAATTGATTATTAAAGGAAAATATCCAACAAATTCAGCCAATTTTAACAATTGAAAAGTACATTGTATTCACTTATCTAATATTAATATATCAATTAAGACAAGTGTGATATAAATTATAACTTTTTATAACGTGTTAATATTGGAATATAAGTTAGTGTACATAAAATTAATAGTATTATATACTGTATATAATAAAATACCATGTTGAATTAAGCACAATTTTAATGTCTATTACTATTATAATAATCTAAAATTTTCATCATTTATTTGATATATTAAATAGTAAGCGTGAATCTTAATAAAATAATTTTAAAAATGGATATCAAAATTTGATAAACTAATATAATTAATGAATATTTAAAAATAAATCTTGTATTCAACAATCAATGAACGGGTGTATGTGTCATATGACTAATACAAAGTCTAATTAATTTTACGATAAAAACTATTTGACATCAAAATTATATATATTTTATTAGTATTATATAAAACTTATGATACTTACACTTTTTATTATTTTTTCAAAATGACGTTTGAAACTGTATTTAATTTGTAGTATAATTTATTTTGATATTTGATTTGCAATTTATTTGATATGCTGTACCCTAATTAAGTATAGATAAATTTTACACAAAGCACAATATATATTAGTTGTGTAAATTACATTTTGATATTAGCGTAATAAATATTATATACAGTATATAATTAATTATATTTTTTTAGATATAAAAAACAAATATATCAAGTTTTAGATGCAATTAGATGTAAGAATACTAGACGTGAATAGTTTGAAAAAGTTTTAAAATTATTTGATATCATTTATTTTCATTTATAATTTATTTTCAAAAATACTTTTATAAATTATATATAAACACTGATTATGGTGATGATGATGCTAAATTTCTAGTAGATTAACAGTCATGGTAAAATTACTTAAATTATTTATGAATTATTAGTTTTAATATAATCACTACAAAATATCAGCTATATATTTTATTTATTTATTTTTATAAATAAACATTAACTTAATACTGTATATTGGATATACAGATAATTTTAGACAGACAATACAATATAATACATTATAAATTATATTATTATTAGCGACTAACAGCCCACTGACCGGTCTATCAATCGTTGATCGTTGTGTATGTCATGTAATTTATTAGATCTAATATTATCACTTTTAGCAGAGGTTTTCCCATTAATTAACTCAAATATATTAGTTTTATCATTGTTTTTACAATAATTAAATTTTATTAATACTATTAGTGTATTGTATAAGCACTTGATATTATTTTACTATAATAATAATAATTTGAAAAATATAAATTGTAAAAATATTTATACAACAAATTATTTTTTTTTTAAATTTATAGCGAAAGTTGTTAATATTAAAAATATAAAACTTTATTTAAAAAATATTTTTTTAAACAATTAAAAAATAGTGTTTTGTGGTAAATATTTTGAACCCAATTTTTATCAGCAGATTGTAAATTATTTGTCTTCAATTAATTAAGCGCACAGTGCTCTTAGTGTACTGTACTTAATGTATCAAAATGTGCTGTCTCACTTTACTATACGGTGTATAAAATCAATTTTACAGTAAAACTACTACAATTAGACTGACCATCTATACAGATGCCGCCTGTATTATACAGAAAACGGGGGTTTAATACAAGCAAATGGAAAGGTATTAACCTGTATATTGTAATATAAAGTTTTATATTGATATATCATATACAGTATGTGAAACTAATTGATTAATATAAGTATAAAATAATTATTTTCTATATTACATAAACATATACAATATATTTATAGCAAAACAAGCTTATTATTTTAATAAATAAGTTACAATAAACGTAATTTGGTATAGTTTGTACTGATTGACCTTGCACATATTGTGTCCTTCAATAGGACATTGGGGTTCAATTCATTTATCCGATTAATTAAGATTTTATTCAAAATATTTACAAATCTTGTTTTATTTATTCAATTAAAAAAAAAGTTATTTAAAATTACGCTTATAATGATTTTTTAGTACTTTAAGGTACTTTTATATTACATACAACAATATTATCAATGCTCATTAAATAAATACAGTACTATAATAAAGTGACATGAGTTTGACTTTTATTTTAAACTTTATATATTTATTATATCTTGAAAAATATATATATATCATATATACATAAATTGTCACTTTAATTACATATCAATATATCAATTAATTATCTCTTTCAATATAATCAATAAATTTATTTAATTTGTTTTATTAGACCACTTGAACAAAGTTACGCAACTTTTTTTATAAAGACTAAAGTATTGAATATTTTTAGTAAAGTACAGTATATGTAGACATAATAAACTAATAAATTAAGTTTATATAAACAGAATGATTAATTTAATATAAATATATTAATATTATTGTATTTTATTAAATATAAAATAATATATTCATAAAAACAATATAATCACCAATTTCTTATATTACGTTAACTTTACAATTGTCATCTAATAAATAATAGTAATTTTATTAGTTATATTAGATCCTTATACAGTATTATATTATAATTTATATTTAGGTATTAATATCTATCAATACAATTCAATTATATAATACTGTTAATAATTTGTTTTATTTTCAAAATATGTATATATATATAGTGTATATACAATATATATATATATATATATATATATTGTGTATATCCGGAATAAAAAGAGATCTAAAAAAACAGGTAATGAATAATAATAATAAAATACAAATATATATTTATATACAGTATATCATCCAAACAAAAGTGATTCACACTTTAAGATCAAACTTATGATGAAATTCATGTGAAACTTGAGTGCATTACGAACTCTCTGTATAATTGCCTATAAAAAAGGCCTCAAATTCATAGACTAATTGAATGTATGTATGAATGTATATACTCTTTACAAGTCAACACTCAAACCCTGTTTTCTATGATTTACACAATTAATACACATTTACTCTGAAGTATACTGTACTGTAGTATACAGTGATTGTGTGCATTGACTGCACTTTTATCAATACAGTACTACTTCTGTTACATTCAATACATTTGTCATTGTTTTGGATTATTAGGATTAAGACAATCACAACAATTAGTTATAAATTGATTTGTTTTTATACCACCACTTGTATGATAACCGACTATATATTAGTTATATATTGTATAACTATACAGTAGTTGACCAAAATTATTGTCAATAATTTATTGATTATTAATATTATATTCAACTCAAATATTTACAACTTATTCAAACTATTTAAATATATATTAAAAGATTTTTAACAATAAATAAAATTTAAACACAAATTTGCAGAATTAATAAATAAGTATTTATACATTTTAAGTACAGTTTTGATCAATAATTATGAAATTATTACTTTTTATTGTTATTATAGAGTTATCTTAATTAATATATTAATATATGGCGACAATTAATTGATAAACTATTTGTTTAATATAAACAATTAGTTGTTGTTATACAAAGTACTTTAATTTTAATTTATGTTTTTTTTGTGCAAATATTACATTATATTAAAAATATTATTTATATATTATATTAAATATATAGCAATTGATGACTAATTAGATTTTTAAATAACGTAATATACTGTACAATAAAATGCCTGTACTTATAGTGCATTATTAATAGAGTAATTATAATATTTTGTATTACTATTGGTATCATATAAACAACATTGACTGTACTCCACGTACACAATATAAGTTACAACTACAGTACAGTACTCTATCATTGGTATTATAGTGGGAATCGACTGTATTTGACATCAACTTAGACTTTGAGACAACGATTAAAACGACTAAACAATGAATTAATAGAAATAACTAAACGACTCGTTATTAGTGTTGAAGCGATCGCATGAATGACAACATTATTATTAAACACAAACACAGATTCAATAGTTATTTATTAATAATATAATAATAATATTATTATTATTAATAGTTTTGTGATTTTACTAACAATAGTGTTATGATTTGTGCCCTTTTGTGACAATCAATTGATATGTGAACTAAAACTAAATGTGTTTTGCATTGAAAAGCAATAGAAAAGCCATTGAAATGAGTGTCAAAAATATGGATTCCATTGGAAGTACGTCTCGATTGAGTCTAAAGAAGACAAACAATCAAGAGATGAATGAGAAGAAGAAAGACTCGACAAGTGATGTAATGACAGCTAACAAAAAGTCTACAAATAGTGGTGACAGCGAACCATCAGTTAAGAGATCCAAACAACAAGAGTCAATGGATATAATGCATCGAACGGGCGGCGCGTATATACCGCCGGCGCGGCTCAGACTCATGCAGAAGGATATCACAGACAAGAATAGCATTGAATACCAACGTATCTCATGGGAAGCGCTCAAGAAAAGCATCAACGGTCTGATCAATAAAGTAAATGTGGCCAACATTGCCATCATTGTACGCGAACTCTTCAAAGAGAATCTGATCCGAGGCCGCGGTTTATTGTGCCGGTCAGTGGTCGCGGCGCAGACAGCGTCGCCGACATTCACTCACGTTTACGCCACACTCATCGCCATTTGCAATACAAAGGTAGCCATCGATGACTAATTAATCACTAATTATTGATATCAAATGTGTTTTTAAAAAAAACGTTTTACTAACGTTTCAACTTTTTTATTGTCTTTGTTTTGGTTAATAGTTCCCAAAAATCGGTGAATTAGTTTTTAAACGACTGATCATTCAATTTCGCAAAAGTTTTCGTCGAAATGACAAACAGGTGTGCATTACGACCACCCGTTTCATCGCACATCTGGTTAATCAACAAGTGGTATGTTTTGTTGTGTTTTTAAGTTAATTTATTTCCCAATAAAACGATTGTTTATCACCCAATAGGCTCATGAAGTGGTGTCACTCGAAATATTGACACTTTTGTTGGAAAACGCGACCAACGACTCGGTTGAAGTGGCCATCGCTTTTCTTCGGGAATGCGGATCAAAGTTAGAGGAGCTCTCCCGGAGAGGCATTTCTGGTAAATACTAGCTTTATATTTGTTTTTTTTTTAATTAACAAACACTTGAAACACCTCTTTTTAATTGTTTCTTATCTTAAAATTTTTAGCTATATTTGATAGATTGCGGTTCATTCTACATGAGGGACAGTTAGATAAGAGAGTGCAGTATATGATTGAAGTTATGTTCGCTATTAGACGAGACAAATATGTTGATCATCCGTCAGTGATCGCCGAATTGGATTTGATTGAAGAGTCGGAACAGTTTACCCATTTGATGACTTTAGATGAACCACAAGACAGCGAAGACAAAATCAATGTCTTTCAATTTGACAATAATTTTCAGGATAACGAAGAGAAATATAAAGCTATTAAAAAAGAGATTTTAGACGACGAAACAACTGATGACGAAGACGACGACGGAGAAGATTCCGACGATGAGGACGATGAAGATGATGACGAGGAGGGCGATGGCGAGGCCACTGATTCTAACGCTATCATCGATAACACTGAAACTACATTACGAACTCTTCGTCGTGATATATATTTGACTATTCAGTCGTCGTTAGACTTTGAAGAATGTGCCCATAAATTATTAAAGCTTGAGTTAAAGCCGGGACAGGTTGTAGAGCTCTGTCATATGATTGTCGACTGTGCGGCACAACAGAGAACTTATATGAAGTTTTACGGACTTTTAGCGCAACGGTTTTGTTCGCTAAACTCAGATTATGCGGAACCGTTCGCTGAGATATTCAAGAGTTGTTACGATACGATCCATAGGTTTGAGACAAATAAACTGCGAAATGTGGCCAAACTTTTTGCACATTTGCTCATTACTGATGCCATTTCGTGGGTAGTGTTGTCTTATATTAAGCTGAACGAAGAGGACACAACATCTTCGAGTAGAGTATTCATAAAGATTTTATTTCAAGAGTTGAGTGAATCTATGGGTTTAGTTAAACTCAATCAACGAATTAAAGATCCGACACTACAGGAGGCCTTTGATGGTCTCTTTCCACGAGACGATCCTCGAAATACCAGATTTGCCATAAATTTCTTTACATCGATTGGTTTGGGAGGACTTACAGATGATCTCAGAGATCACTTAAAAGCCATCCCAAAGACTGTGGTTCCGATCACATCAACTGAAATGAATTCAAATAAAAGAAGAAAATCAAGTATTGAAAGTGATTCCGATTCAAACGGTTCAGATGACAACGGATCTTCGGCATCGACCACATCAAATTCATCATCCGAGTCGGGCTCGCCTTCATCATCATCATCACCATCGTCTTCAAACACATACAAACTATCACCGAAACGCAATCATCGATCTTCACGTCATTCACATCAGAATTCAAAGAAACAAAAATCGAGAGAAAGGCATCGCAAAGATAAAGACAATCATCACAAGAGCTCAAAGAGTAGTTCAAAGAGTTCTCGAAGACATCTCAAGCAAAAAGAGAAACAAAGTAAAGACAAAGATAGAGAATACAAGAGTACGAAGTCGTCTAAGACTTCCAGACGACACCATAACGATCGATGACTCAATGCTTTCTCTATTATAATCTAAACTAAAACTTTCATATTTTATAATCAATATTTAGTTTAATTTAATTATTATTATTATTATGTATTGAATTTAAAAATTAAAAAAAATGATTTACATTTGATTAAAAAGTTATCAAATATTTACTTTAAATAAGATATTTATTACTATTATATTCGTATATTTACCGGTAATTATATACCAGAATCTAAATACCAGGTCTCGGATGAGGCGGTTTGGGAACAACTCTCTTGAGTGGTCTATTGGGTAATAAAAAGATGTCATCAATTAATATGTTTTACCGTAAGTGTTGATAAACAAAGAATTACCTCCTTTTCCACTTGAATGCCGGTGTAAACGTCAGTAATTGTAGTTCTTCGAGATCAGGACCCGACCCGTGGTGTATGTTTTGACCAGAGATGCGGTGCGATATCTTTAGTACCGATTCGTCTTCTTTAAGCCATTCGCTGGTCTCAGGGATCGGCTATATATATATACATATATATATATATATATATATAAATATATATAAATATATAGTTTATTTGTTAAACAATTAGCAATAAAACAAGAAATTATATGATATTTTTATTTATAGGATAAATCATACCCTCGAGTGTTCGTAAGGAAACAGTCGGTCCTCATGAAGACAAACGATAGTCTGGCCGTCATTTGTCACCGTAATTCTGGTCAACAATTAATAACTTTCAGTGTTTTTATATTATAAATATTAGCAAATGTTTTATACTTGGCCTCATTGTCGGCAGTAATGTTGGACATCAATCGGTTTATATATAGCCATCCATGTCGTGGTCTTAAGCGTGAAGACAACAAAACTAATTTGTTTAACATTTTTTTAACACAAATTTGTTATTAAATATAATTAATTAATATAAATTAAATAACTATTTACTAGAAATCATGTGTTTTTTATTAAACAATTTGTGTTCACTTTTAGACTTATGTTTTCATTTTCTATAATAAATTTAAGTTTTTTACATTATTTTCAATATTACATTAGTAATGACAACAATTTCGTCTATAAATACAATTTAATATGAAATTCAGCGCCAATTTTAATATCATAATAAAAAAATCAATAAATAAAAACTTAAATACTGTATTAACAATATTATAATTATTAAAAAACAAAAATCAATTATACATTATAGTTATAGTTATATTGAATGTAAAAATAATAAGTTATATTATATTTTATAATAGTATTGTAAAAATAATTAATAGTTTTACAAACATTGTAAAATTTCAAACCATATATTTAAAAAAAATAATTGGATTGTATTAAAAATAATAATTTTAAAGTATAATATTTTTTGTAAAAAATATTCAAATTTATCATAATTATTAAATTCATATTTATGTTTTTATTTATCAAAAACAAGATTTCAAACAACACATCAATTTGCATACAACACACAAAAATTGTAATTTTGTTTTGTCTTAATGTGGGTGTAGTTATATAATAACACTTTTTTTATTGAATGAAAACATTTAATTAAATGAGTCATATATTGGTTGTATTGCTTATAAACTGTATTATAAGTTGGTAACACTTTTTAGAAAATTCATATCAAATAAAAATAAGGCCAAACTCTTAAAGACATACTTTGAGGAACTGTAGTATTATTTTTTTTTATTTAATTTAATTAATATTGATAGAGAGTCTATAGTACAGTATAATTAACTATAGATTCTCTTTATTTATTTTGCTGTTAATATTGTTAATCCAATTTATGACTTATTATAATATCTATATTTACTAATAAGCTATATATATAATATTACAATTATGTAATTTACATACAATAGTTATTATTGAAGATTTTAATAATATATATTTTTTAAATTGTATAATATATTTAAATAAATAATGTAAAATATTTTGTATATAATTATAAACTTAAAAATACAACAATAAAAATAATTTTTAGAATTAGTGTTAAACACATTACTAATTATAATATAAAGACTTATTAATAAAATAAATTTAAAAATTTAAAAGATTACTAAATGAGATGTTATATAATGATATTTATTGCCAGTAAAATATCATTAAAATATGATAATAGAAATATACACTTTTAATTAGGTCTTTAAACTGGAAGGTGTATATTAAAGCTAACGCTTTTGTTAAACTATTGTTTTATTTTAAACAATTAATTATTTGCGGAAATGTTGTGAAGATTTTTGGATTAAAATTAAAAGCTTTTTAATAGATTTTAATGCAATTATAATTTATCTTATTATTAATTATATTAATTTTTAACTATTATATATATATATATAGTTATTAAAATTGATTATTAATAAAAATTAAATTTTACTTAAATATTTATTTTTATAAAATAATTTATTGATTATTGTATTTTAGATTAGTTAATATTATAAATTTATATAGATAATTAATTATTTTAAATGTACAATACATTAAGCAAACAATTTTATTTATTATATATAACGTATTATGAATTGAACAAAATTATTGAACAATATATAAATATTAATGAAAATTGAACAATTTTATCATATAAATTACTATAAACAATTTATTGTGATGTTTGGTTTAAAATAATAATATATAAATAGTATACAATATATAATATATTATGTTAAAATTGATTGTTTATTACATATTGTATATTTATAAAAATTAATTTTAATAAAATTGTAATTTTAAATTAGTCTAAATATTTAAATAAGATTGTAATTTATATAGTTTTATGTTATTTTCGTTGTTTTTATAGTATTATAAATTATAATTTATAATTACAAGAATATTCTTTAATTAATTTATACAGTATTTACTCGTTATTATTTTTACAAAATTTAGAATAAAATGTGAGGGATAGAGATAATTAAATGAATAAATAAATTACATTAAAAGTGTTTGTAATAATAATAATAATAATAATTTTATTATTATTTTAAACCAAACAAAACATAACAAATTGTTTATCGGAGGAAAATAAGGGGCGATTCTATCGTAAAGTAAACTCAGGGGTAGGTATCATATGGTTTGGTTATATGAAAATTAAATGTTTCAAATGAGAGTTAAAGCCTAGATATCTCATAGTCATAGCACTGGTATTGTATAAATATATGTCTCTCTTTTAACTCTTATATTAAAGGAATAGCGCATAGAGTATGGATTGTTGATAGCACTGGTATACAATAGTTGGTTATATATTGAACAAACACACACTCTATGCTACATAAGCTATGTGTAAGCATTGCAAGCTTGACCTAGAAATTGTTCAGTTCATTCACCTCATACATTGATATAGTTTAGCGTTACTACCAGTGCTTACAAATGTTAACATTCCCTCCAAACTCTCACTCGCATCGATCGCATCGGTAGGCAATGACTAACACATCGCATACTGTTATATAATATAACTTACTATGACTTGTATAGCACCGGGAGTGCTGCCAATAGAGGCAACTGATAGTGATTGCCTGAGCCAATAGTGGTTGAGTGCGGGTGACGTCAAAAAGGGGACAACGACCGCAAGGAAGTGCCCGATATGTGGCACAGACTTGAAGTGTTACTCCGATTACAACTACAACCGCTTGTTATACCACTTTCGCTGGCAATACATTCAAACACATTATGCAATCTATACTTACTATGAATGTCTTGTGTGTTGTTTAATGCCATCAACACTACAACACTCCTCTTGTGATTGCAATTTGTGTCCACAAAATCAAAAAACGCTAAAAACTATTGATTGGTTCATCAATTTCGTGAATCACACCAACCGGTCATATATCTGGTCATATCATCTCTTCATTTGTTTTGTGCTATTTCTGTCACACATCCAAAATGGTTGAACATATCGACCAATTAGTCGAAGACAACGATAACAATGACACCGACAATAGCAACCATGAAGTACAAGAAGTGCAGAAACGACTGCAACCATCGGTGCAACCGAACAACGACTTCGGTATGTATTTGACTCTTACTTTCACTTTATGTTTAACAATACGAGTCTTTCATGTATTCAATTGTATGATAAATAGTCATATGATTTAATGGTCCACTCATTCATTAAATATTATTATGAGTTCAGAATTTATGAATTTATATACAGAATCTTAACATCTATTTTCGTCAATATTTGTTGTAATCATTATAATCACACAAATATATTGTCTTTTAAATTGAATAATAATTTCAATTTATGTGTTATCTGATTTTGATGTAATTAAGATTATCTTTAATAACTATTAATTATTTTTTAATTTATATTATTTATAATTTATAAACTTTAAAAAATATTGGATATTAAATTAAATTAGTATAAGCTTTGTATATAAGTTTACTGCATAAAAAATAAAATCATTAATTTAAAAATATTAATATATACACATAAAAACAGAAACATAGTCAAAAATTAATAAGAAATACTGTATAAATATATTTTTAAATTGTATTTCAAAAACGCTAAATTTTAATTTTAAGCATAGATTTATATATCATTATAGTAAAATTAATATTAATTAATTTATCAAATCATGAAAAATATTTGTATTATTAAATTATAAAATACTTAAAAATTTAGAAATTATATTATTGTGTTAATCTATTTTTTAACATTCAAATTTTAATTAAAGATTTAAAGAGTTTTATATGTTTTTTACTTAATTTCTATTAAATTATTTATTTTATTATGAGTTTCAATGCAAATTTTCAATCTTACTAATAAGATTTTATATATAAGATTATACATATAAATAATATAAAAATGTTTAGCATTTTTATGTATATCGATTAGATATTTGCATAACATTGAATTATAATAATTATACAATGTCTTTATAGTGACTTTTGCTATATTATTATTAATGTTGCATAATCTGAGATAAATAACAATAATAATATAAATAATAACATCACAATACATGCAATAACAATGTTAACTCAAAATTAACATATCTTTGTTTTTTAAAGATATATATATATATATTTATATATAATGAAATATTATTTATTTTAATTATGTGTTTCTAACATTCAATTTCTTAACATACAATTCATGTTGTTTTTTAAAAAAGAAAAATTTAATGTTTGAGTAAAGAAAATTCAAATAAATATTTAAAAAGAGATAACAACACAAATTGAAATAATAAAATAAAAATAAATAATATTACTAATACATAAATTAAACAGCAATTTTATGTGTTGTGATTACCAAAGTTGGCAAATTGATAGATAGATAGGAGTGAGTGAGTAGTGAGTGAGTGAGTGAGTGAGTGAGTGTGTGTGTGTGTGTGTGTGTGTGTGAGAGAGAGAGAGAGAGAGAGAGCAAAAATATAAATAAAATGTATTTTTTTGCATTAGTTTGAGTGTATGGAGAAAGTGATGTGTTTTAGGTCGGGTCGAGATGTGAACAACCTCTTGACCGTTAATAGTATGACATACTTTCGTTTTTTTAAATATATATCTCTCTATCCATACACTCATATACCGCACACATAACGCGCTGTAATATTATTTAATAAGTACTGTATATAACTGTATGTATATCTATAACAGTATATCTAATATACAGGCGCTGTTGAAAGTGAAAGGAAAAAACAACTAATACTCGAAACGCTCGAAACGTTTCCCCATTTAAGTAATAATATCTCAATCGCCTGATTGCTTGTCCGTCCCATTGAACTACTCTTTTAAATAAAATTTTTATTTTTATTTATTACTATAAACTATATATTATTTGATTAATCAATTGATTTTTGTTGATCGCTAAATACTATTAATCTCTCCCACATTGTGTTGGTGTTTATGATTATACCACACATTTTATATTTGTTTACAAATATTATTAAATATATGTTTAATTTTTGATTAAATTTTTATCATTACTATTATTTAATAAATGCAATATAAAAACTATATTCTAAATAGTTTACAATATAGTAAAGTATTCATTTTACCATTAATCACAAAAATTTATTAATATATATTTAAATATAATCCATTTCACTAATTCTATAAAATTAATTAATTATAATTTTCATATTAAATATAATTTTTTTTATTCTCATTACTTAATAAAAAAAATCTTAAATCAGTCAAACAATTGCTTGAACGACTATTTATCTATTAATTAAACAATAAAATCTAACACAAATTTAGACCTAACTTATATACACAAATATAAATATCAGTTAAAATCTTGTTTTTGTAAAAATAAAACGATAACCAGTGATGACTATCCCCAGTGAATCTCTTCCGCATTTCATATGCATTGCTATTATATCCCAAAACATACACTCAAGTGATGTACACGTAATGCCTAATAATATAATTTGTGCTTTAGTTTTATCGGTTGAGTTCTACTTAGATATTATTGTTAGTATATATTAATATATCGTAAAAATATATGTTTTTGAAATATTGTGTGATATTTATTTGATAAAACATGAATTTTAATTAAGTAATCAAATTATTTTTTATGATTAACATTATTATAAATATAGTTCTTTTTAATAATTTCTGTATAACTCAACAATTTTTTTCTATAATTTAATCTATAATCAGTCAAATTTTATTTTATTTTTTAAAAATTAAAAATGAAATGCTCATTAAGTCTAGTCATTGTAAACAAGTATAATGTAATATTATTATGAATCTATTAAACTAAAATTCTAAGTTATTTTATTATTATTGTTGTTGTTTTGTTTTATTTGTTAAATATGTAGTTAATTAGTTAAACATGTTATAACTTGAAAAAATAATATATTACAAAAATTAATGGACTATCAATTGAGACAATTTTAATATTTTTTCTCAGTAAGTTAGCTGTTATGTAGTAGTAATAGTAGTAGTAGTAGTAGTAGTAGTAGTAGTAGTAGTAGTAGTAGTAGTACTGGTAGTAGTATTATAGTAATTGCGGAGGTTGTTATAAATGAAAGGATAATATAAATAATGAATTAATGCTTTTATATTATATATAATATTATTTGTGTCTCTATTGGAAATTGAACACAAAAAACGTGAAAAATTGGGAACAACAGGGCATTGACTGCAAAATAGGTCACCCAATGTTTGAGATGCTCTGCTCTCTCACTCAGTTTTGTTATGCAATCAATGCATACTTGTGCGCATACTTTACCAATACTTTTACATATTATAACATTTATTTTCAATGAAAAACATTGCTTATATTATACAATATATCATAGATATATTATTGCGTTACTTTCAATTTCATACCTGTTATTACAAGTTTTTCTATAATTTTAAATAATAATTAATATATATTTATATATTGTATTTTATAATAAAAAATAATAATAACCTTTCCTATGATTATAAAGAGATACTGTATCTTATCGTGAAAAATGTAAAGTATAATATAACTATTGCTACTTAAGTCCTTTTAATAGTAATTTGTTATCAAATATTTTATTTAAAAACAATAATGTGATATTAATAAAATATTAAATACATTTTTATAAAATGTTTAGGCAGTGATTTAGGTATTTATTAGATTACAATATATATCATTAAAATAATTAGCTTTTAAAACAATAAATTGGACGGAAAATGTCAAACTAATGAAAGCAAGTCATTGATCGGAAACAATACTGTTTTCTATGGACTCGAGTATGTCTTTCATGTCTTCAAACTCCCGGAGCAGTTGATGTCTTTCGGATTGCATTTCAAGCAATTGTTGGCTGAGATCTAAATGATCGGTTCGGTTGCACTGCCAATCACTTTCACTATCAGATTCTTGATTAGTCTTTAACTTGATTTCATTTAATTGTAGTTTGATTTTCATTTCATTATACAAAGTCTCTAAATTTTGATTTCTACTAAAAAGCTGTCGATATTTATTTCTTTCTGTTTTTAACTCATTTTGTGTACTAATCAATTGAGTCCTTAACTCTAAGACTTGATTTTCTAATTGTTTAGCATATGATTGCTGTTGATTATCGACTGAAATTTCTTTGATTTCTGTAATACAAGAGCCGATACATTGCTCTAAGGATTGCTTAAGAATTTCATTTTCTTTTTCAAGTGTTTGGATCCGTTGTTCCAGTTCTTTATGACCGTTATATACAGTCCTGTCTTCAATCAGTTTTCTTCTCAATTCTGAGCATTTACTTCTCTCAATCGACAGCTCTGTTTGCAATTTTTCAATTAAATTAGAGATCTCTTCACTAATCCTTTTGCCACTCGTCAAGTGATTTGCCAACTGTTTGTGTTGTTTAAGAGTTTTCCCATTAAAATGGGATTCACGTTCAGAATAGTTACCGTTTTCATTGAATTCTTGGACTGAATTCTCTCTTTCTATTGTTTTCTTGAGACTTACTGATGCATTAATATTTGTTAAATTATTATTATTAGTAATCATATTGTTATTATGATGAGCGCTAGTGTTTGTCAAACTCTTAATCCTTTCCGTTTGCATTTGCATTGTCTCGATATGGTTTTGTTGCATTGCCACCACTTCCTCTAATTTTTTGATCTCCTCCTGTGCTTCTTGTAATAAATTATATGCAAATTCACTCCTTATATGTGTCGGATAATTGGTGTGCGCGCCTACATTCACCACATGATTGACGCCGGTATTGGCAGTTATTGGGCGTCGATTGATAACGAGTGCCGATGAACTCCTGGTGTGCGGTCGTGATCTCCAATTGGTTCCCAATCCGCTGTCGGTTCGCGATCTTATGTGCGAATAGGTAGTCCCAGAACTTCTGGCTACTTCTGTGTCTAACTGTGTCTTTAAAACTAATGTTTTTTCTCTGAGACGACTGTTTTCTTTGTCCAATTGAGTAATACGTTGCTGTAAATCAAAGATTAATTCTTCTAAATCTATTTCCCGACGAGTTTTCTCTTTATTGAGAAGTCGTTTCTTTTCATTTAAAAGTCGTGTAAGTTTTGCGTTTAAAAATTTCATCTGATTTTCGGCATTGTTTGCCTCTTTCTTCA